GAGATGCTTGGGCTTTTGCGTCGCGGCGGAGAAACGCTATTCTAAAACTCTCCTGCGTCGCGTGCGCTAATACAAGCGCTAAATTTAGCGCTAGCGTGCGCTAGAATTGCGTACGTTATTCTAAAACTCCCAAATGAGACGGCGTACGCGTCCGGCGCCCTGACACGACCGGCGCTTCGACGCGTCCGGCGCACTGATACGTCCGGCGCACCGACTGTCAGGCGCTTTGGCGCGTCCGGCGTCTTGAAGTGTCCGGCGCCCTGACGCGTCTGACGCCTGTCGAGTCCGGCGCTGTAACGCGTCCGGAACTCTGACGCGTACGGCGCTCTGACGCGTTTGGCGCTCTGACGCGTCCGGCGCTCTGACGCGTCCGCCGTTCTGGCACGTTTGGCCATTTGGCCCTCTGGCGCGTCCGGTGCCTTGACGATTCCGGCTCTTTGACGTGTCTGGCGCCCTAATGCGTCCGGTGCTCTTACGGGTTCGGTGCCCTGACGCGTCTGGTGCCCTGACTCGTCTGGTGCTTCGACGGGTCCGGCGCCATGAAGCGTCCGACGCTCTGACTCGTCAAGCGCTTTGACGCGTCCAACACCCTGACGCTTTCAGCGCCCTGGTGTTCTGATGTGCCTAGTGCCCTGAAGTGTTGTGTGCTCTTACGCGTCCAACGCTATGACGTGTCCGCTGCTCTGACGCCCCTGGCGCCCAGACACATCAGGCACTCCGACGTACAATGCGCTTGAACGAGTCCGGGACTCTTAAGCCTCCTGCCGCCCTTAAGCCGCCCTGACGTGTCCGGCTCCTTGACGCGTCCAGCGCCCTGGCACTTCCTGCGCTTTTGACGCCTCCGGCGCTTTCAAGTTTCCGGCGCATTGACGCGTCTGGCGCTCTCACGTCTCCGGAGTTTTAACGCGTCCGGCGCCCGAACGCTTTTGGCGCTTTGATGCTTCCGGCGTTCCGGCGCGTCCGGCGCCCTGATCCGTTTGGCGACTGATGCGGCGGGCGGTCTGACGCGCTTGGAGCCCAAACCAACGTTATTAGATTAGCTCAGTTATGGAACTGCTCATAGACGCTGCTTGCACGAGCCAGTACCCCCCCCCCCCCCCCCCCCCCCTCAATCACCACGACTCGCCTGCTGTCACTCGACGCTACGGACGGCTGCTTTGATTACTGCAGTGAATTCTATGCGATACGTACGTTTCGAAGTATGGCGTCTAGATGGCGCTTCAGCTCTCTATGGAACGCACAGTTATGAAACGAAAATCGAGATGGCGCGTCGAACGACGGCCGGCGGTATGAAGTGAGTGAGGCGGGTACCCCTTTTCGCAGGAGTTCCACAACTGAGGTAATCTAGTAGTTTGGCCCAAACGCGTTTGGCACCTCGACAGGACGTAATACGCTTTGACGCGTCCGGCGCTGTGACGCATCTGGCACGCTGATTCATACGGCACCCTGGCGCGTTGGACGCCCTGACACCGGAGGCGCTTCGAGGCCTCCGGCGCCCCGACGGGTCGAATGTTTCGACGTGTCCGGCACTCTGACGCGTCTGGCGCTTTAACGCGGCCAGCGCCCTAACGCGTCCAGTGCCCTGACGCGTCCGGAGCATTGACGCGTCCGGCGGTTTGATGCGCCCCGCACACTTACGCTTCCGGCGACTCGATGCATCCAGCACTCTGATGCGTCCGGCGTCCCGACGCCTTAGGCGCTCTGGCGTTTTCGGCGTTCTGACGTGTCCGGCGTCCTGACGCGTTTAAAGCTCTGGCGCGTCCGGCACTTCGACGGGTAAAGCGCCCTGACGCGTTCTGCGTATTAATGCGTTTGGTGCCCGAGCGTGTCTGGCGTTTGGTCTCTTCCGGCACTCTGACGCGTCGGGTGCCTGCTCTCACGCGTACGGCACTCTCACGCATGCGGCTCTGTAGTGCGTCTGCTGCTCTAAAGGCTGAACTCCCTGGGGCGAATTATGTGGCGAATAACTGGCGAAAGCCACGCGACGGCACGCTCGCTTTGCGCGCGTCGTAGCAGCCACTGTGTTGATTCCACGCGCACAGCAAAAGCAGTCGGGCGAAATTCACCAGTTATTCGCAGCATATTCGTCCCATGGTGTTCAGACTTTACGCCTCCAGCGCCCAGATGCGTCCGCCGCATTGACGTGTCCGGCGTTCTGCCTCGTCCGGCATCGTGACGCGTCCGGCATCCTGACGCGTCTAGTGGCCTGACGCGTCCGGCGCTCTGACGCGTTTGGCGCCCTGGGGCGTGTGCTGCCCTGACGCGTTTGGCGCCCTGCTGCATCTGGCGCTCTTACGCGTCCAGTGCCTCGACGCGTCTGCCGCACTGGCGCGTCCGGCGCCCTGATGCGCCTGGCGCCCTGACACATCTCGCGTCCTGACGCGTCCGGTGCTCCGACGAACCTGGCACCCTAACGCGTCTGGCAATTTCACGCGTTTAGCCAATACCACATAGAAGACAAAGCCTCCGCGTTTCCTCCTCTAAACTTCATCACTAGTAGATCCCCTCAGCGTCCCCTAGGTAGCCCGGATGAGCACTATCATCTGCTACATCGTCTGCGACATCGTCAGCTCCATCGCCTCCCTCAGCGGTTATTGTAGCAGATAATAAAACAGATGCTCACGCCGATTGTCTACTGCGTTGATTTCATGTGTAGTTGATGACCTGTTAGTCCTCATTTTTTATTTTACCACAATAGCGTTTTGTGGTTGTTTCTGTTTATTTTTCTGTTACTTTTTTCTTCGTTTGTACGAAACTTGGCGCCCGCTGTGTACCTGTTGATGGGGCTCGAGACCCGTCAAGCTGCTTTGTCAGATTTTTCTCCAGCTCCTACCACATGTGATATGGTGAATAAAGTTATTATTATAGCAGACAATGAAGTTAGACGTTCACGTGGAGCGTCGAATGCATGAGTCAAAATGCCTTACTGCTTTCGCGAAGGGCTGCAAAGCAAATGAGCACAGTTCTCCTAGCTGCCTGAAAATTTTACATTTCAACTTCAATGCGAATAAATGAAGACACACGCGCCGATCAATTGACAGGAAAGCAGATTCCGGCGTTGGCGCGGACTGGTGACGTGCGACCATACCATAAGGGGAATGAATGAATAAATCTTTATTTAACGAGCATCAGGTGCAAATGTTAGGGCACCCATCCGGTGGAGGGCATCCTTAATCCGGGATACCCTGGCTGCGGCTGGCTATCCGAACCCTCGTTACTAGGTCTTACTAGATCCCAGGGTCCGGACTGGTCACACAGGCCATGCAGTGCTCGTAGGATGGAGTGGGTTTGGGAGTGAGGTCCGAGGTTCGTTGGTATTCCCATACCTGATGGTAAAGGTTGCAGAGAGAAGGACAAAATTACAAGTGGCAGGGTATTGAGCGGGATAGATGGCGTGAAGAAGGGTGCTGTGGGGATATATGTTGGTCTGCAGTTTCGGAAAGTGGTGGCTTCATCTCTTGATAGTCTTCGGTGTGGTGCCAGGTATTTTCTTTGATCGTGACGGTAGTGGGCTAGTATGTCGGCATACTTGATGAGCAGGTCGTTCGTGGGGGCAACAAGTGAGGTTGTTCTCTCTTGGGTAATGGCCCGGTGTTTATGCGTGTGGGCAGCGGCATGGTGCCGCCTCATTACCTTCGAGGTGTTTGTGTCAGGGTACCCAGACGAGGTGTACTTCGGGGAGCCGGGGGACGGCCTTGAGAATGCGAAGCGCTGTTTTAAAGATGCGTCCCCGTAGGTAAATGCGACAGGCTGCCTGTGAGTCTGTGAGCACTATGATTATATCGTCGCCAATCGTTGCGGCTAGGGCAATGGCAATTTCCTCGGCGGCTTCTGTAGATGCTGTGCGGACTGTGAGGGCGGTCATTTCTTGCCCTGCTGCATTGGTTACACATTCAGCATGGGCTGGCTGATGCGGATACGGGGACGCGTCGGTGTATCTTGCAGTTAGGCTATCGCCGTATTTGGTGCTCATGGTTCGTGCTCTAGCGTTGCGTCCAGCCTTACTGTAAACCGGAGGCATGTTCTTCGCGATCTGGGCTACACGAATGGCTTTTCTTAGGGGCAGAGGTACACGTTCTCCGTGTTCTTGCAAGGGGGGTGTCGCGTAGCCTAACTTTCTCAGTGTGGCTCGTCCGGTGGATGCTAATTTAAGGCTTTCCAACTGGGAGATGTGATGTGTGCCTCTTGTATCTCTTCCCAGGTGTTGTGAATTCCTAGTCGTGACAAATTCTTCGTTAATGTCCTTGGAGGTAGCCCTAAGGCGGACTTGTATGCTTGGCGCAGGGCAATATTAATTTTTTTATTTTATTTTTTGGTTGTTTTGAGGGACAAATGTGGCGTGCCATAAGAGACCCGGCTGTGAGTATGGCTTGTACAATGCGTAAGGTGTCAGATTCTTGCATGCCAAATCTACGATGTGATACACGGTGTATTATGCGCACGAGTTTGAAGAGTGTCCGTTGAAGCGGTGCAATGGTGGTGAGAACCCGATCCGTTTTGGGGTATCCTGAGGCCAAGAATACGGACGTGGGGAACGTTGGGGACAGGTTTTCCTGCTATGGTGATCTCCGGATCCGGGATGCTTTGTTTACGTTGGTGCGCCGTCTTCGTGCAGAGAGTAAGGAGGGCGGAGTTTTCCGGGGCACACTCAAGGCCCCTGGCGCTGAGATACCGATGTGTTTCTTCGATAGCGCTTGGCATGGAGTCCCGTTGCTCGCCCGTGGATGCCATAGGGGTTGTCGCGGCCGACGTGAGTCCCCAGGATGGACCAGGCTCGGCTGGGGTCCAGATCCGGACGGAGCTCCGGGCAGGAATCTCAGCAGGCGACGATGGTTAAAACTCTCCTTTATTTACATGTCAGGGGAGCAATGAGCTCTTGCTATACAGCAGCTAGCCGCAGCTATGAGTCTTGATCTTGGTGAGCTCTCCGAGTTAGGTGAGCTCAGTGCTTTTAAAGTATTTCGGTTGCCATGCAGTCGGGCGGAAACCCGACTGCACTCTCAGTAGACTTTGCAACCTAGAAGTGACTGGAGGAACAACGCGCCCCTCAGCCATTTCTAAAACGTCACAATTTGAGGACTCATCTGCGCCTGGAGAGTCCTCTCTTTCGTCGTCGGGTTCGGACCGCGTCTCGCTTGCCCGCCCAGCGTCCCCAGTCAACACCACGTTCTCGGAGGTTTCGGGTTGATCATTGTATCTAAGCTGGCTAGCAAGCTCCCGCGCTTTCGACCGAGCTAGTGCCATCACTACCCCTTCGGTCAAACGCTTTCCCATTTTACGCAGTTTTTGGTTAGATTTATTAGAAAACAGGTACGGATACTGGGGTGGTAGGTTAGTTGAAACCGCAGCCTCCGTCTCCAGTGTGCCGAAAGGACCTTGAATCGTCACCCTGGCTACTGCCAGACAGACGCTCTGCTGTTCCACCACCTGCCGTATCCACGCACACTCACCAGTGTAGTGGTCCGCTTGCACGAGCGATGGGTGCACGACGTCCAACGTGGCGGCGCAGTCCCTAAGCACCTTGCAGGGCTCGCCGTTCACGAGGAGGTCGTGGAGATAAGGCTCGAGCAGCCTGTCGTTCTCGTCATCTTTACTAAGGTACGAGAATACCACTCGAGGCTTTCGGCAACCAGCCGCCATATGACCCGTCTCGTTGCAGCGGAAACAACGCATGGGCTTTCTCGCCTCAAATTGTTTTTTTGTTGTTTCGTCTGCCCGACCTTGTTTCTCCGCGCGATGGTTCTCCTCTTCTGCCTCTCCGCCTCCCGCGGCCTTCGACCCCTGAGCGCACCTTATGGAGTCCTTTGGCTCCCTCTTGTCTTCCTCGGAGCGTGGCTTATAATATTTTCCGCGGTAATCGCCGCGCGCTCCTGGAAACTTACGTTCTGGGGTATCGTCTTTCTGGCTACTGCGGCGTGCCACAAACTCTTCGGCCAGCTCGGCAGCCTTTTGAGTTGTGTCAGGATTTTTATCCTGAACCCAGTATCGCATTACCTCCGGCATGCCCTTGTACAGTTGTTCGAGCCCGAAGCACTCGACAATGCCGTCGTGGTTACCGTAGACCTCCGCACTTTTAAGCCATTCCACCAAGTTCGACCTAAGATTGTAAGCGAACTCAATGTATGACCCTTCGGTTTTTTTTCTGGCACCCCGAAAACGCTGCCGGAAAGCCTCCGTCGACAAGCGATACTTTTTCTGAAGGCCGAGCTTGACCGCGTCATAGTCTGCTGCCTCCTCCGGGCTAAGTCTGGCGACAACCTGTGCCGCTTCACAAGGCAACAACGTGAGCAAGAGCTGAGGCCATGTATCACGTGACCACCCGATTCTGTTGCACGTCCTTTCAAAATTTACCAGAAAAAGACCAATATCCTCACCCACCTTGAAGGGTTGCATTAGGTTTTTAATTTTTAAAGCCTTCACTTCGCCGGGGTTCGAGACGCCCCTCACTGTCTGATTCATCTCGAGACGTTTCATTTCCAGTTCCAAGCGCTTCATCTCCACAGCCGCTTCGCGTTCCTCTTTGGCTTTCAGCTCAGCAGCTTCGCGCCTCCGCTCTTCCGCCTCGCGCTCTTCCTTGGCTTTAGCTGCTTCGCGCCTCCGCTCTTCCGCTTCGCGCCTCTCTTTGATCATTTCCCAGCACTCGCTCAACTCTTTATCGTCAGCGCCTAGGGCCTGGATTGCCTTCACGAGGAGTGGTTTTCGTTGAATTTTCCTGGCATCGATCCCCAACTCCTCACACATTAACAGCAAGTCCGGCTTACGCAGCTGCTCGAGATCCATATCGAGTGTGACTTGAACTCGCTCTATGGCTGTCCAGCAAAACCCTGCTCGAGTACAGCCCCACCACCAGTCCTAGACTACCCCGGCTAGAAATCTGGCGTCCCTATGAGCCAGGTCGAGCACTCACCACTCCCCACAGCCGACGTCGCTCAAGTCCATCCCACCGCTGCCACCAGTTGTCGCGGCCGACGTGAGTCCCCAGGATGGACCAGGCTTGGGTGGGGTCCAGATCCGGACGGAGCTCCGGGCAGGAATCTCAGCAGGCGACGATGGTTAAAACTCTCCTTTATTTACATGTCAGGGGAGCAATGAGCTCTTGCTATACAGCAGCTAGCCGCAGCTATGAGTCTTGATCTTGGTGAGGTCTCCGAGTTAGGTGAGCTCAGTGCTTTTAAAGTATTTCGGTTGCCATGCAGTCGGGCGGAAACCAATTGCGGAGGTGCACCAGTTTCGTCACCCACGCCTTCTCGGAAAGACCCTCTGTTCTTACGTCACACGTCCGCGCACACCACGCCGAAGAGGTCGTCCTACTCGATGGCGCCATGCATGGACGCATCAGCCTCTTTTGAAGGCGTCGTCCTTACAGGTGTCTTGGGGCAGGCAGGGCGAGAGCTTGACGTAATGTTCGGGTCCGAGGTCCGCTGGGTTGACCTTGCCTGGGTATCTCACTTGGGTTTCAAGAAGAGCAGACATTCGGCCGGCTAAACGCCTCGAAGGCACGTTATTTCGGCGGTGAATTACGTGACGACGGGCCTCGCCCGTGAGCGAAACATGAGACGACGAACCAAGGCCGCCGAAGTCCATCGGCGGACCGACGTGCCGATTTCAACAGCCATCCGCGCAGCCGTTGCCGATTGCAACAGGGTCCATAGGGTGAAGTCATCCGCGTGTATTACCTGCCTTAGATACGGGATATTTTGCAAGAATGGGGGAAGGTACATCATAGCGATGTTAAATAGAAGCGGTGTTATCACGGAGCCTTGAGGGGTGCCTTTGGGGGTGGTCTTAAATGTGTTTGAGCGGAGATGTCCGATGCCGGTAGTTGCAGTACGACCAGTGAGGAAAGCCGTGATAGAGTTGTATATTCGTTGTCCACAATCAATAGAAGTTAGTCCTTGAAGGATGGCTTGGTTGGAGGTGTTGTCAAAAGTACCCTTGATGTCCAGGGAAAAGATGCAACGCTTGTGTGTGCTGGTGAGCCGATCGATGATTTCTTCTTTTGGTTGCAGGAGGACATCTTGGGTAGAGAGATGGGGTCGGAAGCCGTACATGGTGGTCAAGAAATAGTCGTCATTTTCGATATATGGAGAGAGGCGGTTTTGCACCATATGTTCCAGGAGCTTCCCCACACAGGACGTCAGGGAGATGGGTCAGAGGTTACCTGGAGCTAGCGGTTTTCCGAGTTTCAGTATTAGAGTGATGCCAGCATGCTTCCACTTTGGGGGGGGGGGGGGGGGGGGGGGGGGGGGACAGCATGCCGGCAGTTTAATGTTCGTTAATATAATTTAGGAGGGTGTCCAACGCAGTGACGTCGAGGTTCCGGGTCAACTTATTGTCTCTGCTTGGTGTGGTGTTCCTGGTTAAGTAGTGGACCGCTGCTTCCATCTCCACAAGCGTGAACGGGGCGACCATTTTGGGATTGGGAGTACCCATGTACGGTTGGGGGCGGGGGGGGGGGGGGGGGGGCTGGGTTTTGTTACTCGTATCATGCCACGGTTTCTTGAGCTCCTTGAGGAGCTCTTCTTCTGTGCCTTGGTAATTATGAATAGGCCGTCTGAGCTGACGGGCTGCGGCCGATCTAATTTCTTTATTGCCCATAAGGGATTGAAGCAAGTGCCACGTGCGGCGGGTGCCGAGGGTACCTTGGAGCTTCGTGCAGAACTGCGACCAGTTCTGTTTGCTGAAGTGTTTGGCATATGTTGCCGCTTCTTGTGTTATCTGGGCTATACGAAGGCGAAGCTTTCGATTTGTTCTCCGGTTTTTCCAGTCTTTTGTTAGCCCCCGCCGGGCCTCTTTGGGTGTAAGAGGTGTGCGTCAATTGCGGGGCAGTCTTGGGTTAACGTTAACGGTTCGCTGCCTCCAACATTTGTGCTGTCCATTCTTCAATCGCGTAGATGGGGCTCGTGAGTGTTGTTTCCCGGAATTTTTTCTAATCGGTGAGACGGGCAGTGCCTATTCTATGTGCTGCGGCCTTATGATGGGGGAGCTGTAGCTTTATGATAAAATAGTCACTTCCCAATGTTTCTGTGAGGCATTCCAAGGTTAGATCTTTGAGCCCGTATGTAAGCGTAAGGTCCGTAGTAGTGTCCCGTGAGGCACTATTACCCATCCGCGTAAGAACATTTGGGGTGCTACACAAGTGACGATTGTGTTGTCTAAGGGCTTCATGAAGTTACCGTCCTTTTTTGTTGTCCCTATGGTAACCCCAGATTCTGTGATGCGCGTTGAAATCACTAATGATCACCAGTCCGTGCCCCTTTGTTCTTTGTCTAACGGTCTTGAAGAGGGGGTCAATTTCGTTGAGGGGTGACGATGGGGGGCTATATATGTTGAGGATGAAAAGGCTGGCTTGTGTCTTCTTTTTTTGGGATGAGTTCTGCGAAAGCATAGTCCAAGGTTGTGGGGAGGATAAGGCGCTGTAGACGTGCTGTCTAATGTAAATGAGTAGAGTGGAATGTATCTTCTTTAGTAAAGTCTTTGGTATCTTGGGGAGGCGAGCTTGGTCGAGGATGGGGGCGCCTAGAATAAGAGGGGTTTCAGCTACGCATCATAATCACGTGGCTTATAGGTACCATGGTGTGAATAACTTAAGCAGTGTTGCCTGATCGCCAGATGAAAATCATAACATTAGTGAATTGATTATTTTAATTACTAGAGCCCTCACAATCGCGAAACGTGGTTTATTTACAAAGTTGTTTATAAGCATTCTATTTCAAGAATAATCTACCCGTTTACGCCGCATGCAAGTCGGACTCCTGATACGAGGAGTTTCTGAGGCGCACCGGGGATACTCCACACCGCCCGAAAGCACCGGATGAGTGGCAGAATTAACATCGCAGCTCTACCCGAGAGGGACGACCTGGCAGTCAGATCAGCGGCCGGAGCGGACGCGAAATCGCGTCCGGGTAACCAATTTTGGAAATATGATATCGTTTATGCAAATAATATAACTTATTTAACTGATTAATACATATCCGATTTGGCAGCCGACTAATTTCGCGTCCGCTCCGGCCGCTTGACCAAGGTTGTCTCTCTCGCTCTTCGTCGGGGCCGGGGTCCCCCTCAGAGTGATTCGCCATTTTTCTTCTGCAGCGCAGCCGGGGCTTTCGGATGGTGTGGGCAGCCCCGGTGCGCGGCAGAGACTCCTTAGGTCAGGAGTCCGACTTGCATGTTGCATCGTAGAAAAGTGCAAGTTACCACAAGCCTTTAGTATAAAGTTCAAGTTCGAGGTGGTTCGTAATCTTCTACTTCATTCAGTGCTGAATCCGATAAATCTTGCCCTCTGAGTTTTTTATGTGACTTTCAACGGAAGTTTTGCTAAGCTGAGTTGAATAACAAGTTAGCAGAAAAGCTAACAAAACCAAAAATATCACTTTATTGTATTGTCCGTGCTTCCCGTCGTGCCCCATCAACCTGCACCTCTGTCATTCCAGAGGTGAATCTCCGACCGGGCAATCCCAACTTCCATTTTTGTTTAGCAAATTTAGATAAAGCGACATAAGCTAGTATAATCAGAGGCACTGCAATGCCCTGCACTATAAAGCCCAAATAAACAAATAAATATTAGTATGCGCAAACAACAAAAGTTTAGAATTTTGTATTAACAAAATAGAGCAATTAAAACCAAATAACGTGCGTTTTACCCCGCTAACAGGGTAGCAATACGAGCATATTCATTTCCCTTGGTTGCAGAATCGTAGTACTTACGTCTAAACTTGCACTCTACGTCTTATTCTCAGATGAAGACAACCACGTGACTGTCCCGGCTGCCCCCGAACCACCAGTAAGTATTGTCAACTCCAACCCTGTATCACATTTAAGCCGGTAGGCCGCGCCAGTTTTCCTCGCACGCATGAATAGGCGGTTCCTCCCCTCACCTCTCCGTCACGTCTTTTCCACTGGGTAGCGTCGCCTCCTTTAGAGTTGAGAATATCTCCCAGTGTTCCTCCATTGGTGGGGTGTTCGGCCTCATCCAGGAGGCCTGTGATAAATTCGGACGAGAAGCGGTCACTGTGCTCCACACAGTCGTGGCCGCAAAACCTCGAATAGACAAACACACTACGCAACTTACGTTAGCACAACTGGGCTGTTTTTTGTGAAATAAGTGCGCACGAGCGTTGAGGACGAGCATAAGGGACATTCGACGCAAGGTACCTTTTCAATTTGTTAAATTCATATTGTACGCATTGTAAATTTGGCGGGTATTGAATGTGATACACTTCAACGTCCGAGGTTTCTGGCAGCTTGCTCAGGTTTTCTAAAGGCCCGTTCACGCTCTTGCAACCGAGTACGACCGAGAGAGATGAGACTCCTTTAAAACCTCTTAAAACTTCTTAGGACGAGAAAACACACTGGCTCTCTGGCGCCATCTATGCGATGACCCTGGAACTGCATATCACTAGAGTGAACGTTTTGCGGGATTCCCGAGGTCAAATGCGCGTAATGCCTATGAGAAAGGCTCGTTTATAACGGTGACAAAAGTTTTTCTAGCCAAGAAAGAAAGGATAATGTGCGAGAGAAATAGAAGATATGCGGGGCTGCCAAGTTTACACTGCTAACCAATAGGTGGCGCCAGCGTGTCCTTTCGTGCTCTCGTTGCAAGAGATATTAAGAGCTTCCGAGGCACCCGATTCTAAGAGGTCCCAACCGTTTAACTCCTGCAAACGAAAACTGAAAAAAAAAAGAAACAAAGTGGAGCGGAAGAGCTAATAATGTGAGAAAAATGCAAAGGAATTAGTAATTTACTTTTTTAACAGAACGATTACTTTTTGTTTGCAATTCGTCAGTTAAAACTGGTTTGAAATGACACTTCTAGCAGTTCTACATAATTTGTTCACTAAACAGAGGACCGCAAGAAAAAATCACAGTTGAAATAGTTGTCCTTCTATACACGAATTTTGCAGCAATTATTTCTCTCTCTCTCTCTCTCTATATATATATATATATTAGCAAGAAAATAAAACCCTTGGTGAAAACAGCATGCAACGGAGAGTTCAATCTATTCCTGACGAAGGCCGGACTCCGGCCGATACGTCGAAGAATAAACCGTCTGGTGTTGTTGTTTGCACCAAGGGTTTTCTTTTCTTCTCAGTTATACCCACGTCTTCGGCCACCCGCCACCATGCCAGGTATTTATATATATATATATATATATATATTACATACATATGGGTTCGTAGGAGGTGCACAGACGCAGCAGTTGAACGATTGAAAAATAAAAATAAGGGAGTAGGAAGACAGTAAAGCACGAAGTAGGTGAAAAAGCAAAACACTGAAAGTATATTAAAAAAAAGATTACATACACTAAAACATAATATAAACAAAAAAAAAGATAAACGCACGCAAGGAATTTACAAGAAAGTGAAACAAGTTTACACGCAAGAAATTAGCGCAAAAGGTTATAAAAAATATAAAAAGGGGGCTTATCGGGCAGGCGTCGACGTTTCGGCAGTGGCGCTGCCTTCTTCGGGAAGTGAACAGGGAACAAATGCCGTGTTCACCGCGTATTCTGCAAGCTGGGCGAACATTAGATGAGGGGATATTCGTCAAGGAAGGTTCACACATTAACTAAAATCTGATTACTATTTATCGATTAGTTTTAGGTGTGAGATTTCAATTGCAGTATTGACGGTAATTACAATTAGAAGTTAGACCAGCTACAATTATTTCCAAGAATGGAATGATATTTTCGATATTAATACATGTTTACGGTTTTCAGCCCAATTTAAAAATTGCGCGCAAAAAGCGCGCCACATGCCCGAGTCCCACCACCGCGACAAACAGAAACAAACGACAGCGACAAGCCTCAAACACATGCAGCATGCTCGCTATGGAATATCTTTGGCAGGCGTTCAGCCGTTCGGTGCTTGTGAAGTAAGCACGAGTGATTGCAAGCCTGCAAAATATTTCTTCGAGTGCATGATGCTCGGGTTTGAGCATATCCCCCTTTATTCTACAAAGCCTTCTAAATCGCGAAAGACCGTTGCTTGACGCTTGTCGCTGTCGTTTGTTTCTGTTTTTCGGTCTAGTGGAACTCGGGCATGCGAGGAGTGACGCAGTCGTGTCAGTTATGTCGTAACTTGTATCACTGGAGTGCCCATCAAGTACACGCTGTTGAGATAGTGACGACACGATTGAAATGACTGCGTCACTCTTCTAAGGGTCAATGTGGGCGGAGCTTGCGATTCGCTTTTTGCGCGAAATTTTTACTAGGGAAGTTCAGATATGAAAAAAAAAAAACATTAATTAATATCTAAAAACTATTACATTCGAGCAAATTTTTCTGGCCCTTCATAGTTGTCGTCAATAATGTAATTGCAACGGGACCTCTAAAACCAATCATTAACATTTTAATTATCGAATTTTGGTTATTAGCCTACTGCTCGTGACGAATATGTCATCATCCAATGCCCAGCGAGCCTTATAAATTCATGGTAAAGACGGCACTTGTAAAACTCTCACTCCCTATTTTCATAATCAGGCTAGTTATCTTTTACCTAATCCTCGCTCCTCTACGAATTTCGGGACTTGCAACTACTTTTATGACATAGTGGGCACTTTTGAATGTAGACGATGCTGATATGTGTACCATGTTGAAATAACCTGAGACTGGGGTAGAGAAGAAGCATCAAATCGTAGAAGGGACAGAAAATAGACAGGACGACGTCTCAACGTCCTGTCTATTTTATGTCCCTTCTACGATTTGATGCTTCTTCTCTACCCCAGTCTCAGGTTATTTCAACATGGGCAATATTCACCAGCTCGCCTACACCCTTACGACTTTTTCTCTGATATGTGTGTTCCCCCCCGCAGCCATCGTACGCACCGATGTCTCCAGAAGTAACGCCCGAGTACCCTGTGATCGCTGTGCCCGGCCCAAGGGTGAGCGTTCAGGTTTTTTGCGTTTGTTCTTTGTGTTGTGTTTTTTTGGTTTTGGGCCTATACAATGATGGTGGAACCCTGTTATGTAAAATTTGTTTACCCTTCGCCCCTCCCATTCGTAACGCGAGGGGTCCAAATAAATAATTGTTGTTGTTATTATTGTTATAATTATTATTATTACCTGATGATATCTACGAGGCCAATTCTATTACGAAATTAAAACAATTGCCGTCAGATCTGAGATTGTAGGATTACGTTTTTATTGTTTTCGAACTGTCTTCCTTGGTGTTAGTTACAGTGCTGTTAACATTATTATGTATTTTGTCGTTCCACTTGCCGGGTCCTGTCCCACAAGTCTCCTTTAGCTTGCATGGACCCCTTTATCTGCGGTGTTGTTTTATATATGTGCAATAACCACATTAATATTGGTAGTAGTAGTAGTGGTGATAATATTATTAGTAGTAGTAGTATTAATATTATTATTAAAAATGAGTGAAGGCTTACCTCTCCTACGGATCAGCTCTGTAGGCGACATTGCAAAAATCGTTTAAGCTATAAGAGCCACCTTTTCTCAGTGTAATAATTTTTCGACTTTTCAAACCTTGCTAGATAAACCAAGACGTGCGACTTTTACATGCTTGCATGTTAATATCCGGAACCTTCGAAAATATTGGGATAATTTTTTCATAATGGTACAAAATATGATGTTTCGTGTCGATGCATTTATACTTACGGAATTTATTGTCTCGGACTCTATACTTTATCAATTCACTCTCAAAGACTACAACAACGTTTGTTTCACGCGTTCATATCGTAGGGCCGGAATCATTTCGGTTTTTGTGCATCAAATGTGGCAAGTTTCTCCCCTTAATCTACAGTTTTATCACGTCAAAAATTTATCGATCAAACTTGACAATTTTACCTTCTCACTTTCTTCGTTATGTTTCTACAGGCCTCTTTCAGAAAATGTTCGGATGTTTCTAAATGAGCTGCAGGCAACTCTCTCCACATTATCTTCCATACAGCAACTTTGTTTGGTGGGTGACTTCAATATAGACACAATGAACGCAGTATGCGACTATCTTAACATTTTGCCGAACTTTGGCTTAGAATGCTTTGTTGATGCCTCGACCCGAGAAGAAATTTTAGGAACAAAGTTGTCACTCCCTGCATTGACCATATTTTAACACGATCACCAGGTGTCTATGTGGAATCTGCTGTGATTCAAGAAAAAACTAGCAGATCACTACTTCGGGGGGTGTCAACTAACAGACACAGTGGCGTCAAACTCTAAATGCGAAAGTTTAAGACAAGCCCAAATTATTGATAATGTTGTTTTCGACAAGTCAGTTTCCTCTCATGACTGGCAGGCCTTTTTAGGTACAGTTAATAACACTGATCTATACTCAAGTTTTGTTCAAGTATTTCGCTTGCTTACTGTTGCTGCCAGTATAACTGTTACTTTGAAAAAGCGGAGACCTCATCATAAATGGCTAAACAATAATATACTTAAGATGATTGAGAAAAATAGGTCCTGTGGAGTCGGTGTCGCTGATTTCCAAACAACCAATATTTAAAAAATGAATTCGGGCAGTTAAGAAATAAAATAAACGCTGCCATTTGTTTTGCGAAGAGGCAGTTTTTTATATCACCATTTAAAAAATTCAGATTTAGTTCAGCCAAAACATGGTCAGTGATTAATCAATTCCGAGGCACTAATTCTGGAAATTCTATTGACCAGCCCCTCGAATGAAATTTTGCGTCACTTACGTCAGAATTAGCAGACGACTTCTTTGCTAAATACTCTGGCGTGGCAAGAACCAGTGTTGTTAACTCATGCACACTAAAGAATGAATTTTTGGCGTCAGCTTTCCTTCCTTGCTTGGACGAGAAGGATCTGTACTCCCTTTTATATAGTTTCAAAGCCAGCAAATCTCCCGGTATTGATGGTATTCAAGCCTATGATCTTCAGAGAAATTTCACATATATTCAGAACGTTCTGCTCGCTATGCTGAACGGCTTCATTACGTCTGGCAGCATACCTGATGAGCTCAAGGCTGCTATTGTATGGCCACTTTTCAAAGGAGGAGAACGATCCAATGTTGCAAATTATCGCCCTATTTCGATTCTAACTATTTTAGGACAAATCCTCGAGAAACATCTCTTTCTGACGACGAGCAGTTTTTTAGATAAGAACGAAATATTTTCATCTACTCAGTACGAATTCATTACCGGGAGAGGCACGCAACCGGCCCTTGATGATTTTCTGGTTGCATGTATTAAACATTCGAAATTGATATGTTTGCATTTGCTCTTTTTCTTGATGTGTCCAAAGCTTTCGACACTGTCAGCCATCAGTTGCTCCTAGCAAAATTATATCACCTTGGTTTTCACGGCCCATTTTATTCTTTACTAAAACACTTTCTATCCAAAAGGTCCCAGTTTGTGCTAATTAGAAACTTTAAAAGTTCTCGGCTTTCTTTACTATCGGGAGTGCCTCAGGGTTCTTTTCTTTCTCCTCTACTTTTCAGTATTTTTGTGAACGACATGGCCCAGGTTATCAACGGTGTAAAATGTACCAATATGCCAATCACACTCTCCTTGTGTCACGTCATATTAATTTTTCTGACTCACTCCACACACTCGAAATAAACGCCTCTCATATAATGAATTGGTTCGGTGATAACCTCCTAGACATAAACCGCTCTAAAACAAAGGTGGTATGTTTTCACAACTCCCTCAAAGACGCCAGGCTCGAGTAAAGTGTTTGCTTCACCCTTCCAGTTGTGCTCAATGCAAGTGTGTACCAATCGAGTCTGTCGATCACGTGAAATACTTAGGTGTACATTTCGATTTTGAAATCTCTGGGAACACACATATGACATATATTTGTTGCAAATTGCGAATTGTGTCTTGTATGCTTTATCATACTAAATGTTTTATGCCAGTCGGTATCAGAATAATAATCGTCCATGCGCTTGCTTACAGTATCGTTCGATACGGTGTTACGGTGCTTGGTGACTGTTCTGGTCGTTGGCAGCCCAAAGTTAATTCTTCATTGAAAGGAATCCTGACAAGCGTTGCATATAATTCTAGCTTTTCCAGCAACAGTGAAATTTTTCGAAGTCTTCAATTGCCTAATCTGCGTTCTCTTTTTATACAAACGGTAGTGCTCCGTAGTTTTTTAGAAAAATGAGTTTAAAGCACCATTTAAGTCTTCCCGAATACTTCGTCACGTTCCTCGTTTTGTAGTGCCAATTTGTTCAACCAGGTACGGTAAATGCACTCGGGATTACTACGTTCCGTGTTTGTTCAACGCCCTCCCTGACACTTTTGTTGACATTACATCACTGAAACAACTCAAGAAAGAACTCAGGTGCACCAACTTTAATTTCATCTAGCATTTCTTGCTGTGTGTGAATGCTTCGAACTTGAACTGTAATTAGCCAAGTTAATTTTAACTTAGTTTCGCCTTTTTCCCCCTCTTACTTTGTTTTAGCTTAACGCTTTTCGTGTTTTTTTTTTGTGTTTTTTTTTTCTTTTTTCATAACTTTTGTTAACGCTTTTCGTGCTTTTTTCTTTCTTTGTGTTTTTTTCTGTTTTATAGTTTGACTTTTTGTCTTACATTGTGGAATCACGACAAGGTTCTTTTGAATTTTTTATGGGCGTCATCATACAAGCCCTCTGCAGGCTTTAATATGCTCGCATTTAATACTGAATTCCAATGTGTGTGAAAATAAAACTATTATTATTATTATCATTATTATTTGAACGCTTTTCTTGAGAATCAATTAGCTTGTTTACATGCTTCCCTTTCCTTCCTTACCCTTGTTCTGAATATTGCTGTATAAGAATAACGTCCTTTGCAGACCCGCATAAAGTGGCGTCAGAAGAGAAAAAAAAAAGGGGGGGGGGGGGGGCGATCCCCTGCCTTTTCAGATATTTCTAAAATTTTATGGAAACAATATAGGCAAGGGGGAAAAATATCGCCCTCCCCTCCCCGCCATCTCCCCAAATAATCCTGACACTTTTTGCGATGTGAACCATATTCCATAACATCATGTGAAAGAAGCGTATGGCATATAATGAACAAAATGTAAGGGCGCAAACGAGCTGGTGTACATTGCACATGGTTGGAAAAAAAAAACCGAGACTGCTGGTAAACGACACAACGTAATGAGCTTTTTATCTTTTTTTTTTTTCTAGCAACGTAGAAACTTGTATAATATAAACATACTTGTATTCATTGAAATAACGGTTTTATTGACTTCGTGAATTAAGATTCAAATAAAATTACGAGCCACGGACAATTTTTCCTCTCCAGTGCACGATTTCTAAAATCATTTCGGCTCCGAGCTTGCTTGTGCAGCTAAGTCACTTTAAACATCTTCGAGCTGATAGTGGCGCTTGCGTGGTGGAGGTGGTAACGCACGTGGCTGTCACGCAGAGAAACTGGGTTCCAACCCAGCTCGACCTGTTTCTTTTTTTTTCTTTTATAACTTTGTACTCCACTGGACAGTTTAAGCTCATTCTCAGTTATATATAATCATTATGGTAATGTGGATATTTATACAGCGTGTAGTTGGTCAGCCATTTCAAAGTTGAGACGAGTCACTCGCTGTAGATGAGCAATTTAGCCAGTACAGTACAACCTCTAGCCTGGCGTTTTTAACGTGCACCACGCGGTAGTGATACACGATCTCACTCTCAATTTTTATCGCGTGTTCCGGTGTGGAACGTTCCTGAACTTGAAAATTGTATAAAAGAAATGAAAACTGTCTGCTTTAGGTCAGTAGCTCTTTCCTCGCCGTCGCAAAATATATGGTTCCTTTTTGTTTAAATATGTAGGCACAAGTTCACATCATTTAACGTTTATTTTCACTTTCACATCCCTTTGCTGTTTTCATTTGTTGCAATATTCTATTTTTTTACGGAGTGTTTGTATTTTATATGATTCATGGTTTTCATTTATTGTGGCGCGCCAATCTCAATATATTGGAGGTCCGGCCATAACGTGATAAGGTATTCCACCAGGACGCACTCGAACCGCATAATATGAATGGAGCAGGCTTTCCAAATTGCGAACCAAGGACACTAAACTCATAAGAAATAACCTTGAATCTTTAAAAATGCTCAACGCTGTAGATAGAGTGCGATTGGGAACCAGTTAAATAAAGAAGGGAAGGGGTGCCTGGTAGTGCTTTGGGCTATACGACTACCGTGCTTGCTGTACTCATATTCGCGAACTATACACCTTTAGATGTTATCCTTTTAAAGGTGAGGAGTATGAAAGTACTTATTTATCAAATATATTTTGCTATCATCCGACTGTCACCCAGCGCTGTTGTCAGATCTATTTACTCTTTCATGCTGGTCACTGACAGCAAGAAGGAGCAAACTCTTACATTGTTGCTATTGTCCTTGTTGCTATTGCTATTGTCTGATGCGCAAGGTAGTTGCGCTCTAGTAGACAATATGGATCAAGATTGCTGTTCGATGTGCAAACACACACTGCTTGTGGTTATAAAATTATTATATTGAGTAAAAACAGGTGCCTGCGAATTCCTCAAGAGGAAAGGCAGCGAAGCTACATGCTTATTTTCATTTTTAAGACGTTTAAAAATAAATAATAACATATTTGAAAATGGAAGTTTACCGTCCTATTGACTAATTAGAGTGCGGTACTATTTGATAAGACCTTCATGAGACGCCCGATTGGGCACTTTAGATATATCTAAACAAATCGCGTATATTTGTCCTCTTACGTTTGACGAACATGAAACATCATGAAACGCCTCAAGTAAATTTGTTATTGTGGAAAAGCCAAGTTGATTTTTATAAAAGATTTTGGAGCTCTCAAAGCAGTCGTAAACGCTTTTATAAATTATATGCTCAAAAAGCGTGCAGGATGTGCATGTTATTGAAATTGGCCTGTAGTTTTTTTTAGTAATGTTTCTCTCCGGATGTATGAATAGCAACAACCCTTGTACACAGCCAGTCCGCGGGGATATAACGTTGGTTTAGAGAGACCCGTTTAATAATGCTAAGATATTTAGAAACCCAATTGGCATATTCTTTCTAAAATTTGACAAGAATAGTATTAGGACCCGGAGACTTCTAGAATCAATGTTTAACAGTAGCGCAAGCGCTCCCTGTTCCGTAATAGTAATGTTTGGCATTGATCGAAGTAAATAAGTTACCCTTCGTGCCTAAATTTGCAGTAGCATAGAAGGAATAAACAGGACAAAGCGCTCTGTCCCGTCTACATCTCCTTCCTGTGTCCGTCCTTTGCGCTTATTTTGTGTACTATTGTTTAGGATTCCTTGTTTTTCGGAGAGTATTTCTCGTGAAATTCGGAAGCTGTTTTTCGGAGTTTATTTTTCGCTGGGGATCCGGGTTTCTTGGAGATTATTTTTGTTAGATTCCCAATTTTTTGAAATTCTAATTTTTTATTAGTGCGTAAAATCAGAAACAAAATAAATAAGGTCAGACTATCATCATCCGCTGTCCCGAAGGAACCTCGACATGCTAAAAGGCAACTCACTTTTGTCAGTAGTTCTTGATCTCAAAGTAAACTAAAGTGGAAACTTCTCAGGACCACACACCTTGTGCTCTTAAGATGTTCAGTTGTAAACCTGCGTCTTTTTTGCTGTTTGTTTTGTCTCTGTCCCCTCGAAATTCGGAGTTTTTCGAATAAATCTGAATTGACGAAAAATTTACCGGCGAGTGTTGTTCGGATTTTTTCTTTCAAATTTATCCGAAAACACAGAACCCTAAAGGTTATGTTTAATCAACTAGGTCATCAAATTATTTTTTATTACCTCAGGAGTTTCCGGTGAGCTGTCTTTAGAAAATATGGTACCCTGAAATATAAATAGTTGTTTCTGGACTCGTTTAACTTGCATTTTAGTTCTTCTGAAAGACGAGAAATGTCACATTTGTTTGTATGTTTCTGCTTTCGCTTTCGCTTTATTTTACGCTGTAGTTGAGTCACCTCCCTTGTAATGTAATGGCGTTGCTTATATATGTGCGTTTTTTTTCGGGGGGGGGGGGGGGGGGGGAATACATCGCTCCAGAATTTGTTGACCCTGTTTTTAAACTGGCACCACAAATCATTTAACTCACCTGCGCCATCGACTTCAAGCACTGGCAATTCTAAATGGTCAAAGATATCGACGTCGTCAGCGTTGCTGAAATTATTCACACAAACAACCAGACTCTTTGGGCCACCAATGATGAAACAATATTGCAAGTCATCAGAACCAGATTGTGGTCTGAAATACCCTGATTGACAGACACAATATTGCCACACAAATTTCTACCGACAAATATCAAGTCCAGCATTGAGCCTGCCGTGTTCCCCGCTTCTGGAAGTCCCGCTTGCCAGTTGTGTTAGATTCAAGTTAAACGACCTATCAAAAAGTAATTCAGATTGTCTCACGTCTGCGTTACCGACCTCAAGGTCGTTCCAATATATTTTAAGCAAGCTAAAATTGCCAGCAAGTTTTAAGTTTCTTACAGCAAAATAGTAAATAGTTTTCAGGATAGACCATGGAGTTTCAACAGGTCTGTAGAAAGCTCTTGTCACGTATTGCTTGCCACAGAAAGTAATTTTCAACCATACACTTTGTGCATTCGGAAGGTCCGACATCACAAGACGCGTCACCGACTTTGTTAAAATTGGAGCAACTCCTCACGGCTCCTTGAGGAGTTGGAGAAGTTGCATTGGTTGTCTTCACGCGTCATTTTGTACGCGGGGGTAGTATTTTGTCGTCCTTTATGTCTGCGTTAAATCAAGTTTCCGTTACAACTATAACATACGGATTAGATAGCACAAGGATGTGTTCTAATTCATTAGTTTTCTTAACCAGACTTCTAGTGTTGAGATTGATAATTTTGAGTTGCATGGTTGTTACATTCCAGGCTTGGGTCCCTGGTTTTAGCCTCGCGCCTTATCTCTCAAATTTGTTGACTGGCTGTGTCATCATCCCATACGAATAAATCGTTATCAACCTTAACTTTGACGTCCAAACACTTAACTAAGGGTCCGGTGGCTTTCTCGGTGAGCGTGTTTTCCCTTAGGATTCTACGTTTACTGAGGGTCGCCTGTGATTCATCGTTTCGAATCGAGATGTCAGACCCTTTAAGTTTATTACAGTTTTTGAAAACCACTATTTTTTTTATTATAGTCACTGAAGTTTATTATTATCAGTCAATCAGATTTCTTTTTTTTTTTTTACTTTTTTTTTTCTTAGTTTATGTATTCGCTCTACTGTCTCGATTTTTACATCGAAGCGGTCTCGAAAGAGCCGAGAAAGCACTTTGGTCCGTACACCGTCGCTATTTTTTCTTTCGGGCTCGGGAACGTCAAAAACAATCAAGTTATTTTCCCTGGACCTATGTTTCAATATTCCCGAGTGTTTCTTGATAAATTTTTACAGTATCTTGTAATTGCCTTACCGTAGTCCTTAATTTGCCGATTGCTTCTTTGTTTCCTTGTACCTTTCCCGATTCGCCTTCTATTTGTCCGATTATTTTGTTGATTCCATCAAAGCTTCCCTGAAGATCCACTTGTTTGGCCTTTATTTCTTTCACATCATCGCTCATATGTTTCTGGCATTCAAGTTCTTCAGTATGTTAAAAAATATACATTACTTTGGCTCTAATTATGGCCCAGTGGATAATCGATCGGAAATTACAAAGTTTAGAACGACGCTATGTAAGGAACAATGAGCTTTTTTTCTCTTTTGCAGCTGAAATTACTAGTGAAATGTGGGTCTCACTAAAGCATGCACTCGTGAAGTCTGAGGCGTTCTTCGTTTCAGTGTTCTCATGCTCGATATCTCGGGAAGTAATGCGCTTAGTTACCCTCAAACAAAAAAGGAAAAAATAGTTTGGCCCTATACTCATTTCTTCATTTAAAAAAAAGAAATACATACCTGTCACTCTCAAGCCATATTCATTCAAAAAAAAAAAAAAATATTGGGATACGCTTACGCTTCGCCTTTAAGGGTGGAACACGATAGCACTTTTGGGCCCCATTACAAAACCTTCTAATTGAACCCGCGCTCGTTCCCAAGCTGAGCAAGCATGTGTGCGTGGTCTAGTCGGTAGCGGCACGTGTCACGTGACGTGACATGACGTCGAGTGTTTTTATTAAAATTTTTCTGCCAAGTTTGCTGGGAGAATATTCCACTAAACTTTGCGGAAAAATTTTCCGGTAAGTTTGGCGGGAACATTTTACGCTCAATTTCGCGGGAAAATGACGTCTCAGCTACGTGTGACGTCACACGTGGCTGCGCGCGTTGCAGTATGGGATTTTTTGGTCTCACCGACGCCGGCGCCGACTCAAGATTCTTTTGCGACACGAGTTCCTAAACGCTATCGTGTTAAAACTGTGGGATTCCGTTCCGTTTGGAATAACTTCATAAATTTGTGTAGCACTTTAACTAATATAAAAATGTATTGGAAACAACTTGCATTGAGACAACACCGTTTTAGTAAAAAAAACAAAATTTCAGATTATTAGTCAAGCGAGAGAAAGTCTGGGAGAATTGGCTACCGAATGTCATTGCACATTTTGACTAATTGACTGTTTTATTTAATCAAGCGGCCTCGCTGCGTGGTTTCCTAACACGTTGCTCACCTCGTTACAGGGTTCTCCTGGCGACCACGGCACTCCAGGAAGGCCGGGCGATCGCGTGAGGGAGACGCTCTTTCCACCTCTCCGAAAGGGATTTCCGTGGAGTGTGAATGACGAGAGCCTTGTTTCCCTCTGCTCAGGGTGTTCCAGGAGAACCAGGCGGCCACGGTATCCCAGGAACTCCGGGGCTTCCTGGTCCCCCTGGCGACGTACGTACCAGCGAGAACAATGCGGGCACCAACAGCCAGCCATGCTTAGTTTGCGCACCTGACAGGCCTGAAAGACGCGCTGGTGCAAGCTAGAACTGGAGCTCCGAGCCTAGGTTCCAGTCTCTGAACTATTTTACAAATTGAGAGCTAATGGAAATTGGGGGGACAGCAGTCGTAGCAGAAAGCGAGATAGAGTGTTGTCGTTCATGTTGCTTGTCGGTGTACCCCGTCCCACGTCTTTGAATATCTGCTTTAACCCTGAGGGAGTTTTATCTGGTGGTAAGACGTTCACAGCGGGAACGGAACATTATGTACAAGCGCGGCAGTCGGAAGGTGCATATTTCCAAGCCTCGGAGAAATTAGTCCTGTTGTCTTGCTATAGGGAAGTCATTAAGTTGTAGGTTTGCGTGAGCTCATATTGGCATACGCTGTCTTAGGAGAAAGGCAATGCTTTCTATCCTTTAATTATTTTACTCGTTTTAATGATATTCCTTCAAAATGTTCAGACGGTATAAAAATACTCAACGATTACAATGTTTTATCTGTTTAGGCTACTGATACATTTAGTCCAAGTTATTTTACGGGTTTAAATTATTCATTCCTTGTCCAAGCATTTTTGCTTTCATCATGCGCAACACAGAGACGCGTGCACTGTGTGAAACTACTTAAATTGAAAATTACGACGCGAAATATTTCACAAAATCTTGTTGGTTGACGAAAATGAAAACCTACTCAATGTGCAGCAGAGACCAAGTATTCTAAGCGATTACTTTTGTTTCTTTGAAGTTTGGGTCTCGTTTAGACCAGAATTTTGAGACATTTCTGATTCTCCTCTCCCTCTGGTGCAATTCTACTCGAAGAACCAATCTCTTTAACATCCCTTGTAGTATATTTTTCACCGGATGTAATATCTTGTAGGGAACGAGCGTGTATGTATGTAAACGCCTGCTCCTCTTCAGCTGTCCCAGTGGTTCCATCAGCTGTCGCTTCAGCAAGGGGGACTCACGGGGGACAAGGGTCCCGCTCCCGACGCCTTCCAGTTCATGCAGGCTTCTGTGGTGAGAAAGCCATTGAACACGCCTGAAATTGTGCAAGGTTCTTCAAATGTACAAGTCGATCGACGGATGCCAATGCTATGCAGCCCTGACGCATTTGCCTGCGCCTTCAGCCACTCAGCTTACTTTATGCTAACTGCACGAACCGAAGCTTGGGCAAAAAAAAACACAAAAAAAAACAAAAAAAAAACAATATGGTTATTTTATTTTCAATTCAGGCACGGTTTTGGGGTCGAATTTATAATTTTATCCTAAACATTAACGATTTGGTTTATTTTTAAAATGAAGCAGAGCGCAAACCGCAACCTTGGCGGATTTTTGTTTTGTTTTAAATTTACTGACCATTGAAGCGGCTAAGCTGAAAACTGTTCCTCCCGCTTGCCGGGGATCACATGTTTGACCCCTCGCTATTCTGCCACCTCCAAACTGTAGGTCTTTCTCGCTACACTAACGAAATATGTTTGATTATGCCCAATGTATTTTAAAAGCTTTTTATTTTTAATTTTTTAATGTCGAATTGTGTTGCTTTGATGATCTTTGGCAAAGTTTTGCAAGCTGTTGCGTGTGACGTATTTAAGATATTTTAATTGCGTCTCCAAAAGCTCACATCGAGATATTTACAATAAATACAAGTTCAATATGTAACTTCAAAATAAAATTTATCACATATTATTGAATGAACGCATGTTTCGAAAATGTAGTAAATTTGAAGTCGATTTTCTCAAAAACCCCATTCTTATTTGCTTTTCTTTTTACTGGTTGCAAGGTATATAATAGTGCTTTATTAAAAAATAGAAATAAAAAAATATTCCATTTTGTTTATATTTCCGCGCGCGTCTCCGATCAAGCGCACCCGTGGCCGAATGGTTATCGCCAACAAAAAAAATCGACTGGTTATAGTTCCCGGCTCCTACGCAAAGGGCTTGAGGTTCAATGCATGGGGCGGAGGCGTCTTTTTGTTACTTCTGTAAATGTTGCGTTCTGGTAAATTCGAGAACCCTGTTGCTTATTCGAGGTTATAATATTCTACGCGCCGAACCTTCTACGCGCCGCTTTTTCAAGAAGCTCACGCGTGTACATGAGGGACTCCGCGTGGCAGGCTAGAGTCAGTCTCGCCCCAGCGCTCGATCCTGGTGTTTCGCCTACATCGACGCCTGCGACGCTTACCCTCTTCTATGTTGTTTTGGGCACAAGCATGCCCCATTAAACGTTTAGTTTCTCCAGTTATTCGCCGCCTCATCAATTGTCATTCGTGAAAATATCACCGCCATTAAAGCTTAAATCTTGTCAGATGTGCGTTGTAAAGCGGCAAGCCTTGTTGCGGAGTAAAGCGCCCTTTACTAAGCATTACACACTTATCACTTATCTTTAAGCTTTACATGTTGCTTAAAGTATTAATGTTAAGTCATTAACTATTGCATACCGAGGTGTTGACCAGGATAGCATCTATAAGAAGACGCAGTCAGAACGAAGTGACGACATTAAAGCTTAATGCCGGAAATATGTAAGAAATACTTTTTTTTCGTATTTTTTTTATAAATTACTATCGTACCTTGCTATTAATAGAAAGACAAAGCTAAAAAACATGCGGCTTTAAAAAAATGGGTTTAAAAATTTTTGGATTTTCGTATTCAAATATATGCAACGTTAAACATATCATATTAAATTTCTATTTTAAGAAAAATTACTAAGTTTCAGCTTACTGTTGATGTCAACGTCATTATACTATTTTAAGTAAATAACACGTAAAACATTGCCAAACTTTGCCAGAAATCATCAAAGGGACTGGTGTTTTCTGCCATCTGTCAAGAATCGCTTGTTTTACCACACAATGTTTTGTTTGCTTCTCTAAATATTTCACTAGGAGTGTTATTTTTTTTATAATCTAAAAATAAATTTATGCTTGATTAATCGTAAAAAAAATCATTTTAAGTCTTTAAAAATTTTTAACTGTGCCCCTTTGATGCGTTTTGCCAAAGTTCAGTCAGTTTTTATCTGTGATCTACTTGGAATATTTTAATTACCTTGACATATGACCGGAAAAATAGAACTTCGTTATCTTTATTGAACACAAATACAATATAAATCGTTGGAATAAAATGCGTTGTGTACATTTTAATTAAAGAGTAAAAAATCTAGCGAATTTCAAAGCGACCTTCTCAAAACCCCTATTTTAATTAGTAGCAGGGCTTGTTAGAAAATATAAACAAAAAATATAGTATTATCTTTGCATAACCGCCTATAAAGCTTGAATCTTGTCACTTTCTTTTGTGACTGCTTCCTCGCATAGGTTCTATTCTGGTCAACACACGGTACAGTATTGACTACTGCCTAATATGAATATTTTAAGTAACTGGCAATCTTAGATATTAGCGAATTGGTGCGTGATGTAGAGTAAAATGCATTTTACTTTTAAACCACGCTTGCTGTTTTACAACGCAAATTTGACTAGATTCAAGCTTTCATTACGGTCGTATAAACAAAATACTAAGGTTATCAATAATTGTTGCCTCCTAGCTGTAACTTCTTCATTCAGTGATGGAATTGAAAGATGTTACATTCGATTGAAAGTTTGAAATCTTCTTTTTCCCAGGAGCACACAACTTTTCAATATAGTCCCCACCGGCGGTGATGCGCTTGCACTACCGGCGCACTAGTCTCCGCCTTCCGCCGTAGTGCTTATGTGTTCGCGCTAATTATGCACTTTTTTTTTTTTTTTTGAAAAATTAGGTAATGGCATGTGTGCACTCATGAATTTTGAGGGAGCATACTTTTTCTGGGTTCAAGGTGAGTCCACCCTCGAGCGAACATCGTACGGACCATTTCTTATGCTCACTGAGCGGTGGCGGCCAACGAAAACCCCTCACATAAGTGTCCCGTTTGTTTGCTTATTTTTTTGCCCGCAGGGCCCCATCGGTCCACGAGGCTCACCAGGACCACCAGGACCTCTCGTAAGACCTGAGTATTATGAAATTAACAAAACAAAGTTGAATTTTTTATGCATTGTTTAATTATCTCGTAGCTACGTGTGTGAAATATCAGCAAATACTGAATATATTCTTCGCAGCAAATTGAATGATGTCATACTACAGGTAGCTTAATTAAGAAGTTAAAGTCAGATCCCCTCAAATATTTTGTATTAGCTACCGATAATACTCTTGTTTTTTGTTTGTGTGTGTGTGTGTGTTTTTTTTTTTTTAGTCACTGATATATCTCTCCGCGTTGGCAAACAGTTCTTACATTTTCGAAGAACCGTTTTCAAATTTACATCTGGTCACTTTTATTACTTCATGAATTGTTTGCCTGATGCATGATTCACACCAAGGCAACGTCAGGAAAGCTGGAGATAAAAAGAAACATCAGTCAGAAAAGAAACACAAATAGGATGAACGACATCCAATCACAAAATAATTTATTGGGAGCATAATATAATACATACTCAAAAACAACTGGTCGGACTAGCTGGACAAGATACTCTCTGGACAGCCGTCGTCAGACATACTCGAGGCTCTATATTCACGTTCATAATATTACTTAAAAAAAAAAACGCAGATAGTTTTCTTGGTGTTATTTGCGTGTCCGCCTTTAAACTATATGTATTGTTCTTTTGATATTATTTGTGAAGCGAAAAATAGGGACTCTAACCAAAAATTTAATAAACATTTACCCGATGAAATTTTTGGTTAGAGCCCCTACTTTTCGCTTCATGTCTATTCCTAACCAGGCAGAGGGCTGTCGAACGTTTACCTTCAAATCAATATTATTTGTTAAAGTAACTTGTTTCTCGAGTCTTCTGCTAAAATAATTATTTAGTTATTTGGACAGCAACGTAAAGATGGAAGTACGAGGTGTGATCACGAAGTTCCGGGACTGATTTTGTAGCGTAAAAAGAGAGGGCAGTACAGTGATGCGCTTCAGGAACGGCAGAACATTGCTGGAAGACGAAGGGCAGTAGGGAGACTTTAGCCGACCTCTCCTTGACTTCGGTGACATACTGCTATTCTTGAGGCGCGAGTTCCGCATAAAATACCTCACGCACCTCACTGCCTTTTGACGTAAGCCTTCCAAATCATTTAAAAGGTCTCTGTTTTATGTTTGCTCAGCTTGACGTAAAACTGATCTTCGTTCTCGGTTTGGTTCGCAGTGTATGCAAAGATCGCCACCATGCTCGTGCATGTGGTCAAACAAACTAGTGTAGCGCAGCTCCAAATGTTCACAGAGCGACGCCCTTTGGTATAACGAGATACGAAGGTTCTTTACTTTGACTGCTGCGCGCGCATCCCTGCACTGTCCTTACTTTCTACGCTACAAAATCAGTCCCGGAACTTTTTGATCACCCCTCGTATATAGTTTGTTATTTTGGCATGTGTAAAATCAATGTGATTTTTTTTTCCGACTGGTATGGCATTGCTTGAGAAAAAGTATATCGCGTGTCAGTAGGGATAAAAGGGAACCGAGAAGCTCGCGTATCCCCAATGTTTCAATATGCGCTCAGCTATATTTAACTCAATTGGCTTAAAATAGTTTCTCAAAACCCAGCAAAATCTGCCAATCAATACCGCATACGCCCGAAAAGAAACTTCTAGAAAGAGTAAAAGAGGAACGTTTGGCAGACGCCACGCATCCAGCGCGAACACCAAACAAGCAATTGCGCTGTTCTATTATGCGTTTCCTCAACTTCCGCAGACAGGTCCCGCAGTTTGAAATTGTCTATTGCGGTTAGGTGTGGTGATCCTAAGACAAACGCGCGAGTAAATTATTTGACTTGTTGAGTTCGTTCATTCAAGTTAAACGTATGCAGGCATGCTACATAACCTCACACTTTAATTGTAATATGTATCATGAAGGAGACCAAGAAGCATGGGAGCACAAGCGCATACGCTTTGTCTACGCAGACAAATAACAAAAGAACTATACCATGGGGATGACAGTTGTGATATATGTGTGCCATTACAATATATTAGTAAGGTACCTGAATGTTTATTCTCAACTCCGGAGACTTCAGTACCAAAATAAGGTTATAGCTGTGTGTGCCGTAAGTCGGTATTTCGGAGTACGGCACATCGGAAGGCCGGCGGTGCCTCTTTTGACAAGTCGTGGGTAAAATACCAGTCAACATATCGCGTTTTTTTTTATTATTATTATGGTTTTGACTAAAGACGTCAAAATAACAAAGTGGTTACTTTAAAGTCTTGGTGATCCAGAGTAATGGAGCAGCTATTCTCCCGTCTTCAAACAGTAATGTCGTAGACTTGGAAATAACCCCTCTAGTTATTTTCAAAAAGGAAGGCCAAGGCAGTCACCATATGAGAAAATGAAAAATGTTTGGGGTATCAGTTCACCCAGTATAGGTGAACGGATGGGAACCATGTTCAATCACTTCGTCCGCGCAGTTCGCTCAGCGCTCTTATGCATGCCCTTACTCTATCAGACCTAGAATCAAGAACAAAACATTTTCTTCAACTGAAATATGAAGTTGAGTGGAGCATGTTTAACTTGTAAAGTGACCAAAAAACGAAGACAGAAAGAAGATGAGACAGGACCAAGTGCTAACTTACAACTGAACGTTTATTGAAACAAACTCAATATCTGTACACAAAGTCGGGCTCCCGACACAAAATGGCAAACTCGCAAACTCTTTCTCAGTTAAGTGCACTAACGGTGCACTTACGCAAATGTCATCGGCCTTTATTCTTGTGCAGTAGGCCTCAGACAATTGTTTCTCCGTTTTGTTTTTGAGCTTTCCTACTATATTTGTTTCATCGGGTGATCGAGCAATTCATTGTGATATGTTTCTTTGTGCGCCTAGCCTTGACGGAACAAAACTAGTTGGAAAACTCAAATACAAAACTGAGAGAGAATTGTTTTGAGGCCTACTGCATAAGAGTAAAGGGGGAGGATAGATGCGTAAGTGCACCGTCAGTGCGCTTAACTGGGAAAATGTTTCCCTTTTTTGAGTCGGGAGCACGGATTCGTGTGCAAATAGTAAGTGTGTTTCAATAAACGTTCAGTTGTAAGTTATCGCTTGGTCCTGTCTCTTCTGAGTGTCTTCGTTTTTTAGGCGTTTTACAACTTAAACATGTACCAACTAGCCCACATATCCATTTTATTGAGAGGAACAGTTTTCGCCAATGCTATATCTTTATTACCGTAATTGATATGTGTCAAATCTAACTAATTTTTAAAAGGGTATGTTGTAAGAAACGAGCATTTAGAATACATGTAATTTAAAATGCGTGAATGGGGGAAGCTTAGAATGTTCTGTTACCAAATTAGTCAGAAGAATGAGTATTTAAAATATTCACAATAAGGCATAGGAAACATTTTAGTTCACTCGGGTGTTGGTCAGTTTATTAAATAATTTTCTACGGGTTAAATTTCAATAGCTCTGAAATATTTTGAGATATTTAATTCTAGAGTATCATGCGGTTGGGCCCGATTCAAAGGATTGTTTTGCATGTACGTCGGGTACATCTATTTAACTCGCTCTCGCAAACATTTCAAATACTGCTTGATGGAGCATCAGCTTCATCACGTGTGACAAACAATCTTATCGGCACAAAGAAAACATATTTCGGTCAAACGAAGAATTTAGCTACCTCAAGGTTCGCAAATCAGTGCTTTCATCTTGTTTGTGTCGACACAAATGAACATTTTGTCGCAAAAAAAAAAAAAACATTCCTGAAAGCAGTACCGGTCGGCGTAAGTGGAATGTGTTGAACCCACCTTAAATCAATTGCAAAAATTAGAAAAAATCACTTTCGCCTGTTACGAGGCTACATTACCACGTAGATGCCGCTAAATGGTGGGTTTTATTTTCGACATATTGAAAAAAGAAAAGTTAAAATAAAATACTAAAATTCTACATACCGACATGAGGTTAAACATTCTTCATATCATTATTTTAAAAAAAACGTTGTGGTATATAAGAAATTTAATTTTTACGTACCAGAGAAGCGAGAAAAAAAATACTCACTTAGCTCTCTTTCCCTTGTGTCTCTAAAACGGCCTCAATTACCTACAGCAACCTTTTTCACTTTTACAGCGCCGGTCTGTATAAAACTGTTGTTTGTGTTCGCAACTTGTAAGTGAAGCATTTTTTTTTATCATTTTCACAAGTTAAATCTAACCGCATAATGTACATTTTTGGTTAACTACAATGTCACAGGACGTGAAACCAAGTTTTGAAATTTATTTAAAGTGGGTTTGATTTATATAACTCACACGGTAATGTGATTTCTATTATAATATGTGGCAAAAGGCAGCAAAAAGATAATCGTAGTTTTTATTTTAGCATATTGTGACGAGCAACGTTTTCTATATTGCGGGAGAATCAACCTTTTTATGTAAACCTCTAACAGGGGCCCCAAGGTTTTCAAGGCCTGAGAGGGGAAAGCGGAGAAGTTGGACCGCCGGTAAGTGCGCAACTTTGAAAACCCACTGTCCACTTACTTTACCGTCAGACGACCCAAGCTTTCAGATATTTATTTTCTGGGAACGGGTAGCTGTTGTAGTACAAGGATGTATTAACGGAGGTACAGGCACGTCAAAAGAAATAGGACATGTTCAAAAGTATGTCTCTCTTAGTCAGAATATTGTGACTAAAAACATAACCACGTTTCAGAACGCAAGTGGCAGTCACACTTCAGTAGTATAAGCCCTTTAATAATGATGTGAAGTGGGGAGACGTTTTTTTATCTTTACTCGCCTTACCTGTGCATGAGACACCTTAAATGCATTACTGGCTCGTGCAAACAAAGCGCGAAGTCTGCAAGACATTGTAGAAATAAAATCGAAGAAAGAAACCCTGTACGTAAAGTCTCTGAGTGGATAAAAAGCTCTTAGCAGAATGCCGGCTGATAACATCAAGCTTTGTAGAAAGCTTATCTTAAAACACGTGCATACGCAGCGCTAACAAAAAAAAAAAAAAGTAACATTCAGATTCTGAGAAGGCTTAAAATGTAGTCGATAAAACATGTGCTGCAATTTATAAAAAGCATTACTTGATGCGTTTTGAAGTGTAAACAACTACAGACGTCTTTAGATGGTCAAAGAAATACATGTTGTGTATGTTTAACCATAAAGCAAGACGTTATACGGCTCCAGTCGTTGAAATTGTTAATTTAAAGAGGGTGTGGTTGATAAGCTAGCTACATGAATACACGGATATGTTCTTGAATGGTTGCATCTGATCAGTCTTAAAGTTTGCATAATCACAGGTTAGCAATTTATTGAGGCACCTGTCGTGGAAGACGATAACTTCCTTGGCCTCGAACAAGAAGGTTTTATGCATTGAAAGCTGCATGACATAATAAACTTTTAAACTGAAAGTATGCAAACAAAATATCGTTTAATGCATTTTGCACTAACAATATATTCTAAACATTTTGATTACGATTGTAGTGTTTTTTACGTAAAGGGTCAATGTGTTAGTTATTTTGGAAGTTATTGACACACTGCCAAAAATTGTTTTAATTATTTCGACCACTTTGATACAGAATCTCACACTTTTTATCATTTATTTTATCTTTTCTTTCTAATACCTGCGTCCAAATGGGGCTCCAGAAAGAGGAACGAATTTTTCACGACGGTCAAATAATTTATCTTATATTCGAAGCGCTCCAACAATTTTTTTATGATACTAATTGAGTTATGCAATCGATTGAATTTCCCTTATCATTTTCTTTATTGAGGAAATGCCTTTTTTTGTCAGGCCTAGAATTCCATAGACACTATACGTTTGTTCATCTGTAATCAGATTTTATTTCTACAACCAATGAGCACTCAGGCTGGAATCCCACGTGTTCATATAAAATTGTCGTGATTTTTCCTTCTATGGGGATAACACAGTTGATCATGAATTGGTCGCTTCGCCGATATTAGTGTAGCTATTTTGGGTCATAGGAACCAGAGGCATTAATGAAAAAAGAGAAAGCTTTTAAAACTGTTATCAGTCACGCAGTTCTTTTTAATATTGATGCAATTCTGAACAAATTCGCATCGCATTTTTTAATACTAGGCAAAAAGGCACAATGTGGTACATAACCGCTTTTCACTTTTATTTGAAGTGGGTTTTCAGACTAAGATATTTTTGTAGCTGTAAATATTTTGAGTATTGTTTTCACGCGCGTGATACCCATAAAGCACACATTGACAGAATAATTGCGTTTTTCATACAAACCGTGGCAAATAACGAAGTCAAAAAAGCCATTTTCTTTGGAAATACAATCTGCGCAGACAGCATTTTAGCGTGAGGACGTTATCTTTGTTCCGTAAGTCTCTGACGTTGCGTCGATCGCTATTATATAACATCGTGCTCCGCAGAAACGTAGACTTGCGAGACATTCCTATAAACAGCACGTTGATAACTTTAGTAAATTGCTAATTTTGCAAATTGCAACCAATATTAGACAAAACAGCGCTATATCCATTTACAACAAAACAAATTAGTAAACTTAGGGAACTTGGTAAATATCTTTTTGTCTAGCTCTCAGAATACACAAATCATTGAAGTTAAACAATACGTTTTCTAAGAAGCTAAGCGAAGTTGTCGGAGTCGGTATTGAACCAAACACCAGAAGTTAAAGGACCCAGGATTGAACAGGAACGGTGAGCAATGGCAGTAACCAAATCATTCCAATGCCGGCCTGCGGATGAATTCGACTTCGCAAGTCCAGATAAATAGCCTAATTGAAAGTGGAGATTCGAACGCTTCCGTGCGGCTACTTGTCTTTTTATGATATAATCCAGAACACGTAAATGATACTCTGTACTTTATGGGCGAAACGTTTGAAGACATTCTCTGTCGTTGAATTACAATCCAGCATTGAAGGTTATGCAGGAAACTTTCCAGCATATTCAGCAAGAGATGGAGAAGCCGGATGGCAAGCTGAAGCACTGTCAGGAAAGATCGTTGGATATTCCGCACGATAAAAGAACATCTACCTGGAAAGAAAGAAAGCCATCGAAGCTCTGAAAACAAGCCAAAACTGGTCATATATCAACCAATGTATAAGGCTGAAATCACTAATAAAACTCTGCCCTGCATCGGGTCGACTGCGATCACACACCGTGGAAAAGTTGAGAAACATGTAATCAAAGTTTAGTTTTAATAGATGCGCTGTTGGACTTAGATTAATTAGGAATGGCGTTTTGATATGAAGCTACATGGAGCTCTCACAGTCAATAACGACCACAAATATTACAATTGCTGTCGCTGCACGTCTATTCAATAAAAGGTGAAGCTTTCATTCTCCGCAAAGTTTTTTTTTTTTTTTTTTATGACAAATAATTGCGACATGTTTGTAGGCCTAATTAGTTGTGACAACCTTGTCTTTTTTTATCCAATCAGAAGCTATTTACAAAAAAAGGAGGAGGAACGTCGTTCAGCTGTAATCTTTTTATTTACAACGTCGTTCAGCAGATGTTTCTATTTGCAAGCGCGACGCCTGTGACAATGTCTGGGCTCATTAAATATTCTAATGATTCGCTGAAACATTTTACTGAGATCGCTGAGAGATATGGTGTCGGCGGTGAAGGCCTATATTTCAACTATCGGTCAGGCGAGGTTTCACCTAGATTGCTCCGTCACACCCTTCGGTGGTTTTTATATATTTTTTAAGCTAAAAGCAACAAATTGCAACCAATCTTAGACAATCTGAAGAAATGCATCACCGCGTGCAAAGCGTAAATGAACCTAGTTCAATTAAAAAAGTTATGACTGCACAGGAAACCCTGAACTCAAGAAAGGGCTAGTGGTGACGTGACAGTGGTGCAGACACAACCGAAGGGTCTTCCTAATATCCTTATGTCACTGTTTCTGGTCTACTTCTAGGGTTCACCCGGTCCTCAAGGAGAAAGAGGACTACCTGGACTACCTGGCAAAGACGTAAGTTCTTTCAAAATCAGCATCATTTCACGACACAGTTATGAGGCACAGTTGATGTACAAAGGGGGATCCGTGGCCGAGTGGGCTGGAGCATACCAGCTCGGAGCACGTGGAGCGAAAGCTCAAGCTGCAGAAATCAGGGATCCTGGGTTCAATCCCCACCCCTGCTCGTTTCGATCTGGATGAGCATCGTGCCGGCGTGGGGTCGTGTATCACTAATGAGTGATGCACGTTAAAGACCCCAGGCTAGCGGTTGTAGTGCACTGGGCAAATTTCTCATCAACAGCTGGGAGACTTGTCGCCCGTTGAGGCAGACCAAGTTCAAGGCTGTATGAACATAAACACAACCCGATAATTCTTTTACAGCGGAGCAGCTAGAGGCTAGTTTCCCCAGGATCGTGTCCGTCAGCAAACAAATGATGACACAGAACTCTGGACAGCTACCACATTCTATGGGCGACGGCGGCAACAAGACAACCGGCCTGCCGGCTGTCTGGTCGCCGCCGTCGCTCATAGATGTCGGCAACCTTTCGAGCCTTTCCACTCTGGCTTGCCGACTTGCGGCCGGCCAATAGTTCATTCCCACCATAATACAGCTTCGCTGCAGCGGTCTTTCTTCTTTACCCAAGTGGAAAGGCTGAAAGTTTTTTTTTTTTTTTTTTTGTACAATCACTTTCGGATCTTACAACATACTAATAAAGTGCTACGAAGCGCAGAAATTCTATTCTATGTAACGGTACCTTTCACCCCTCGTCTTCTGCTTAGTCACTATTCAAGAAAAACTAGCTCATTTTGATAACTTCTTGTACCGGTTACTTGTTAACGTCCTTGAACGTATCCGTGACACACAAAAAAGGTGATTACGTAGGCAAGCTGGTGAATCGCCGTACTGAAAACCCCAGGAAACAAGGGGCCACAAAAAAGGTACAAAAACAACACCGTCTCAAAATGATGTTGTTGGGTCCGTCATTTTGTGTGTCCCGGGCCCCCGTCTCAGGGGTTTTCAGTATGAACGTATCTGTAACATGTTTTTTTTTTTTTTTTTTTTTTATTTAAAAAAGTATATTCAATGGCCAAGCTGCTGTATAAACCATGATAGGCAGCGCTCGTCGCTCGCGTTAAATGAGTTGAGATGCCTTTCTTATGAAGCTTATGAAATGCTGAAGATGCATTCAGTATAATTTACTCAGGATGAATCTTACACCACCTTCTCCGGATAGTAGAATTTATCCGGCGTCTTCTGCTTAGTCACTATGCTTGTCAACTGCCTGTAACTTATGCGGGCTGATTTTAATGCGAGTGGCAAGCCGTCGGAAACTTCCAAATAAGTTGTGACAACTAAAAAGCTGTCGTTTTTTGTTTTGTTTTTTTCCTGGGAACTAGGAGCAGCGCAATAACGCTGTGTGCGCCAAATCGGCATGATTCGCAAAGCATATATTCCAAACATCCTTTATAAGATAAAATATTAAAAAAAAATCTCAGCGAGGAAATAAAGCTTAAATGTAAACATTTCGGCAGAACTCCGCCTGGTTAGGTAAGTAATAAGAAAAAGTACAACGTAGACTCTAACCAATTTCTTCAATGTGCCCGACGTTTCGAAGCCAGCTCGGCTCCTTGTGCACGGGTACTTTTTCTTAGGAAATAAGACTTTATTAAAATGAGTGTTTTTCCAACCAATCTTAGCGGTCCTTCTGCACACGCATATTGAACAAGCTGGAGGGAAGTCCCTTACCTGATGTGGTCTCCGTGCTTATATTTGCAGGGAGACGCCGGCGAAGACGGCCGGCCTGGAGTACAAGGTTCTGCGGGTCCCACCGTGAGCTCGACTGCATTCTTTTTAATCTTCATGAACCACAAGATTATCAATCTTCCGCAGAGAAGACTTGCTTTGAAAGATACATGCCCGTCTACTTAACCTGAGAGTACCGGGATCGCCAATTATTGCAATCAATCAAAGGAGACCAGCGAATGACAGTTTCGAAAGATAGCGTGAAACCAAAAAAGCTGGAGACTATGTGCGTGGTTGAAAAAACCCCGAGACTGCGGGTAAACGACACAACACTAAAAAGTCTCTAACACAGCTGAAATTTTTATTTTCCAACCCTGGTTATATAGGCACTTTGATACAAAAGAAGAAAAAAAGAAGAAAAAGAGACTATGCGCATTAATTTTTACACAAGCAGTGACTCGGCAGTGGTTTAATAATTGGCATGGGTGTATACGAATAACGGTTCGAAATGAGCAGCAGTTCGTAATTTATAACTTTCACAGTGCTAGGGAGCTAGAAATGACGCTGCACTATTCGATTCGCATCTGCATCCGCACGCCGTGTTCTTAGTGCACTCAGGCAAAGAACAGTAGCGAATGACGGAGTCAGAATGTAAGTTGGAACCCAAAAGAGATGGGACACCGTGCGTGACTTTTTTCATGCGCGCTGGCCAAACACCGGTTAAATTTCTGGTATGGGTGTGCGAATAGGGGGTTGAATCGAATAGTGCTGCGTCATTCATAAACTCCGCCCTGCAAAGGTAAGGCCCGATATTCCAGCCCTTTTTGCACCGTTGAAACTAAAAATGGCACTGCGAAGCAGCATTCCTACACCCGGCTCTGACTACTTAAATGGTCCTTTGCTAGAATCCCTCGCTAAGTTTATTTCATTCGATTGCTGCTCCTTCAATGGGAAGTCAAAAACATTTGTTTTAGCGTTCTGTAAATGATGATACTGTTCTGTAAAGGAGGAACACTTTACAGGCGCAGGAAGAAATGTTATTCGCTGTAATGCTATCGCCTTGAAGGAAAGTGCTTTATTGAATAAACTAGCCAGACGTGTCAGCTAATTTCCCCAAATGTCAACTGCGCATTGATGCTTTGCATCTGCGAGCTTAGAGAAGGCACGCAACTTAGAATTGAAGTTCATGCGGACAATGGTGCGATTAAGTTATTCAACACTGTAAACGACTTAATTTTAGCGAGGACCTAATTTTTTGCAAATTTCGCGAATCGCCTTCAATTCGCGGAAAGCAGGTCCCGCGAGCAACTCCGGTAAATTGTAGACACATAGGAATCTATACTGAGATACCACCGCGTCGCGAAAATTAGAACCCGCGAATTATTCCAAAACTTCAGCAAATCACGAAATATTGAATCCACGAAAAATAAGCCGCTTACAGTATATATGATTGCTCCATTTATGAAAAACGTCGGCGCATATGACGTTTCCATGCGACTAGACCGCACAAAAGAAATCACCAGTTCATAACCATGGTGTAAAGTTCCACGTTGGAGCTCTTTAACGTAATAGAACTTCGTGCCGTCCCGGTGTATTTGTTCTCCAGGGTCCCAGAGGTCTGCCCGGGATGCCAGGGTTGCCAGGCGCCAAAGGTCACAGAGTAAGTCCTTGTCGCACTCACTATTCGAAGAGACTCAGAGGTCACGACTTATTTCGGTTACTAACGGCAGCATCTTTTAGCCGAGAAGCATGTACTACATTGCACGCGTTATGAATAAGTCCCAGGGAAAGTATCACCCGGATCATTCAGATTTCCCGCCGGACCCTTGTCACCTCACTAAGCCACAGGGATTAAGCAATGTCTCATGGATGTGAGAAAGTGATGCACGACATCTGTTTATTATCGAGGAATCGGATATAATACTAAATAACTGCACCTGTATAGCCCTCTAGCTATAATGTTTTGTTCTGTCCTACCATTTCTATGCTGACATTTTATGAATATCAATATTTCTCAAGGAGGTTTGCGTCCCATCGATAGATAACGGGCAGCTCAAAGTGCTTTGAACATTTTTTTAGAGCACAGCTCTTAAGGGCCCGTTTCCGGCTTGAGCGGCGTCGGCGTCGCCGTCGCCGTCGGCGTAACTCCCAGGTCACGTGACTCCCCCAGGTCACGTGACCCCCCTGAGATAACGCGACCTCCCCTCCTGAGGTCACGTGACCTCAAGGAGTCACCTATCCCTCAGTACGCTTCCATCCTCCTCCTTGAGAGCTGCGCTCTAATACGGCATTACAGGGAATTGTAAACGGCTTTCATTTTTCATGTAGTGAACATAGTGCTTTTTTTAAGTCGCATACAGCAGGCTCAACGCGCAAAAGCGTCACGTGAGCAACGACGGGAGCACCTCACCGTCCAGCTGAAGCAAGGGCGTCCTCTCGTGGCAGCTATGGGTCCGATAATTTCAATATAAAAACATAAAATGGTAGACCCCACGCCTAATGTGCTAGGCCTAAAGTCTGATTTTCATCAGTGGGGTTATGGCCAGCGCCCCCTTCTGCCGGGGTGCGTGTATAATCCAGCAAATTCCGACCACTCGGACAGTTAGCTGCGGTTCCACATGCTACTATGCAAGATGATTGTTTCGAACTTTCAGACCAAATTTAAGTTATCCACATAGCACAATATGGGATGACACTATCGCACAAGCATTGCGATAATTAGCGAACTAATAAATAAAAACCCAAACTAACTTCTTATACAATATTTTAGCTGGCATGTCTATATGACGACGATTGTTAGATTAAAGGAAATCAAAATAATTTCCGTGTTATCAAATGCGGACGCCAGGCAGCCGCGGCACCAGGTATCGAAGCACAGATGGAAAAGCGCGGTCGGAAGCAGTTCGTCTCAATTGTCCTTTCTCTTTGTTTAATTTTTACAACAGTGTTTCTTCTTACAGTGCACGGCTGCATATTCGCCAGGGCCCCCTCCGCCCTTTAGTAACCATTACAGCTTGAGGGTTACACACGCTTGAATAAAGGAAATAAAGTAGTGCAGTTTAGAAGAACACAAACCGGAAACGATATTATCATAGGCGACAGCGTTTCCACGTTGTCGCATGAAATGATCATTGATACTTAATAAAGAAAAAACAGTGAGTACGCAGGCGAGCTGGTGGATGTTGATCATGATGTAGAAAACCCGAGACTATGGTAAAAGCAGGGAAACTTGGTCAAAGAAGAAAGACAGTCTCGGGTTTTCTACATCATGATTGATACTTAGTAAGGATGCTTTCTATGTGTACTTCTGTGCCTGCATTAACAAATCAAACAAACGTACCTCACTAGAATTTTGCATTTAATTTTTATTTGTGTTTTTTAATGAACCAACGTCCCAGGACTTATATGTATAAAATGTCACCATTTAAAGGCACAAGTTAGTTGCAGTCTAAGAGTGAAACAAAATGGTATATTGTCTTAGGTGTAAAAATTACGCACATATTGTGAATGTCTCACAACAGAAGTCAACAAAAGTGTCCGTAAAAGGGGGCGTACCTATAAGGGATAGTTAGCAACACACGATCGCCGATCTTGTTGTTTCTCCCGCTGCTAACAAGCCGTCAGCAAAACTATTGGAGTAAGGAAATGTCCTAATAGCCTAATATATAGCAGGGACGTAGGCGGCAAAATATGTTGTTCAACATTAAACATTATCATTGATATGCAAAAAAAAAAAGCGCGTGCTCGTGGTATTTCTGTGCAAAACAAAAGACCGCGAGCACAAACAGGTGGTTTCCGCATTTTTTTTTATGTTTCCTTTCCCAACTTAAATTGCATCATTAAATCTACTAATATTTTTGTGACAGAGGTACTTTAACTGCGTGGTGCACTGTATAACAATGCAATGTGTTCCGATGGGATCGCAGCAGGTGCTCAACTATACAAATAAAAGATATATCGGTAAGGCTGTCTCAAATCTTCGCGGAGCAATTACACGTTTTTCAAAGTGGAGAGTGATCGAACCAAGCGCCTTGTGTGTATGCAGGGCTATCCTGGACTGGACGGAGCCAAAGGAGAGCAAGGCCTTCAAGGAGAAAAAGTAAGAGGGTGGCTAACCACTGATAAACTGCCCAATCAAAAAAAAAATTAAAAAAAGTGACCACTCGTCCCGCGACTCGCGGGACTGTCCCGCATTGAGGGCTCATGTCCCGCGTCCCGCGAGAAATTCCAAAATCTTCAAAATGTCCCGCATTCCAAATTGTCGCAAAATTCGCTCTGCAACTCATGGTGCTGCCCAACAACGTGGGGAAGCGCGGGGGTCGCAGGGAATCGCATGAATCGCAATGGTACGCCATTTTCTATCCAAGCATAGCGGGAAGCGACCTTCGTTCTTGCAGGAGACCCGACGCGCATGCGCCGTTGTGCCTCGCCCCTTGGTGGCAAAATATTGTGAGAGAAACTTTCTTGCAAAAATTTTAAATATAAAGTGCTGTAATTATTTTCATACCGTGTAAATGCAAAAGTGTTGCTGATTTTTTTTAGAAGATAAAAAGCTTGCAACTCACAGCGGTTGAAAAAGAAAATAATGTTAAAAATGTGCGTAGGACCATGCTGTATATCCGAAAAAGATTTACTGCTTCTAGATTTCATTTGATGCACTGAGTTCTGCTGCAGTTGCTTTTTATACTTTCAACTTCGACACATTTAATAACATGAAGATATATCCCTGAGAGTAAAAATGATTTTAGATTAATTTTTGCAATGCAATTTGCGGCTCTATAAACAGCGCAAGATAATAAATGTGCTAACAGAGCCTCGGGTCGTGTAGTGTGTGTTCGTAAGTTCCTCCCCGCCCCCCCCCCCCCCCCCCCTTAGCCGGCCCAGTGTGTCCCGCATTTCGTTAGCAAAAAGGTGGTCACCCCAGCTATAGATGATGGCGAAGGCGGAGAATCGGGCTATCTACAAAAGACGCCGTGATCACAGTGCAAAGTCCTTCCTCATGCCATCGTTGAATGAAACCAGATGCCTGCCTCTATTTTTACCATCACTAGCGCAGAATTTTTTTTTTTGATGATCATCTACTAGCCATTTAAAATGAGTGGATGCATAACCTCTGTTGCTTTTATTCTTGTACATTAAGTTACTGTTCGGTGTCACCATTGTATTGTTCAATACATGCCCCCTTTAGGTAATGCCCTAACCGGGCCTTTATGATCGAAATAAATGAAATTAAATTAAATGAAGAAAATACAAGCATGTCTCGATCATGTTTATATTTGATAAAATCGGAGACTCACGGAATGTGTTGCGATTGAGCTGTGCTCTGTGTGTGTGACGTCACCTGACGTCATGAGGTCACGCCATGTAAGGGTGACCCGTGACGTCACCGTTTGACGTGACGTCATGATGTCAAGTGACGTCAACACACTCTGTGCTAGAATAACCAGCATCCACGTTCCCTGGCCCTACTGGCTCTACTCCGCAGGTTGTAACTTGTAAGATATAGCTCTCGCCTTGAAATACGTGCAAGCGCACGGCTCTCTCAAAATGATTTCCAGATATCAAAACGATTCCCCTCGACTTATATCTTTTTTGGTTCCAGGGGGCTCTGGGATCACCCGGAAAAGTTGGACCACCGGGACCTATTGTGAGTGAGGCGTTGAGTCTGTAAGTGGCGCCTCAAGAACGAGGATCTCTACGGCGGTTTTCTCTTCAGGGACCGGCGGGACCCCGGGGCGAGCGAGGAAGAGACGGACCACCCGGACCACCCGTGAGCATTTCCCTTGTCGTCGACAGCATACTTGCTGCCGATTCAGGGCCGTAACTGACTGCTACTAATTGCCGATGGACAGAGCCCTGCGCGGATAACACTTTGATCATCCCCATCTGATCCTCATCCGCAATGTTCGTAAATAATTGTAGTCGTACCCGATCCGCATCCGCAGACAATGTAAGAAAGCGCCTGGATGGTGTCCTATTATAATGAACGAAGAGCGTGTTGGTGAGGGGCAAGATTAAAGAAAGAGTAAGCATGTAAGACGAAGGCGACCTGTTTAGGGGGGTGTCCTATGAGCCGTCAGGTTACCTTTGTACAAAGAACTAACTCTTCGTGCCAGAGTACGGTGATCGTCATTTTATCGTATTCTGTTTTATCGTATTTATAAAATAAGCGATCATCCTCCCAGACACACTTCGCATCGTTAGAAATAAGATCGCAGTTATGAGATTGTCTTGGGAGTCCATGAAACTGACAGTCTGTTCGGAAGACGCGCTCAAAAGAAAGAAAATTTTAACTTTTTTTTATTTTTGCTTCGTAAAAACCCATTTTAAGCAGACGCATATTTTATACACATAAAAATTAGCGAAATACCGACTAATAATATTTTGTCATTTTATTTAGACCAATCAATAAACAAAGGTGTGAAAGGAAAGGTGCTCACTTACAGCGGCGAAGTACTCGTGCATATGTGGTAAGGCGCGAGTACAGCACAGGGAAGAGATCACAACATTCAACAATGGCTACACGTCCTATCGGTTTTAGTTTTAAACACGAACCCTCAACTGCATGCTAGGAACCAGGGATGGGCAGTATTTCAAATACAAGTATTTCAAATACGTATTTCAAATACTTTGTTTTTTTGCATTTGTATTTAATTACAAATTGGGTAATGTATTTGACGTGCGTATTTAAATACTAAAACGTGGGTATTCCAAATACAATATTAATTAAATACAATTATGTGGGCGAAAATACATTCCTCAAATTTATTGTCACTGTCCAGAGCAGGAAGAAAACTACGTTCTGCACCGAATGCCGTGTCTCTCAATCAAGCACAAGCGTTTAGTGACTTTGTGATTAAGGTGCTAGTCCAGGGCAAGAATAGTGACGAAATCGACGTTCACAGGCAGACTGGCTAAATAAGTGCCTGTGACAACTTGTAATGCTTTCCAGCCTGATTTCCATCCATATTTTTGCCTGGAACATTCTAAATGCGCGGGTCATCCAGATTTTCGTAACTGGTGCGATTTGCAACAATAAAAAATTCTCTAGCTAGTGCTGCGCGTCTTGGTCGTCTCGGTTCTTTGTTGGTCTATACCAAAATATAATCGACAAAAAAACTGCTTGAAGCTCTGTACTTTTTTCACCTATTACGTCCAAGCTGACTCCATGTTTTTGTGATATTTCTATTACGTTACTAGATCCTCGCACGCTAACTCCCGAGTGTGCGATGCAAAATTAAAATGAGATACCCAGAAACCCGTTGCAGGTGCCCTGAAGTCGCTGACGCATATTTTGAGGAATGTATTTGGAAAAGTATTTTGAGGAGACCAAATACATTTGGTTGCATTTGTATCTTGTATTTAAATGCTTTTTGGAAATGTAATTAGATTTGTAATTAAATACATTTTTGACGAAGTATCTTGAATTTGTATTTCGATACATATTTGCATGTATTCGCCCATTTCTGCTAGGAACCATATACTTAAAAAACAACTCAGTGTCAACTGTCGAGAAAAAGAGAACGCGCACACACGCAATGTTTTACTTGACGAGGTTGCTGTGTAGAAGAAACAGAATATAGTCAACAAGGATGGGTTCAGACTGATTCGCCTTTCTTAAATTAATACCCGTTAATGAGAAGTCTCTCTCCGTTGGTACACTTGATGCTGGAATGGCATGCACGAACTGTGCTACAAGAAGTAGGTGCGAAAACTCGTGCTGGCGCGAGTTCCACCAGTCCAGAGGATCGAATTCAGTCTCCTCGATATACTCGTAGGCGAAGAAGCCGCTTGCACACTTCACCATTCTTTTGGCTTGTACGCTATGGGTTTTCTTTTCCCAAAGAACGTTTTCCGTTCTTTCCCAGCTAAACAAGAACACGCTTTCCCGGGACGACTAATTCTCCCGTATTCTTTATTTTTTTATTATCTTTTTTTTTTATTTTTTTAGAGAGAGCATTTTTGGCATGATAGTACGTTCTAAAGTGATCTTTCGTGAGAATGAAATGTTTCTTGACCTAAAGAACAATTTTATCCCCGATTGGCACCTTTTATCTAAAGGAGTAGTTTTCTCCCGCAATACATTGAATGATGTACTTCATAGTATCACTCACTTATTCACTCTACAGTACTGCGCGGCCGCGCACGTTTATCCTCCATAAAAATCTAGATCCGGACTCGCGGGTATCCACATCCGATCCGCATCCGCAGCCCCTGGCATCCGCATCCTATCTGCAATTCGCCAAATCTGATTCATTTTTACCCTTATCCGCCAGTTTACTGCGGATATCCGCGGATAATCCGCGGATATATAAGGCTCGACCAATGGATAGGTAAGATGGTCTTCAGGAGACTATAATAAACGGAAGTTGGGAGTGAGGAAAGATGGATCATAAGCTAACGGTTCACCGAAATCGAGTGGGAGGGCTGTGGAGAACCATTTGATCCCTACACGGAAAACGACCAGCTATCAGGTTTTAAAAGTGCAATCAGCGCAACGACACGGACACGTTAAAAGGAGCCTGACAAACTACCGCGATTTTGTTTTTCAGTCCTATTTTACTCTGTCCACGTCGCTGAGCTGTTTGTACTATTAAGAATGAACCAATTAGCCCAATTGCCAACGTAATTCAGCTATCAGGTGTTGGTACCAGGAGGCACTAGCTAGAGTAGACACATTATAACCTAAACCCTGAGACATGGGGTTTAGGAAACCGGAAGTACTTAAGTTTTTGCGCTCGTTACGTCGAGGGGGCCTTCATGTAGACAAACGACATTTTTATTTTGATATATGATATCCCGTTACTAATTAAACCTTTTATAAGCGTATGTACGAAACTGCACCCCGAATTTCGCCAGTGTCAACGGCTGACATCCGTAGCTGCTGCGTGACGTCACAAAACGCAAAGGTTTGTCGGATGGTCGGGATAACAAGCGTTGGTCGATGGGTGTCTTGTAGTTTCGAATTATATAGTCTCTTAGGCCAGTGGTTCTCAAATGGGGATCCGCCAAGGCATTCTAGGGGTCCGCGAAACCCTGCCTCAGATCGAAAAAAAATGTTTCAGTTTTCGGCCGAGTTTTTTTTTTCGCGTGAACGTCAGTAAGAGAGGTCTACTTCACACTAGCCCTTAGTTATATCCATATATTAAATCATTATTATATTTAACCTATACCTTTCCTCTCTTCTCACCACGAACGGGATCCTCCATCATCTCCGCCGATCCAATGCATCCGCGAAACATCGATGGTTGAGAACCACTGTCCTAGGCTGTACCCTACTGAAACACGGTTCTTTTAATGCAGTTCCCGAGCGTGTGCAAAGGAAGTCATGCCTTTTAGCAGGATATTACTCGAAAACAGCCATAAGCTTCGAGCAAACGTATGCCGTTTCACGCAAACACAACTGCGACGGCCCCCGATCGAATTAGGAGCGCTTGCAAAGCAAGCGATGCAGATTTCGCCTCTGAAGCGGCAATTAGGTACACGAAGCGGCATCTCGGTACACATTTCGGCGGATCCACTGGATCGGCGATGAGGCAGCGGGTCTTTCCCTCAGAGGCGATGACCACAGGTCGAAGGCAACAGGCGAATCATTCAAATGCATGTAGTCACTTGACCTGGACGAGCTTGGTGGATCGTAGCCACGCTCTATTTTCACCTGCGGGTCAAACAGAATTTGGCTGCACGCGTGCTAAAACAAGTTTTGGCATCGTTTCCAGGTGGTCTAGTTGTTGGTTTCGGTTTCGCTGCAAAAACAAATTGATTGATCCGATTTGGGCGAGGAGTGGATGGACGTAGTTTAATATCGTCGGCACAGCATCACACCTCTGCTTACGAGCCTTCTGTCCGCTTAGAGCTCAGCTCGTAGCTCTCTTCTCTGAAATAATTGCTGCAAAAGCGGGATCTCGATCTTCACGGGAACCCAGTCCCTACGCACGGCGACAATCCGTGGTTACCCACTCGGCCTTCTGCGCAATGCCAGTAGTCGCGTTTCTAACATTTCGCGTCACGACGCCCTATTTCCCCAATCAAGGTCTAAACCCCCTTGCAACCCCCTCATCTTCACGTTCCATCCCTCGATACCTAGGCTCGGCAAACTAATCATGGACGCCACTTCCCACCTCGTAGACTCCAAAGTTATTTCTAAAGCACGTGCGCTAACTTACCGTCGACAGCCCAACTTACGATTCCTTTTAGTACGCAGCAACCGTTCCATAAGACCTCAGACTTTACTTCCCGGTACCACGCCGTGCGGCGCCCCAAAATGCCTTACGTGCTAACACACCGGCCCTCCTCCCAAACCTGCCAATGAGAATCCCTGACAATCACACCTGTAAATCTTCTAATCTGATATACATCGCTTCCTGCACACTCTGTCCAACCTTATTTTATATCGGCGAAACTGACCGCCGACTCCACGAACGCTTCAGAAAACACCGCAGACTCGTCACACTGGAAAGAGTGGGCCAACTCAAACATGACCTCTCCGCACACGTATCTAAACACTTCTCCTCCACAAATCACTCTGAACTTAACATGCGAATTTGCGTCATCAAATCAGGCTTCCATACACCCACCTCACGGAAAAAAAAATAAAACAGATTAATTTTTAACTTAAAGACGGAATTTCCTTCCGGTCTGGACAAGAAACATTCTTTTGGCTATTAAACATTCCCCTTTCTCCCGCTCCTTCCTTTTTTTTATATATATAATTTGACCAGTTACGCGGGGGCTATAAGCCTCCCCCCCACCCGCATTCCTCAACTTGTTGACTTCAAACCTCGCACCCTACTTGAAGACTTTTCCTCCTCTCTCTCTTTCTCCACAACGTCACATCTATCACGTGCTACCTATGCCTTTTGTATATATGGTATTCTTACTCTGTTCTGTCATCTCCCCTTTTACCTGAAGAAGACCTTCTGGTCGAAACGTCATTCCCCTCCTTTCCTTTGGCACTTATCTTTCACTTCATATTCCTACTAATACATTAACAGTGCCCGGCAGAACCCTCCATCTTCAGTTTTAGTAGATGGTGTGTTCAGGCTTCGCCATATGCAGCGGGAGCTCGCGCTTCCACTTTGATGCATGCTCTGTTGCGCGTGCCCGTACCGGTAGCGGGGCTTTGAAAACGATCTACTAAAACAATCCCTAGTGAGTTTTAGCAGACCGTACGCTGGGGATTTCGGGACTATCGAACGCGTGCTCAATCTATGCTTCAAAGCGAGGGCACGAGCCTCCGTTTGCAACGCAAAGGTCTAGCACGCGGTCTACTAAAATTCTATAAAATAAGCCATGCGATGACCCCATCATCAGTACCATAAAAAAGGAACCTTGTATTCTATCTTCTCGAAGCCCTAATTCACTCCAGCTCTTTGTAACTATTATTTGCTGTGCTTCTCGCTTGAAATTGTATATCGCCATGTTGTTTTGATTGTGTCATGCAGGGAATACGCGGCATCGATGGGCTTCCTGGTCCTCCCGGCTCTCCAGTGAGTAACCCATACTCTTCCTTAGAATGACACGTTTAAAAACACTAGTGTATGGAAGTACTTTAAGTGCATTGTATTGAAAATACTACTTTAAGAGGTTTAGAAAACGTGTACTTTACAGGAAGTACATTCTCTTAGTATGTACTTGTACATTTCTGGTACTTTCAAAACAAGGTACAGCTCCCGACTTCAAAGTACATTCCCAAAATTCCGTTTAACATTTTCGCCATGGCGGTGTACAGGGCGGCTCCCTGTAGAAACAATGGCAGACAACGGGTATAAAAAGTGCAATTTGGGAAAGCCGAGATTATTTTGTTGTTTCCGGCATCCACTGCCCAATCTTATTTACGTTGCGGCACAGATTCATGCCTTGCCACCAACTCGGTAGACAATCTCCAAGCTGCTGAGAGTCCGCGGAAGCGGGCTTCCACAGAAGTCGTCTCTTTTGTCGTTCCCATAAGGCAATAACTAGAGTGAAGCGCTGAGAAAGGCACGAGGACGAGTGCATTGATCTAGGCAGCGATTTCTTGCGATCGATTAAATTAAGCTCTTTTAAGGACCACCCCTCGACTCTTTAGCTTTCCCAGCTCTAGAGTACACAACTTCTGAGGCCGACTGTAAGAGTTTACCAGCCTCTCACAAAAAAAAAAAAAAAAAAATGGCTCATCGTCATTATATGATAACGTGCTATCTAACGTCTTTCGACACGTCATTCGGTCATTTTTGAGAGAAGTAATGGTGGCTATAAGACCGATACAAATAAGTGGCTTATAACTTATAAGTTCCCTCTGCTAAATAGTTCGTCAGTGAGAGTAAAACAACTACTCTGTGGCCACTTGACTTAATTCAATATCCGTCACCATTCCCAAAAATAACTGATGCCCCCCCCCCAGTCCCTGGGGAAATGTATACACACTTAAAAAGTACTGTATAAGAGAACACGAGGGCACCATGAAAGGTTGTGTAAAAAAGTGATTGTACTTTACTTTAAAAGTACACATTGTATTTATAGGACTTTACTTCAAGTACGTTGCTCCCGGTGTACTTTCTACTTTATTTGAAATACATAACCTCTCATTTCATTCTTAGTGCTTCCTTCAAGTACTTACTTCAAGTACTTTTTAAATCTGCAGGGAGTTTCCAAGAAAAGAGAACCATGTTTTTGGCCATTTCAGGCAACTATTTGTCGCAGAAAGCTCTAACTTCCTGAAAATGTGACGCTAGCGGTTGAGATAGAACACGGAAGTTTGAAAACATGACGTTGCCTGGATGAGAAGGTAATTGAGGAAAACAAAATTTCTCAATGAGCCAACCACCTAAGCCAAATATCGTCAAAACAAGAAATGACACCGTGGGCGCCGGTAACATGTACATTTCAGTGAGTAAAAAAAAAAAAAAAAGAAAGAGCAAACAAAAAAACTTGTCAGCAAGAAAGCAATATCGTATTTCTTGCTGACAACTTTTTTTTTTCATTGAAATAGAAGTTACAGGCGCCCCAGTGTCATTACCTTGTTTTGATGATGTTAAGCTTACGTGGACGCCGGCTCATAAAAAAAATTGTCTTTCTTAATTATTTTTTGATCCAGGTAACGTTGTGTTCACAAACTTTCGCGGACTCTCCCAACCGCTAGCGTCACATTCTCACGAAGTTCGAGCTTTCTGCAATACATATACCATAATATCCCGAGAAATACTCCATCCCTGAAAGATAACACACCCTCATTTTGGGGGTACTATTTTTTTTTAAGAACACCGAAAGGGTAGGCGACTTCTAGTACTTGCAAGTCCCTGGCCAATGGTGACCTCGACAGAAATGGCCTTACTTAGCCACGGCGGGAGATAAGCGAACATTGCTTACTGGGAAGGACAGTCGTCCTTGGTTTATCGCCCCTCCCTGCGATCACAAGCCCTTTGCCGGTCACAAAATTTAAAAACAGCCTTTTTAAACTTTTTCATCGTACACCGAAAGATTGCCCACCCCTTATTTCCATCCGATATACATACCAGTTTAGGTGGGCTATCTCTTGGGATCTTACGGTAGTTGATGTACCTGGGCAGAAAAACGCGGTTTTCTTTTCTCGAGAACTCCCTGTACTATGGTACCCAACACTGAAAAACACGAAACCGCTTCTGGTTTGGTGCACAGTCATTTCAAGAAGATATCTGCATGACGATCGGGCAAATGTAACATGTCTTCGACTCACACCGATATAATTCCTGGCAGTGTTTTGATACTTTCTACATTATTCAAAATGAATTTTCGTATTGAGATTTTTTTTTGTGTAACTACTTTTTACAAGAATTTTTGCCTCGAAACTATCGTCTTGTGTATGCCGAGTAAATAGTGCGCCTTGTTATAATGGACACTTCTAAAATATAATTCCGACGCACTTTAGAAACGTAAATTGCGTGGTTTATATTGATCAACCACGTTGTTTCTGAGACAGCCTTATAGCCACGTACGTGCATGGTATAGTGCTCAATCTAGTTTTGACTGTGCCGCTTTTCCCCATCTAGGGAGCCATAGGAAGGCCAGGCCCACCAGGATTTCCAGGCTCACCTGGAATGAAGGTAAGCCACCCCCTCCCAGTTTTTTTTTTATGTCAATCTCTTTAGAATTTTTGAGCAGGGGTTTCTAATTTTGCCGCAATCTTAGGTATATTCATTAAGTTTCCAATTAGGCAACACGCGCGTGACACAATGCCTTATCTATTTTTGGACAGACATGCATAACTTTTTTTTTTTTCTGATTTTTTTTTTCATCTTAGACATTGACACCAATCCTTACTTCCAGGGTGATTCAGGAGGTGCCGGCCCCAAGGGAAGTCAGGGACTCCAAGGTCCACGCGGAGAGGCCGGAAAGCCCGGAGTTCCAGGAGAAAACGGCTTGATGGTACGCGGCCCATTTGAAAACGGCCGCTTTTGCATATTCTTTCAAAGCCGTAGGGATAAGTACTTCCATATTTTGCTATGCAGAACCTGTCAGCACCCTTGTAAGCCAGGGCGCCGATTAGCTATTTAAACCCAATTAATATCTACCTTTTGGTTGATTCATTAATGGATTAATCGGCGGCGTTGAACTTCGTGCACAGTATCCGAAGAAAGTGACAAGACTACACATTTTTCGTTTTACAGTTTCTTGGTATGTCATCCATTGGCGGAATCTGCCGCCTCGTTTCAAACGGGTATGCTGTGCCGCCCATAAAGAGAAAACACGAGCAAATCATTTTACGAATAAAATATTTTACATTATTTTTAAACCTGATAATAACTCTGAATTACGATCTCGGGGAATGTTAGTATTTTGCCGGGGAATACAGCGGTGCTGCCTCCTAAAATATATAACAGCGCACCAGAGCAAGCATTTTTACTTTTTCCCAGAAAATTCAAATATTAACCGATTGACAAGTGTAAAACATTTATCGCAAATAAAGCATTAACTGATTAATCGGAAGGTTTGTCGATTTGCCAAGCCCTAATTGTTTTCTATAGAACCGCTCCAGTAATCACCTGCTGGTCATCTTTGTCTATAACTAGGCATAGAACATGTTCGGAGCATGCGCATTACCTCTCTTCTGTGGAATATTAGGGGCTGCGCATCTGTCCACTGCCAATTGACTTGGCGATTTCACTTGAGTAATAAGCGATCGATGGAACGCTATATAGCCTGAGTTTTGTAATTGCTCCAACTAACACCTTTCCTTTCGATTTTCCCCTTCCTGGCGTGTTCTTCTAGGGACCCCCTGGCAAAGACGGCGTTCCCGGAGAAAAAGGTGCTCAGGTAAGGGGACTAATAACTCTGTGCAGCTACTTTGGCAAACCAAGTATTAAAAAAACACACAAAAAAACGTGTTTTTCTTACAGCTGAAATGGTCTACGCATCGGCGAACTTCTTTCACCGCCCAAATGTGCAGCTTAAGATCAGATGAAAGACCAAATTAAAAATGTATAAGCGCTTTGTAAAACATTTATCATTAGTCTTCGTTTTCGATTTCCTCTTTTTGTTTACATTGGCTCATGCTACGATGAGCTTTGCACAAGGAGGTATTGTAAAATTGCTTAATAAATAGAAGAGAAAAAACCTGGGAAATGCAGTGCATGCCAAAATTAAAAAAAAGAAACTAGTTAAATTCAAATTGTATAACCTCTGTAAAATGATCAAAAGTCAATGCGTACCGGAAGTTCGTGTGCTTTTTGCGCAGGGGTTACGGTGACGTCAGAACACCGAGCTCTGATTGGCTAGACTGAAACGATAGTACCTCAAGGAAGATAGCATTGAAGTCTGCCCACCATCCTAAGAATCAGAGCCAAACAGAACTCGGCGTTCCGACATCACCGTAACCCCTGCCCAAGATGCAGACGAACTTGCGCTCCGTGGGAAGTCGCGCAAATATCAGCTGCTAAATCACTCCATTCTTGAATTGCCCGAGGAAAGAAAGAATGTCTAAAAGAGTTGTTTTTGAAATTTTATCGTTTAATCTTCAGCGATGGTTTAATCTATCAATTTGATCTCTTGCTTCTAATGTCAAAAGCTGAGTTCTTTTAGCGAACTCGCTTGATGTCAATCTCGTGTTAAAAATTTTCAAAATAAACCAAGCAGTTAACTTTTGAATACTTTCTTGTTTGCTAATTACACCCTTTGTGAAACGGCAAAACACTGAGACGCGTAATTTAAGATACGTCTCACAAACCTTTTCTAAGCAAACAATGTGATGTCAGAATTCAGCGAAGTTTTATTCTATTTTCGGTATGAACATTAGGCTTCTGGCTTTCCTCCTTCTAAATGCTGATTTTAGAAAGCCCTAAATAATTCGTATTCCTCTGCAACGTTTCTTTTCTTTTCTTTTTTTTTTTTTCTAAAAATAACCCAATTGCTTAAATGCTTTTTTTTTTTATCACGCAACCGGCACACGTACACTGCGCGTCAACGTTAGTGCGAATACGACATCGGTGATTTTTTGCGGTTCACTCATACATGCCATCGACTAGCATACAGCCTTACAGCGTAGGTTAGTGTCCCAAGTGAGCACGTTTCACCACATTAGTACTTTTATTGATGTCCGCCTTTAAATTCTAAAATAAAAACAGAAAGAAAAAAAATAATAAACTGGCGAATGCTTGTCGCGAAGTGTATACATGTTACCACACCACACACCTTACCCGTGCAGGAAGGAATATTGGAAACGTAAACATACCTAAAACTTGAGACTACTAAATTAGTATGTAAAATACATTAAGTGAACACAGGCACTTAAATGACGAGAACAATCCCTCGAGAAGGGGAACAAGGGGGACAAAGGACAAACACAAATCTCCAAACACAGCTAAGTGACTGGTGAGCGACCGAACCAAATTCGCCTGGTCTTGTATCGAACCAGGGACCTCTCCATTTCCAGTGGAAATGTAGAGGTCCCTGCGGATTTTTTCGGTCGCGCACCAGCCACTGAGTTGAGTTTGTCCTTTGTCCCCCTTGTTCCCTTCTCGCTTGCACAAAAATTTGAACGGACACTTAGGTCCAAGGTCCAAGACTAAGGTCTTTGCCTGTGTCCTTTTAATATGTATTTTTCCTCTGTCGGAAGTTTCAGATTTTAGCTACATTTTCTTTTGCGATTCACCTCGCTTGCGCACACGCAGTTCGCTGGTGCAGTTCGATTGTGCAGTTCGATTGCTAACCTTCCCATACCTCTCAAATTCAGCAACACTAAAATCGAAACCGAAATTTACTTTCTTATACAAAAATAATCAATAGTGCATTCTTTGCTTGTTTTTATATAACAAAAATATGCTATTAATTATTTTGATGTTAATTTAAGCAAACAGTTGAAGCCCACTGAAACCTTGCATAAATATGCGAGATTTACCAGTTTACCACAAATGCTTCATCCAATCCAATCCAACCCGTGAATACCTTGTTTACTTTGAGCGTGAGCTTTTGAGTGTATACCCGCTGATTTCGTAATTGCGGTCCATCATGCGTGAATTGTAAGTTATGCTGTCCTGCTCGCCACTTGATTTGTCATTTTTATAGTTCAAATCACTGATCTCAATGACAATTGCTGGATCGCGCTTGCCGCTCCCGCAAGTGAAGCCACCGGGCGTCACTCGCTTGGGATACGATTTGCCGTTTTTGCTAGCCTTTGCTGCGGTTTTCCAGCGTGCTGACGACACGTTTTCTACTCGTTCGTCGTCATTCGCCGAAGAAGTTTTTTGAAGACTCTGTGTATTGTTGAGACTTTCCGTTGTGAACACGTGGAAAATTTTACGAAAGTGCAGTGTCGCAGGAAAAAGGCACAACGCGTCGAAAGGAAGGGCTGGCGGCGTGTTCAAAGCATCCTTGGCACGCCGAAGTGCCGTGTCTCTGTGCCTTCGCGCGCTTGGATACCGACCAAGAACCGACGCCGTGTGAATGTGTTTAGCGAGTGCAATGTGCGTGAAGCCGTATCAAAAGGTACAACTCGTCGAAAACGTGTCGCCGGTGTCGCGGCGTGATCAAAGCTTCCTTGGCACGCCGAGTGATGCATCTTTGTGCCTTCGCACGCTTGGATACCGGTCAAGAATTGACGCCGCACCAAAGTTCTGAACGTGTGTCGCGCGTAGATGCCTTTAGATCATTTATATATATCGGCCACGGAGTTCTGGATCGTCCAGCTGTTCCGGTGAGTTGCTATCAATAAAAGGGGGAGATCTGTACGTATTCTTATGTACTATATTAACCATGGCTATGTCCCAAATCTACTCTAATAGATTCCGTGGGAGCACGAATAGGGCAACGTTGTACGTGGAGCCAGGGGGTTTTCGAAAGCAAATGTACAAGACGGCGAGAATGAAAATCTTTGAAGCGCGGCCGATATGGTCGTGTGCAATCTGTTGACCAATTACAATTAGGCGAGTCGCGTAGGTTGATAATAAGCCAGCACTGATCAGTGATGAGGAGCTGTTGTGCACGGTATTAAATCGTCAAAGGACGAAAAAAAGACGTACCTTCTCCCCATCTCCCGTCGCTAGTGGACGCTGGATTAAGCTCGTTCCTAAACCGCGAGGGGAAAAGACGCTGATCCAGAGGCACGAACAGCTTCACGCACATTGCACTCGCTGAACACATACACACGGCGTCGGTTCTTGGTCGGTATCCAAGCGTGCGAAGGCACAGAGACACGGCACTTCGGCGTGCCAAGGATGGTTTGAACACGCCGCCAGCCCTTCCTTTCGACGCGTTGTGCCTTTTTCCTGCGACACTGCACTTTCGTAAAATTTTCCACGTGTTCACAACGGAAAGTCTCAACAATACACAGAGTCTTCAAAAAACTTCTTCGGCGAATGACGACGAACGAGTAGAAAACGTGTCGTCAGCACGCTGGAAAACCGCAGCAAAGGCTAGCAAAAACGGCAAATCGTATCCCAAGCGAGTGAAGCCCGGTGGCTTCACTTGCGCTGCAGCGAACAAGCGGGGAAGCGCGATCCAGCAATTGTCATAGAGATCAGTGGTTCAAATGCCTAAAGCACTTCTGGTAAATCGGCGAGGAAACACTGTTGCTAGCGTGTTCTGCGAAAAAAAAGTTGGGTCTTTCTTTAGCCACTTTACGAACCAACGTTCCTTTGATATGACTTGGTACGGGTGTAGCTGCTCGATCCCACTGAATTCGGTGGATATTTTCTTTTCTGTGCTTACAAACCGCCGATAATAAGTATGCGTCAACAGTGCAGAGCATGAAATGTTCAGTGAGTAAACAGTCAACAAGCAGACTATGTTTCAGTCTGCGTGTTTTCATCTCAATAATTATTACGAGGCAGGGTCAGAAAGTAACCGCTATATGTTGTTATCTGCATAATAATAGAGGCAGAATTAAAAACAATTTGCCGCTTTTCAACTTTTTCCGGCCACAGATTGAACCTGTGGCCGGAAAAAAATACATTTATTTAGCTGCTTGGATGGAACAGCGCGGATGAACAGGCACACTCACATGCACACAAGGAGACAGACTCGCAGCGCTGAATCACCAACTTGCCCAAGCATCCACATTATTTAGCTGAAGGTTGGAACCCCTCATCCCCTTCAAAGTGCTATCCTTGGGGTCGCACGCACTCTTCTCAGCGGTCCTGCCATTGTTGGAAGTATTTTACGAAGGCCGTTATCGAAATCGAGCTTAACTGGGACGTCGTATTCCGTATTATGTCTTCTCGTCGCTCAAATTAGGTTCTTTTCGGCGGCATTTTCAGCTGGGGTAAGAGCCAGAAATCGCAAGGTGCCATGTCGAGGGAGTAGGGAGATTGATGAACTATAGCAGTGCTTTTTTTTTTTTGCCAAGAAACTTTGAGCTAATCGTGTGGAGTGAGCTGATGCATTGTCATGATGCGACTGTCAAGTTTCCACTTCTCACAGATCTGGTCTCTTCTGCCGCACAGCATTACGAAGATGGTGTATGACCTCCAGCCAGTACACTTGAGATATTTTGGCCTTGTGGTGCATACACGTGGTGCACCACCCCCTGGATGTAAAAAAAAAAATTGTCAACATCACTTTGACGTTGCTGCACACCTGCTGTGCTTCTTTTGACCTCGTGGATGTTGAATGTTTCCACTGTGACGAGTGCACCTTGGTTTCCGGATCGTACCTGTAAACCCACGACTCATCACCAGTAATGACGGCGTACAGAAAGTTGGGGTCACCATTTGCGGACTCCAGCATATTGCAAGGCTTGCAGAAGGAGTTTTTTTTTCTCCAGCGTTTGCAACTTCGGTACGAATTTCGCACACACTCTGCGAGGCTAAATTCTCGCTCATTATGGAATATACTGAGCCAGGACTCGTTCCCCCTCATCAGCAAGATTTTGGATGGTGCTGTGACAATCTTGCATGACCGAAGTTCACACTTGTTCAGTGAGATTGCCATTCCGGCTAGTTGAAGGCCTCCCGGAACGTGAGTTGCTCTCAGCCACCGTGCGACCGTCTTTGAACCAATTGGGCCTCTCCTTAACTCATTTGCTACCGCGCGCGTCGCGCGCTGCTGGGCCTTCCATATTGTGTGTTTTTTGCCCCTAAAACGGCCACTCTAGACGTAACTGCTTTGACTTGTATAATATGTTTTTACAGTAAAACTCTGTGCACAAAAATAAAAAACATGTTTATTTGCATTCTTAAGTAATTAGTTTGAGTCTACAAACTAATTACTTAAGAATTACATACAGCCCCTTGGTTAGGCTGGTGGAGGAGCAAACCAGTTTTGGTGTTCTCACCCCAGGGGGACACCGGGCCTCCCGGGGTGCCTGGCTTTCCCGGGGCGAGAGGTCCCCCCGGACTTTCTGGGAGTCCGGGGCAGCCAGGCGTCAAAGGAACCTCGGTGAGAAGGCACCTTTGCACTTTCGCCACTCGGTTGACTAGGACTCACTAGCCAATAAACCTCTCTCTGATTAAATAGTGTGACCTTTTACACAACGAGCCCATTGCTAACTTACTTCATTCAGAGAAACAGTAAACATTTACAAAGCAATTGGTGGAACCACTGGTTTTCAATGAAGTTGAGGAAATATGTAAATTTTAGCTCTGACAGGAGAACAAGGTGTTATTTGAAGATCTTTCGGCTGAATTGGTCATGCAGCAAGAAGTCAGCAGAGGTACAGCTGCTCCCTGTAGGAAGAGGGCATGATATGCCTTCTTTCCCAATGCTGCCTTCTAAGTCATGCCTAGAGGGCACGATTTAGAGGGCGGAAAACCTAAAGGGTTTGTAGCTTACTTGCAACCTTAATCACCGTGACTCTAGTCTTCTAGACCAATGAGAAAACACTTTAAAGGGAAAAGGTCTTGTGTGTTGTTCATTTGTTGTCTTATTGTATGTCACTCTTTTTGTATTGTGCATAAAGCTGTTCAGTAATTTATAGTCAAGTCTCAAAAATAATTTAGGGTGTCTGTCAACATGGGAAACTTTACATGTCAAGAAATTTAGTGAGCCTAAAAAAAGTCAGGCAACTGTTGGCACAACATTGCAACACTCATTGGAGTTCAAGTGTCACACCATGGTAAAACACAGTGGTAAGTCTATTAATGGTAACTCAATAATCGTTCAAGTATCAAGAGAGCTCACAAGCGGGACATAATCTGCAGTGGCATATTGTCATTGATGGTTCTAAACCTTTTCTTTTAAATTTGAAATTTTGCTAAAACAGTTTAAGGGCACTTTAAAATGTTATGTCATTCGGAAACATAGTTATTGTATGCGACCCACATCCAGTTTTTAAAAGGAAATGCAAAGAATCGACTCGTTTCATATGCCATGGGAGTCTTTCATTGCAGGCAAATGCCAAAGTAGGGCTCACATTGCAGGCAAATGCCAAAGTAGGGCTCACGTCAGTGGACCCAAAGTGAGGTCCACTGACGCGTGTTTTCGTGCATGAGAGTGCAGAGTGTGCCGCGCGTGTTCTAGGGCATTCCGGGCTCCCCAGGCCACAAGGGAGAGCAGGGCCTCAAGGGTGAAGGGGGACCCATGGGCCCCAGGGGGATCCCTGGACCCCCCGGACCGGCAGGCAAGAGGGTGAGCGCTCAGTCCTCGCCCAGGGCCACCCGACTGTGGGCCCCCAGTTACCTCCACTGAAGACTTTGTGCATAACATCTCTTTTCGTGATTATGGCACCTGGAACTAGTCTTCGACTGGTGTGTTTACCGCATCCTTTTTTGCGGTCCCTCGATTTCTGCCCGATGACATCACACTTATGTCGTGCTGTTTCCTGCCGCTGTTCTAGTGGTGTCACGGCAGCAAAGCTAAATGCAGCAGGTGCTTGTTCTTCTGTAGGTCACTCTCTACCTCAAGAACTCGTGTAAGTTTTGACATTCGGGAGCTGGGTTGCTGCGATGCAGGGTGTCCAGGAATTCGGGAAATGGGGAAAACAGGGAGTTGTAAGGGAATTTCCTCCTGAATCAGCGTCAGTCAGGGAAATTAAGCTTTCTTTTTTCAGAGCGACAGCAAAAGACACGTGCACAGTGTGATACACATCATTACAGGCGACTTGGCCGGCAAGCCTACACAAATCTCTGCTCCGAGATTAGAGCCTTGGCGGATCCTGAATAGTCTCCTCTTTAAATGCGAGCACCGATAGGATCTTCTCTCCTTGTGCTTGCACTGATACATTTTTCCGGTGACGGGACATTTATTCTGAAAAATATATCAAAGAATAGTCTGACAGGGTGCTAATGGTATCTGGTGCATAGCCACCGCCCCGTTGGCCATCAGAGGTACCGGTGTTTTCACGTAAAAACGCCACTTGAGACGCGTACCATTTTCACGGGAGTCGGATAGGGAATTTGGATAAAATAGTCAGGTGATTTGTAAACATCATTTTGGTACACACCCAGCGGTGACAGCGACGCTTGCGCTCGCTCATCTTTTTTGTCTGAACTTCTACGACCAACTGCCAGGATCACGTCTGACAGTGCGACTCCTATGGCATAATGTTGCCACTTTGGGACCACTTCCGATATATCCTCAAGGTATAAGATGCTAAACGCACCAGTCAAAGGCACATTTAAGGCACCGTTGTCATGATTCATCGTTGAGCGTCAGTTGTTTGGGTAGTATACCTAATGCATGTGGCCGTCGGCCTTCTTGCCCGGACAGCTCGTTTTGTCATTCTTAAGGTAGTGCCGACAGTGTGCTGTGCCACACTTTCTTCTACTTTCAGAGAGGTTGCAATGCCTCGTCCGACCCCTGTATTTGAAAGATTGCCTCGAAAGATGGCAGAATGGGGTCATACGTAGTTTGTTTCCTGAAAGCCACTTCCAGAAGGGCTTTAACTTAAGACTAAATTCTCCATATGTGATCCATACCCTTGAACTCTTTCACTAGAGTGTGGGATGAAACCTTCCTCAATGTGTCGTTGCTGGCACTCTTTTGCGTTATAGGTTTGTGGTTGACTTTCACTCAGGGTTACCAACCATCCCGGATTTTGCTGGACTGTCCCCACTTTTCATGAAGCGTCCTGAGTTTCACATGGTCCTTGTCGGAACAGCTATATGTCCTGGATTTGGCCCAGACCGTCCAGTTTGAAATCTTATATGTGATCCAGCACATGCCCAACAAATGCGCATCACGCTGCGAAACACGAAGTTAGCACAAATCGCACGAAACAGTGCTGCGGTGGCTAGCATTGGCTGCAAGAGGCTTTAGCCACTTTAGCATGCAAGCCATGGCAAGCCAGAAATTAAGGCGACACTCGTGCCGAGCAGTGCCTGTTATCATCATCATTGTTTGTGTCAACCCCTTTGTGTCTCCCTTCTTCCTTGCACTGCACCCCCCCCCCACTGTTCCGGCTTCCTTCATTGAAGAGTTGGTAACCCTACTTTCACATCCAATGTCTGTGGCAAACAAGCCACACATTCTACCGCACGCAATATTATACCGCGAAATTCCGAACAAGCGGCCAACCTCAAACAAAGGAAGTATATATACTGTGCAATACTCTTAACACGCATACATTTGTAGCAATATAAAATAGAAAATGCAGCCTCCTAATGTCTGCTGACATTTAATTTTCAGTGCTTTCTTAAATTAAATTTGTAAAAAAATGAGGATGTAAGAAATGTGCTATTATGAGTACTTTTGCTAGTCAAATTTAGTTAAAACCCTCAAGCTCCTAGGAACCACGATATGCATCAGGCAGGCCTGATATGCAGTGTCTGGACATTGAGCAAAACGCATTTCTGCATTACTTCTATCTGACAGCTTGGAAACATTTACAGGAATTGTTTTATGTAGATGCTTGAAAGAGAAGTGAGATATTTTTATCTGGGAACAGCTTTTCTTCTTTCTTTTTTTTTAAGCTGCATATATTTACAAAATTTATCTGCCTGTTTAGGAAATGTTTATGCTTATTGTCAGAATCAGTCTGCTACGTGCTGAGTGGGTGCACTAACTTGGCTTTGCCCGTCTGTCCATCCGTGCATAGGGCAAGGCTGGACCCGGAGGTCCCCCTGGACCTCAAGGTGCTCCTGGGGAAAGGGTGAGTCCACCCACACTGTGTCTGAAGTGATATCAAAGGGTAGTCAAATGAGTAATAGGAACCTGATTCCGCCTGAATGTCTGTCTGCCCGAGGTGAAGTTGGAGTTGTCATGTTACCCAAGGCAACCACAAACAGAGCAATTATTTCCAATGTGAGCATGAGCATACTTTGTGGTATGTGCCCGGTTCCCCAATTTGTAAGTTAGAAGGTGTGATCAAAAGCATATTATTGTGCATGTTTGATTTTGGCCAACGAGATCATCACACCCTGGGCTTATAAAAGTTCATAAATGCTGCGGTTTGGTTGCTTTTAACATTATTGAGAGCTATAACAACAATCTATGTGTATTATTTTTTGTTTATTTAGTTGAGTCAAAATGAAGAGCTTATAATGTGCATTACCCATGAATGAGCAAGATAGGAGCATTATTTTATGATGGGTACCAACTTAGTAACTTTTCATCTGAAACAGTCAAACACTTTTTATGACTTTGGTCAGTAATGTCAGTGTGCTTTCGTGCAAAAGTTGGAATCAAAATTGGAACATTTGCAACTGTATCAGACTATACTATAAATTTAAAAATTTCTAAATGTGAAAAGTGTGCCCCATACCTACGACTATCACTTCTGTAAGTTAGTCCACTCTATCTGATATTTTTTTTGTTCTGTCGGCAAGTTAGCTTCTGTGGCATCAGTGCCATGCAGAGAAGCTGTTACACGTGGTGGTGCATAGTATTCCGGGCCTCGTAGATGAAACATTGCTGTCATAGCTCAAATCAAAAGACACAGAAACAACCACAGTTCTCACTGCTGCTTCCTGCAGTGAGCAGCAAAAGCAGGTGAATTGCACTATCAAGGCCATCTTTGTAACAGTCCTCCGTGCCAGCTGGATGTCATGAAATAAAGGTTAGGGTGCAAACGATCTGGTGTATATTAAACATGATCAATAAAAACCGAGACAGCAGATAACGACACACACACTCAAAAGTCATGTGTCATGTGTGACAAGTGTCATTGCCGAGCAGAAATTTCTTTTTGATAGCTTCCCATCTTGTAAGAAAGTAGAAACTAAATCTAAACTGGAACTCGTTTTTCGAGTATTCATGAGATGGCGCAACATGTTCCTGACCACAAAATTTTAATTTTGGCAGCACGCAGAAGTTATTGATTGCGGGTGGTTGGCCGTGGGCCTATGGGCACGTTACGGAAAGATTTAAACAACACAAACTTCGAAACTTTACTTCAAATGCCGAGCAAAAGAGATAGGTCTTTAATTCAAAGTTACATGTGGTTCTAATGCTTGCTCATATTAGAATGACTACCGAAATGGCTGAAGCTAATAGCATGCGGGCTTTTATTCGAGCTGTAAAGCGATTGTCAAGTGTGGAATGTTCCGACGGGGTTTTAAACTTTTTTATGATTGTCCCGTGAAAACAAAGACCTTTTAAGTTTTTTAAAGTTGCGGCTTTACTGGCGACACTTTGCGGAGATTTCGAACTCGTCGGCTGTCATTGCCACTATGGAAAAACCGTTCTTCTCTCCTCTCTTGGTGCGAAATGAGGGAAGTCGCATCTTTCCTCTTTACACGCCGCTCAAAGAGAGAAAAAAAGGGAGCCCCAATGTCCCGCCAGCAATGGTGCGACGAAGAGAGTTTTTTTTTATTTAAAAAGAAGCTGAAACGCTTCTTGAAAAAAAAATAAACGAGTTATAGGTAACATCTGACATGATTTTGTCCCGAGAATCTGAATATCATGTTTGTTTTACCTGAGGATGTAATTAAACGTGGGAAAACATGAAAAACCTCCGACCGGTCGTGACGTCACTCTAGGACCTTTGGGCTGCCAATCGCGTGTCACTAGTGTGGGCAACGCGTGCAATTGCAAGCTTGCCAGGTGTATTCCCCTGCACTGACAACAGTCGTGACGTCTCTTTCTAGCTTTCTTGAAAATAGCGAGAGTGCGCGTGCATAGCTTTGACAGGCACTGAAGACGTGCGAGAACGGATGTTACGAAAACTCCTAATATGACATCGTGCCCTGGGAAGGAGGGGTTTCGGCGGTACTTTAAAAATTAATTTCTGAAGCCTCCGTGCACCAAATTGAAAAATAATTTCGATATTAGTGATCTTGGAGGCCAAATGAAAGTGATTAGGTGTTTTTCCTCAAATAGAGAGCAGCTTCAGTTGGCCTTTAAGAAATAGTGCGAATGGTTTTTCACCATCTAAGCATGAGAGGATTACAACAAGTTTTGAACGGTTTATTCATGGAGCTACGGTTTCACGGGATTAACAGCACATATTATTCCTCTCTCGCTTAAAACATAACTACTCTTTATGTTCCATACTGACATTTATAGGTGATCTTAAAAATACTGAAACTCAATTGCTTGTTGTGCTAGGTGCAACTATCTGCTTATGTAGATATGTATAGTTTCTTTGGGCACATGCTCTTTCTTTTGGCCTTTAAATAGATACCACCGCAAGACCGCACAAAAGGAGAAAAAGCTTTCAGTATTGTCCAGTAGCAACATCTAGTAGCCACTTTTTCTATATTTCACATTTTTCATTTTTGATACAGTATTTGAGGTTCCGATGTTGTCACACTTGTGGTTCCCAATATTATACTAGGCAAGAATAGCTGCATGCTATCGCTCTGTTGGTTCCGTCTTCTTAAATGGAAAACTTCTTACCAGCTGGCCAGACCGGCACGATGTGGCGGTGCCTAGTTGACCACTACGGTTACAAGATGTCACCGCCTTTCAAAACTGCAAGTAGTCGCATAAAGTGGCTGATACCGTATTTACCCTCCCCCCTGCGTGCCTGTGGCTGTGCAGGGTCCCTCTGGGCTGAGAGGCCTGCCCGGTCCTGACGGCCTGGCCGGAGCCAAGGGGTTCCAGGGGGACAGGGGCTCTGACGGACCCCAGGGCCCCAAGGGCTCCACTGTGAGTCCACCCTGCCCTGGCTTGCAACTTGCGCCAGTTTGACCACTCTCTCCAAGCACTTTGGAAGTCTCGCTGGAGGGAATTTCACTGGTCATTTCAATCTACCACAGTGTCGTAACTAACGGATAAGGGGGAAGGCTAATCCTATTCTGGAATCAAAAATCTGGAACTCCCTGCCTAACCATCTTTGAAATTCACAGAATTTTAGTCAGGCACTGAGACTCTAACTTTCGCTTTCTTAGGCCATTTCAGCGTCCTTACCATTCTAGTATTTTGTTTGTAAAATTAGCGTGTCTCTTATTATTACAGATATTTTGCAGTACATATTTTTGTTTACTTATTTGTATTTCTGTCTTGTTTCTTAATAGCTTGTTTTTCTCACTTTATGCCTCAAATTCTCTATTTTAAAGTCATGCACCGCGCGCGCAAATGCATCATGCGCTGGCTTAATGTACCTATTCAAACTAAGCAACTAGCTAATCCATCCGCTTTTTTAGTACCATGTACTAAATGACTTTCTGTCAAAAAAATGAATTGAATTGAATCCTAATGGGCTTTATGGCAGATTCTTACATCGCCCCACTTCAGATGCAGATCTTGAACGCCGCGAGTTGCTGGAGATGAAACGAGACACAAGAACGAGATGCTGCACCGTTCGAGAAGTTGGCTACTAGAAGTTTGCCTCTGTGCTAGTTAGACGTTAACCACCAAGGTTCAGCTTTTCTGTGTATGCTTGTCCCACTTCATCTGTAAGGGCTCCGCTCGAATAGAACCGTGAGTCTTTGCAAGTGCGCACAAGCTCCTAACGAAGCATTTGCCATTGCAGGGTGATGCGGGCAAGCCTGGGCTGCCGGGTCTTCAAGGCCTGCGTGTGAGTTTTACTGGTGCATTCTTTTGTACCGTTTCAGTCTAAGTCGTTTCAAAGTAAAGGTGTGTGCGTGTCTCGCAATGAAAGACGAGACGAGCATAGCAGCAACGGCAACATTTGTAAACACTTTTCTGGTCTTTTAGATATATTTTCGTTCCTTATTTGTGTGCCTTCTAATTCGGCTTTTTGTATACCCACACACCGTGTTTATTCTTCTCCAAGGTGGAAATGTTTGCTATTTGCACTGAATTGAGCGTGAAAATTGCTCAATGTCGAAATCACCTTTTTTTTTCTCATTGAGCCAGCTTAGAAATGAGATGGCACAGCCAGTTGTCTTCACTGACGCTTAATGCTTTGTAATGTTTAGGAAAGAATTATGTGGATCAGCGATATGGCTTAATTATGTAGTACATCAGTTGTTTCAGATTTATGAGGTTCGGGGCTTTTTTATGTGCTTGTTGGGGTCAGCAACAGGATAGTCAAAAGTCAAAGGCTTAAGAGGAATTTTTGTCACCTTCGCTATGACACAAACCACACATTCTTTGTTTTTCAATGCCTATAGCAGCGAGGTGTTGTGTCGGAATAGTGCCAGGCAAACTGAAATGACTCATTATAATGTGGCTTATTTTCAGGGCACTCCCGGCCTGCCTGGAATTCCCGGAAAAGATGGCATCCCTGGAGAAAGGGTTGGTGCCTTTCATGAAACGTTCTGCAGATCTCAAGAGTATCAGATATAGATCATGTGTTACTCTTAGTTCTTTTGCTTACCATTTTTATCGGCGCACCAGCAAAACTGAGAACACTTACAATATCAAAATACTAGTTTGCAACAGTTGCAACAAAAAACATGTAGCAATGAAAACAAGTGTTTCACGAAAGTTTGAGTTGATAAGTTTCATGGCAAAGATGACACAATCTGGGTATACTTTTGTAATACTAAAACCTAAGGCCGAGGGGGAAAAAAGGTGCTTAATTTGCAGTGGGATTAAGGAAGGGGTAAGAAAGAACATTATATTTCTCATGCATCAGATACAATCTACTATTTTTAATAAATGCTAAATAAAAAAATATTTTAGTCATGTCTTTACTTTTGATGACAATTTAATTAAACTACAATCTGTTTTATCAGTGTCATTTATGTATACTTTACTTCTTAATGCTTTATTTTTTCAACTTATGTATAAGTAACAAGAATATTGTAACATCTACTGCTCAAAACCGAAACTAGACTGGGGAGGAAGAAGGAATTAGAGGAGAAGAGCATTGCCAAAAAGCATGTAATCTTACAATATTTTTTTTTTTTTCAATTAACATATTTGTTGTTTTTTAGAAGCCACAAAAAATGGGTATCGTATCTTTCTTTCTATATTTAATATTGAGTGTGTGCCTTTGATGACCCACAACTTTGATTATATTTGGTGGTTGTGTCTAAACCATAGAGAGTAACATGTGACCACGAAAAAGAGAGTGAGCACGACTCAAACCGGCCAGTTCTCGGATCGGCGGTTTTTGGGGTGAAAGAAAACGAATTTCAAGCCCCAAATTATGTTCTGGGTAGTTAGGCTCTTATGTGTCATGTAATAAAAGTCACAGGATCTCTTATCTTATTCCTAAGACGACTTGAATGTGAAAGCCCAAGCGCCGAGGTACAGTAAAACCTCGTTAATTCGGATCTCATGGGACTGGCAAAAAAGTCCGAATTCTCCAAAAGTCGAAATATTGAAAGGACAAAGAAAACTGCATGAAAACATTTCCCTGTAACATACAGTAGGCTCGCGATAATTCAAACTCGGATGTTTCATACTTCCGGTTAATTCAAACAGATCTGAAAATTTTGGTTGTCCCGCTATGTTTTTTTAATGTATTTATAAGCCGCTTAATTCGAACGGCGTTTTCGCTTAATTCATATTTTTTTGTTCTCGCGGCCCCATTGAGTGCGCTTCTTTCCGAGCACCGGTGCACCGCAGAGAAGCAATACCCGCGGAGCTTGGTTTCGCGAGTGTTGCTTCTCCTCAGTGCATCGGTGCTCGGAAAGAAGCGCATTCAACGGGGCTCAAGCGCACACATTAGCGGAAAACAGCATTCACATTATGTGCTTCAAGACTAGCAATGATGACCAAGACGACATAGAGGATGAGGAACAGCTCACTGGCATCATGCTTTCTGGCCTTGAAGCACATAATGTGAACGCCGAGCTGGCGGAATATGCTAGTCTTGACGACGATGCGTGTGTTTGTCGTGATGACTCATTGGATGACATAAGGAAGTAATGCCAGCACAGTGCAGCAGTGAGTGAAGATGGCGATGAAGAAAGGGATGACCCACTACCAACTGTCACAGCCGCAGAGGCCTTTGAGCCCATCGCTCAGCTCCGGAAGTTTCTGTCTGCAAAGGAGGAGTCCCGTAAAAAGCGACTTGCGTTGGCTGGTATTGAAAATTTTGTTTTGAGACCTCATGTACTGACTAAACAGTCCACAATCGACAAATTTTTTGCCGGATGAATAAACTCAATGTCACAGTTCTTTGACCAATGTGTTATGCCTGTACTTGCTTATAACTAGGCCTATGTAGAGGAAACTGGCCAAAATCTGCTTTGTTGTCTAGTATTATTAGATTAATTTCTGATAATTCAAACTTCTGGTAATTCAAACTAAAATCTGTGACTTCCTGGAGTTTGATTTAATGAGAGTCCACTGTACCTTTTTTTTTTAGAAGAAATCTATTATTACCGCCTGCTTTCAGGACGACATTTGGGCAGAGACAGCAACTTTCCTTAGCGTGGTCGAGTGCTCCAGGACCACACTCGCACTGTCAGAACTACGCATCCCGTGCGCCTACGATTTAGCACAGCAAGGCCTCTTCTAGTTTCGGGTGCACCACCTTCCACAGTCGCTTTCTTTTCGCGTTAAACTTCTCGCTCTCGAAAGCCTGTAGGATCTTGGCCTCAATTTTCACGTACGTGGCCAAACTGCTTCTCTTGATGTCGTGACTTTCCATCACTTGTTGTCGAGAGACGCCGACCTTCAAGGCCCTCAGTGTTTCCACTTTCGTAGCTAAATTCTTGGCCTGGTACAGCTGCTACGGAAAACGAGTAGCACAACTGACCAATGATCGAAGTGGCAAAATTGCAACACCCGGCGCTATTTTTCCTGAGCGCGCTGATGGCGAGAGTGCCAGTCACGTTGCATTTTTCAACGCGGGGGTGGTGGGCGAAAAATTGAGGGATAAGGTAGCTGTTAAAATGGCGGGCTTTAGGATCCCCCCCCGCGTTGAGGCATAAAACGTGACTGTCACTCTCGCTATCGGCACGCTCGGGAACAATAGCCCCACGTGTCGCGATTTTGCCAATCCAGTCGTTTGTCATTTGTGCTACCCTTTTTCCGTTGCAGCTATGCTTCTGCCGCTTCCATGCCAGGAGAGTAGCGCGCTGAAACACTGCAATCCAGAGCAAAACTGGTGCGAAACACAGAACCAGAAGGGTGTGTGCACCTCGGAACCACGTGTGCACCTCGGATAAATAGCGGTCATACCCTTTGGAACGGACGGTAGCTAGTGCCACCCGCTGAATTCGTCCGAATCAACCATAGCGCGCCGCGTTCCCTCCGAATTAATGAGCATTTTCTGCCATTGACTAATACATGCGTTTGACGGGACCGGATGGGCAGTTCAAATTATCCAAATTTCCGAATTAGCGGGAGTTGAATTAACGCGGTTTTACTGTAAACGTGATAGCGAACCTCTGAAGACAGAGTGCTCTCTGACGACACGCTTTTAACACACTTTTGGCGTGTTTTCGTCGTTTTCGTGTCGTTGACGTGTTTCGCTCAAGGGCTTTGAAGGTCGACTGAACAATGAGACAGATAAGGCTTTCACCTTAATAAAAACCTTGGCAAGCATAAACAGTACCCTGTCAGTGTCCCTGTGCATTCTAATTCAATCAAATTTTTTGCACTGTTGCATTCTTGCCTTGAGCTTGGATGGAACTAGTTCCAATTGTTTGTCTTGCTCTGTATTTTCTTCAATAAATATAAAATGTTAGAAAGTGATAATTTAAGTTTTACCAAACAAAAAATTGTTCTGTTTTATTACCTCGGACAAAAGCTCTCAGTTCTAGTTCCAGGGGTGCAGGCCCTCTGCACCTGCCTGCAAAACTTGAGGACTTAAAAGGGGCACTAAAGTGCTTCTTGAGATCCTCATTCTATTGTCATAACTTAATCTGCGAGCTCTAAGCATACTAAAAAACCCAAAATTACATTCATGCGCGTCCAGTTTGCATGTTAAAAAAGTAATCAAAGTTTCCGACACATCCTATTGGCGCTGAACGACAGATGGCGCTACCGAAGCTTGCTGAATATGATCGAATAGGGCTTGTCAGCCACTCGTGATCGATGGGTTCCCGTGTAGACGAGCGGTCGACCAGTAGTGCTCATCCTCGCGGGAACTGATGCTCTCTCTTCAAAAGCACTTTAGTGCCCTTTTATGTACGGTAAATATTTTTTAAAAAGGTAAAAGGGCAAAAGAACGTAAAAAATAAAACCATATTCTAGTTTTTCTTTTTATGTGTCTGCTATTTACTATTGATAACATTTCTATTAAATTTCTTGAGCATTACTTCAGTTATGAAATTTGTAGAACCCATTCTATCAGTGTCAGTTCCAAACTCTCACCCCGCCTTAGGCAACCGCCGTACGAGAACTGTCTCATCTTAGAGCTGGTGCCTCGTCAAGCCTCACTTGTTGCAGAAGTTTTCAAGTTCTGTTTCTCGATGTAAAGAAAAAAAATTGCCAGCAACATTTATTTATTCTTAGCTACTGCAGTGCAGTAGCTAAGAATCGGCCGTTTAAATTTCTTTAGAAAACATTAAACAGTATTTTCAGGGAGTGAAGTAGAACATCTTCTTTATTTGTTTCCCTGCTGTATTTAGCGGAGAAATTTATATCACGTTATCTGACGTCGTGTGACGTCTCGATATATCACGTGACATCGTAATATCACAAGATAGCATGGCAATTTCCTGACTCATTTTAGCGCGAAATGCGCAAACGAATGAGCAGACGGACAAATTCCTGAAATTGGGGGCTTTTCATTAAAAAGTATTTCCTGGTCTAGTAAATCATTCATTGACTGACTCATAAGCGTCAGCTGATCGACATTCCTGGAGTGTGGATGCAGTGAACGTGATTTCATCTCCGCTTCTCCAGGGCTTGCCTGGCGCAGACGGGAAGCAAGGGGAGCAGGGTCCCCAAGGCACCCAGGGACTTCCCGGACTGGCCGGACTCCCCGGACTCAAGGGCGACCAGGTATGTCCCCGCGGGGCTCTCACCGGCTGCGGGGAACGCTTCTAAAGTGCTCCTTTCGTGGTGCCGTTTACACTGTCGCTGCGTTGAGGAGGAGAGGGGTAGAATCGCTTATGGCGGTGCTTCTCAACCACCGACGTTTCGGGGAACCCTTCTGGATCGGCGGAAGTGGCGGGAGACACCATCCACCCGGGGTAGGGGGGTGGGTGGGTGTGTTGGACGATTGCAATGATGAAAGAGTGAACCCAAGAAACTAAATGCGTGCAAACAAACTCTGAAGCTCTGAAATGGAGAATAATTGACCCTGCTTGCTCAATGCATGTCACTCGATGTGTTTAGCTTTGTGGAACAGCCAGCATCAATTAAAATAAAAAGTTTTATTTTTCGGCTTGACCGACGGCACAGGGTATGCAGACCCCCATCTGAGAACCACTGGTTTACAGTTCTCAGACTGGGTTCCTCGGAGCGCCCTTGTGGATTCCCCGTGTTCCCTCGAGTAAACCGTTTTCCTAGCACTATTTTATCAGATCTGAGCTTCCCAATAATGCATAACTATGAGCGATCCCTCATATGTTTGTCATTCTTTGCAAGGTCTGGGGGCCCCTAGCCTGATTTATTGCATCAACGCCGAGATTGGGAGGTGTCTCTCGTTTGCCAGTCGGCACTGGGAAGGGTTTCTCGAAATGAGAAGGCTTGAGAACTTGCAGCGAAATACCTCTTAAAGAAATTTTGAGGGATCTCTAGAAAAGTTTGCTTCAGTGAAAGTTCACTCGACCGAATGCGTTGGACGCAATAGGGTTTTGCACGGGGAATTTTACGAAAGTTTGTTCGTCTGAATGATATCTCATTTCGAGCGATATTTCACCATATTGGCACGTGATTCTATAAGATCGGACCAAAAATGCTCCTGTATGCCTCGGAAGCTTGAGCTCTTTGGGATTCATTTATTTATTTATTTTTATTAGGGGTGTGCGAATACTCGAATATACGAATTCGAATCGAATAGAAAGTTCCCGAATAATTCGATTCGCGAATCGAATTCCTAGTATTCGGTCACTCGAATATTCAATATATTCGGCCAAAGACGCACGGTCGGCGCGGAGCTGACAAAAAAGCCGTTCTTTCTCCCGATGTAAGCGCCGTGATATTAAACAGACCATGCGAGAAACACCTCTTGGTCCTACCATTCCACACAAATCTAACGCACAGGTTAGAAAAAAGAAAATTAACGAACGCCACAAACTTTATAGCACGCAGATTTACTCACGATCGTGACACAATCTTCCCTTGAATCACAACCGAAACATCCCGTTACGCCGCGCCATGCCTAATTTTTTTTCACGAGCGCCGATGTAGAACACATTTGCCGCATTCACGGAAATCGGCGACTGCACAATTACACAGAGAAAACTACGTTAACCACGCCGATGAAACTAGCCGAGTTATCGTCGTCGTTCTTTTGAAGCCGCAAGCTGCAAATTTTGATTCGGAACAAAACGGAACGGAAAAATTGTGTGCCTAGATTTGAGAGGGTTTCCAATCGTTCAATAACCGCGTTTGAATTACGAACTGCGAGAAGGTGACGAAAAGACGAAAGCGTCGATCGGGATCGGGCAGGCAGGGCAGGCGTCGTCGCTCTTTTGTTTGCTCGCCTTCTTTCCACGCGACAACACAACACATGTGCACTTACAACCAACTTGCGCTGGAGCAGTCTTCGTAATTTCAGTTTCGCTTGCTCCCTCTTTTAAATCAAGGTTCTCTAAAACAGGATAGATAGACGGAAATATGGATGCATAGCGGCAGTTGGACGGTGACTTGCGCCACCTAACCAAGTTTTGTTTCCTTGCTTCAGATTATATTGTTTCAGCCTGTTTACCCAGATTTAACACCTATCTGTTTATTTATGCAAAATAAAATCCCCGGTGTCCTTTTTCTTTCTTAAAATGGAGACCAAATATCGCAAAATGCCCCTTTTCTGAGATACACAAATATTTTTTTTTTTTTAAAGTCGCGGTGTTAGGTTGTGTTTTTAACTAGAAAAAAAAAAAGGCACGCGTGGCTCTAACTTTTTTTTGTGACGTTTAGGGTAGATAGATCATGTTTGCGCCATAAAATTGGATCTTTAGTGGCCAATGTCCAACAGCAACTGCTTCTATTTTTTTACCAGAACGTTTTTTACATTTTTGTCTTTGTTCCGTACAAGATGCATATTCTACACCAGGCACATACTCTGCACATATAATAGTCTCATTTGCAGCATACTTTGAAAAATTCCTACAAATAAAATCACTATTCGATATTCGATTCGATATTCGGCTTTTTTTTCTTGATTCGATTCGGTATTCGATTCGAAAACTACTATTCGGTATTCGTACACCCCTAATTTTTATTTGTTTCGGACATACCGCCAGCAACGTAGGCATGTTGAAGCTAAGAGCACCCCCGTGTATTAAAATCATTAAAAGGAGAAACGCAGACACATTTGCATTATTTACAGCATTCATCTTTAGTTCTATTTGATGCACTGAGAGCATTGAGATAGGGGGCCGCTTTCAGTGCACGGACGGTAAGGAATGCAAAACACCATTTGAAGCATGGAAATAGGAAGAAGAGGGGGCAACATACCCGCTGAGGCCAGCCAAACAAGAAAATGCCCGGTGAAGCCGGAAGTAGATCTCGCGGTCGGTGGGAACGTCCCCAAGGGTAACCTTTCCGTCCAATAGCGTCTTTAGGTTTTGTTTGTCTGTGGTCGTCATTGGGGTCACGTCCCACCAAACCGGAAGTCTTCCCCTGCTTTACCTCTGGTGGCGTCGTGTCGCCCCCAGAGGCTTCCTACCTGCGTGATTTTGCGTGATTTGAAGACGCCGTCCAGGTGCTGTAGCGGCTCTGCTTGTGTCATGGGCTGAACGAGGTGGCTGATTTGTTCCAGGGCGAGGCGGGGCAGGACGGCCGCCCGGGCCCGCCGGGTCCCCAGGGACCCCGAGGGGACGTGGGCAAGGAGGGACCTGCGGGCCCTCCCGGATCTCCCGGACCCCACGGGGAGCACGGAGAGAGGGGCCCTCCCGGACCCATGGGCACCAGGGGATTTCAGGTGAGGCCAAGCTGCCGCTAGCGTGACACGGCGGTCGGCAGAGGCTATGGCCCCGGTGAGGCACACAATGGCGTATCAACGGAGAGCTGTCACACGCTCCACTCCGTCATTCGGATTGGCTTGATAGGGCCGATTCGAGTTTTGGTGGAACTAAGTGTAGCTTTCATGAATTGTGTAAAGTTGCACACTCCGTGCTGGCTTCCTGGCTAGTTTTCAGTCGTATTAAAAACCTTTCCTTTTCCCCCGCTTTCTGAGCTCATCGGCAGGAGAGTGAACCATCCTTCTCCATGCAAGTTTTGTGGGACATGTTTATTTAAAGTGGGCGTGCAATCCAAGTGTGGGCGGACATGTTGTCTCGATTGTAGCTTGGGTAATGGGAAAGCCAGCGGGTGAAATTAGCTGTTAGCTTTTCGTGAGCTGTAAAGCTCGTTGCACAAAAAATCTGCTTCAGATTTCTTTAAGTTTTAAAATGTTAAAAGTTAAAAAAAAAATCATCTTAATTCGATTGACCTGACTTCTCTAGCTCCAAAAGTGCCAACTTACCCAACTCGAAGTTTGCAAAATTGGAAGTTACCCAATATTAGAACGACCTATGCTGAGCAAATGTTATCTTAAATGCTTGTAAACCTACTTAATTTTCTTAGCTTCAAAAATATTGATCCTGTTAAGTCATCGAGAAAAGATATTCGAGAATTTTTTTACAGTGTGGTTTTTTAGTAGTATACTTTCCCAAGCTTTGAGATGTACTATAATACTCTGTGTTTTCTGTGTATATATCTAAATGTATATATATATGACATTTTTTGTGTAATTATCCTCTCAATGTATCTATGGTATGTATCATGTATTACATAAATACATAGTTACATAGAACTCTCAATGTATGCATCATGTTACTAAGAAAAATGTTTATATTGCTGCCTGATTACTTTTTGAATATCATTGCCTCTTGTTTATTCTTTCATGTGCCACTGCTGTTTGTGTGAGGGGGAGCCGGGGACTCGTCAAGCTGCACGATGCAGCTTTTTTCCTTGGTCTCCCTCCATCATTTATTTGATGGAAAAATTAACATCATTATTATTATTGTTATTATTATTATTATTATACTAAAGCACGCCCAGTGATTGTTAAGGTCTCAGTGATTACCCACCCTTAACCCATTTATTTCTTATAACTATAAACATAATTTCGATTAAAAACACCAATCGTTTCTGACCCTTTGGAATTTGTGCATGTGCAACAAGACCTCTCCCAGCTGTCACATATTTGCTCGAAAGAATAATAAATTACATATTTGCAAGCTGAGCAGATTAAAGAGTATTATATTTCGTGGTTTCAATCCAAATTAAAGAAACGAAAAAAAAAAAAAAATTATTCAGTTTTCTGCTCTTGATGAAGTACGTGACGTTGAAGCATTGTGGATTAAAACTAAGCTCAATAATAGTACTGTCTTTATTGGTGGAATGTATAGGCCTCCAAATTCGCCGGCTGATGTGATGATAAAGCTTCAAACTTATATGGACTTGAATCTATGTCACGAGGATAACATATTACTTTTGGGGGATTTTAACTTACCCGGGGTAGATTGGTTATCACTTTCTCCTGGGTCGACGGAAGTAGCTAGCTGTGACCAATTAATAGAGCTTGCATTTTGCTACAATCTACCCAGGTTGTAACTGATCACACAAGAGTGACTTCAACAAGATCATCAATTTTGGACCTAGTTTTTATATCGGCACGCTTGAAATCGTTTCTTTCCGGCTGTGAAACTATTGAGGGCCCTTCGGATCATAAAATGGTACTTGCGTCTTTTGAAATGACCCCGAATATCACGCATAAATACTCGCAAAAGACGTTTCTAAATTTCGGGGCTGCCGATGATGTCAGCGTGCTCGATTATCTTGAAGAGTCATTGGATGACTTCACGTTTCTTTTCCAATCCAATGCCAGTACTGACACGCTATGGAACTTCTTTACGAACATGACTAAGCAATGCCTTGAGCGGTTTATTCCAAAGTATAATAAAAAAATTAGGAACCAAAACCCCTGGATTAATAGGGAAATAATACATGCAAAAAGAAAACTCAAACGAAAGCGAGCGCGTTCACATGGTTCGAATATCAAAGATAAATCATGCATTCACCGCATGAGTCAGGAATTAAAACGGCTAGTAAAGAAATCTAAAGAGAAATTTTACAATGTAACACTTAAAAAATTTCTCAGGGAGGCACCACACAAGTTTTGGCGGTACGTTAATACCTCGGTCAAATCGCGTCGTACTAGCGATGAAACCAATGATCAAGAGCGCACGGAACAATTTAACGCTTTCTTTTCGTCTGTGTTTATTGATGACGATGGAAACTTGCCTAGATTTGTTGACTTTTCAGATAGCCCTCCTATTAAAGATATAGAAATAAACGAGGAAGGAGTCTTGAACCTTTTACTTAATATCAATACAAAAAAGAGCCCCGGGCCCGACGGAATTCCAAATGAGTTTTTGAAAAGATACGCAGTTTGGGTCTCCAAATATCTATCCATGATTTTCCAGTCATCCATCAATAATTGTTCTTTTCCTAGTGCTTGGAAGCGCGCGAAAGTGGTTCCTGTCCACAAAGGTGGCAGTGTGTCTGACGTAAGCACCTATCGGCCCATTTCGCTTCTTAGTACATGTTCGAAGCTGCTTGAACATATCGTATCTAAACATTTAAGGGATTATCTCGAAGGTTATGAATTATTGTTCCGATCCCAGCATGGCTTTCGGAAAGGACTTTCCACCACAACCCAACATGTCGAAACTGTACATGACCTTTCTTACACGATTAATTGTCGCGGTCAAACTGACGTAGTGTTTTTGGACTTCGCGAAAGCGTTTGATAAAGTGTCGCACCCTAAGCTATTACTGAAAATTGACGTAATTTTTAAAAATTCAGCCGTCACACAGTGGTTTTCACCGTATCTTTCTTCTAGAGAACAGTTTGTAGAAGTTAAGGGACATAAGTCTAGCCTTTCACCTGTATCTTCAGGGGTTCCCCAGGGGAGTGTTTTGGGTCCCCTTTTGTTTTTAATATTCATAAATGATCTGCATAAAGACATAACCGTTCCAATCAGACTATTTGCAGATGACTGTGTGATATACCATAAAATAGAAACTCCAGATGACCAGGACGAACTAAATCGTAATCTACAAAAAATTCAACAATGGTGTGATAATTGGCAGATGGTGTTAAATCTTGAAAAATCGGTCTTCATGTCAGTATCTAGAAAAAAAAATATTTTAGCATACAACTATCACATTGACGGCGTCGGACTTAAAAGAGTAAAAGAGCATAAGTACCTAGGTTTAGTATTTACACCAGACCTACGTTGGAATACCCACATTGATAAAGTCTTTCTTAAGGCCAACAAAGCACTATGGTGCCTCAGGCGAAACCTTACTAGTGCAACTCCGGAAATAAGATGCCTGACTTATACAGCTCTGGTAAGACCGGTTATTGAGTACGCGAAAATTGTGTGGGATCCACATACTTTAACAAATTGCCATAAATTGGAAAAAATTCAGCGACTTGCTTCCAGGTTCATCTTTAACAAATTCGGCCAAGCATTTTCTCCTACAAAACTATGTGAACTCGCAAATCTCCCATCTTTGGAATCGAGGACCAAGTACCAAAGATTGAAATTCTTTTTCCAAATTATACATAACTTTATAAAGATCAACAAATCGGATTACTTCGAAATCAGCACTAACGAATCCTCAAGGCATCGCCATAGCATGTTCATTCGTAATCCAACTGTACGAAATGATTGTTTTAAATTCAGTTTTTTCCCTAGAACCATCAAAGAGTGGAATATGCTGCCCGATTCTGCTGTCTCGTCAACATCCCTTAATGCCTTTTTAGAAAGTATACATAATATTGTCGAATGTGACAGTCGTGAAAAGCCGTAATCGTATAAATACGGACCAAGTTTCTGCTTTTTTTTTTTGTGAAATGTTAATACCTGTGCTGCTTTCAGTTTTGTAACGTTTTCTTGTGCGCGTTTAAGCGTATGAAGCGGTCTTGAGCAATCTACTGTCTTGTTTAATTACTCTTTGTATAGTGGTTACTTTCATCTTTTATTTTTGTATACCCACTCCTGTAATAGCCCAATGGGCTTACAGTATCAATAAATGAATGAATGAATGTTTTATTTATTTTTAAATTGATAATGTATTTACTATTTGATTTACATTACACCTTTTTAATTTAGATTACTTTTCAAAGTAACAAAAACATGATAAAAGATTGGTGCTTCCTTGCTACTTTCTGATAAACCTCTAGATTAAAAAAAATTTACACTATTTTGAGCATTCTTCAAGATCTGTAAAAGTTGATAGCAGACGCTTGTACTGATATTGGTGCTTTCTCGCAACTTTTTGGTGTACATCTAAAAATGCACTTACCTTTATACAGTCTAGCCCGTTTATAACGAAGTCGGCGGGAATTGAAAATCACTTCGCTATATCCACTATTTCGTTATATCCGAACTAAAGAAAAAAAAAAAAATTGTTCACCTGGGGGAACGTGTTTATTCCTTCTGCAAGAAGCCATCTAGGGTTCCCTGCACGCTATTCGCGAGCGAGCGTTTAACAATCGCAGCCTCAAACTTGTCAAACTGCAGATCAAAGCTCGGATCAGAACCTCCGAAGTACAGTAAAACCTCGTTATAACAAAATGGGATATAACAAACTAATGGATATAACAAAGCAATCATACTTCCCCTTGTTTGCTAATAGTGGGAAGAAATAAACATTGGCTATAACAAACTAATGGTTATAACGAAATAATTACGACCGCTCCTTCAACTTTGTTATAACGAGGTTTTACTGTACATTCGAAGCACGTCGACCGCAGCAACGGCTGCTCCCGAGGTCACTGGCTGCGAAATGCGACCGTCGTCACAATCGTCGTCGGAGGCAGTGTCATCGGTACTTTCGTCCACGACACCCTTGGCAAGGTCCTCGGTGGACACGTCCTCCGTAGCGACGATGTCGTCGTCGGCAAAGGCAAAGTCCATGTGATCCACGCCGGGAGGCACGAGGTCGACCTTGCTTGCCGTTTCCCAGATCCGCCCCAAGCATGTCGCTGCTGCGTCACCATCAGCGGCTGCTGCTCCGTTTCTGGCAGGACTCTCGTCAGCACCGCTGCTCCTCGAAAAGCCACCTTTCTGGAAGCAGTGGAGGATGGTCTGTGGCTTAATGTCCCTCCAGGCTCCGCTCGCAAAGAATATGGCCTTCTCCAACGGGACCTTCAGGCTGGCTGGGTCAACGGCGATGCGGATGTCAATCAGCAGGCGCTCGATCACTCGGCGCCGGTAGAGGACTTTGAAGTTCGCAATGACCCCTTGGTCCATCGGCTGTAGCTTCGCGGTTGTGTTCGGGGGCAGGAACAGCACCTCGACAGCACTCAGATGAGCATTCACGTGATGAGCGCTGCAGTTGTCCAACAGAAGCAGCACCTTGCGCTTCTTTTTGTCCATCGCCTTGTCGAAGTCGGTGAGCCACTTTGTGAAGATGTCTCGCGTCATCCAGGCCTTCTTGTTATCGCGGTACGCTACAGGCATGGACAGCACCTTAGCGAAGCCCGAGGCTTCTTCGCCTTTCCTATGATCAGCAGATCGCGCTTGTCCGAGCCGTCCATGTTCGAACAAATGAGCACCGTAATGCGGTTCTTGCTATTCTTGCCTCCCACACACTTGTCAGTCTTGGCCGCCAGTGTTTTTGCTGGTAGCAGCTGAAAAAACAGTCCGGTTTCATCGGCGTTATAGATATCCTTGTCGGCGTACGCTGCAAGGATGCGGTCCAGGTTCTTTTCCATCCGCTTCTGGAGTGACGGATCGTCAACGGACGCGGCCTCACCGACAGTGTTCTTGCACGTTATGTCGTGCCTGTCCTTGAACCGCTGCAGCCATCCAGTTCCTGGCTGGAAGTCGTCGTGATGGAAGAACGAAGCCCAAATCCCTTGCTTTTTGTAGCATGAGTGGTCCACTCAGCGGGATGTTCTTCGCGCGGGCATCCACGAACCACTTGTAAAGCGCCGCTTCTACGTCGGGGTAGGTGGCACCTCGGATCCGTTTTCGGTCACCGCCACCAACTTCGCCATCCAGAACGGCGTCGATCTTGCCGACGTTCTTGATAATCGTCGACAAAGTAGACTGCGCGATATTATACTTTCGCGCGATATCGGTCTTCTTGACGTTCCTACGGACTTCATCCAAAATGGCGCGCTTCAGCTTCAGGGACAGCACTTTCCTTTTTCCCGCCGACGTCCCGGGGCTCGCGGAACTCGACATGGTCGACAAAGCGGTGATTCAGAAGAATCAAGGGGCAGTCCGAGTCTTTTCCGTGGAATTCTAACATTAGTGTAAGTCCGTTGTCCAAAAGTTGTCGGTGGGAAGTCAGGATGGCAGAAACAGCGAAGCGGTCAGTACGATACGAAAAGCAGAGAACGAAGAAGAATGATAACTGTGATAACGACGAGCGCCTTGGCACCTCCCCCTTGCCCGTGTCGCGGTGTGTTCGAAACTCCAAACGATGCGACTCTGGAGCTGGCATTGCTCGACGCCTGCACCTTGTGCGAGAGTTACGAGTGTCACTCTCGAGTACACGAACGACGCTACTGTGCGTTAGCTACCCCAGCCGACTCAGAGTTAAACTGGCGGCTTCAGCGACTGTACCCATCACGTGACAGCAAAGAGAGAGAGAGAGAGACAACGACGATTGGCCGCATAAGTGTGCTGTCGTCAGAATTTTTTTTTTTTCTTTCTTGTTCGTTTTGAAAAGTTTCAAGGACACGGCGGCGCATGAGGTGGTGCGGTGAAGCAATCTTATAGGAGCTACGCGATAGAGAGAGCAGACGACACTGCGGAGGCTGCCGGCAGCCGAATTTTGATAGTTTTTTACTCAAAATTTGCAAAAAAAAGGTCGTAAATTATTGTGATTGCTAGGTATTTTATCTGCTCGGCACGAAATTTGTCTTCGTTATCTCCGCTGAGGCTGTTTTATTTACTTCATTATAACTGAACCCAAATTGCATTAAAAATGCAGAAATGGGAATGGGAAATCCATATCTTTTCGTTCTAACCGCTATTTCGCTATAAACGGGTTTGTTATAACCGGGCTAGACTACTTCGGATAGCTTCATGTGACAGACGCTGGTGACCGAGAGCCCATTTGTTTGAATGCCGCAAAGGGACAATGAGATATTAGCGAGGAAACCTGGCAGTGTTATCATTTTTTTCGTTACAACCTTTCACGGCGCTTTAGCCTGAGAGGTGTGCTCTAAAATGCAATCTCCATTCAATTTTCCGGCACGAATTCTTTTGCATGGGGTTTCTCGCGTCCCAGCGGCATGTCTGTGTCCACCTTTCGCAGGGTCTCCCGGGCCTGGCCGGCAGTGTGGGCGCCCCTGGCAAGGACGGCCAGGCGGGGCCCTCTGGCCCCCCCGGACCCCCCGGTGCCACAGGGGAGAGGGGAGACAGGGGCTTCCCGGGGGAGAGGGGCAGGGCGGGGCTGCCTGGCCCACAGGGGGCACGGGGAGATGCAGGACCACCGGGCTCAGACGGCGCGCGGGTGAGTCTCGAGGCTTTGGCAAGACGCTCTTGGCTTTGGTTGGATTCAGTGGCATAACGAGGATTTTTTTGGGGGGGGGGGGGGGGGGGGGGGAGGGGGAAGGAGGGAGTGTGATCGTTTTGGTTAAGGGGGGGAAGGAGGAGGAAGGGGGAGGGGGAGGGGGGTTTCGACGCCGAAATCCCCTTCCTGTCTACACCACTGGTCAGATTGTATTGGATCGGATAGTGTTTATTGCCCGATAGACCCTTTTGCTGTGCTGTTGCAGTTCTATGGTTTGCATGTGTCATCTGTGCAAACTGTGGTGTATCCACAAGCAGCACTAAGCCTAGAGAGTGGTACATTGTCAAGCAAAAAAGAAAAGAAGAAAATGCGCAGAGCATAAAAGGGAAGCCATTGTTGTGCACACACTATGGACTCAGTATTTTCTTGAAATGGTCAAATCACTAAAAAACATCTATTATATGTTGGTCTTGCTTATTATAATCAAGTTTCAATCTTGTAGGTAACATATAATACAAAACCGAAGGATAAAAAAAAAATGTTGAGGGCTACTAGACTCTAAGAAAGCATGAAATCAAGCAGTGTTTAAAAGTAGTGGTGAATCAACAGCTGCATTGAGAACCTTATCCAAAGAAAAAGAAATTGCATTTTGTTGCAATGAGTTGAAACTCTGTGCAATAAATTTATAAAATTGATGATATGAGGCGGTGCTGTTGGCAGTGTAAGAAATGTATGACACTTGAGGCACGGTCTCACATAAAACTTATACACTCGGTTTCGTGCAAGCTGTAGATGGCACCTTGTGAGGTGTGCGCTGCACAGCTAATGACAGAACTGTGTCATTTTGTGTTCACATCTGTCACAGTCAACATTGTCTCAAAATTTGAACATCAGTTATGGAAGTGCTGTGCCGTTTGAGCCAAACTGCGTCATGAACAAAAGTTTACTACATTGATCGACCCTAATGTTCACGAAGTAGAAGAGAAGGAAAATGGTACAAAGAAGTATTTCACAGTGTCTCTACTCATCATATAGTACCTGAATTTAGGTCGGAGCACAATTGAAAGCTCAAGCACACAACCACAAACATAGATAATAAACATGCAAGTCATCGGGTAGTCGCTGCACTTGGTTGGTTTAGCCAATAAAACAGCACATACAGAAAAATGTCAAATGCCACGAAGTTACACTTTTGACGCTGTTTGATTTTTCCTATTGGCTCGTAGCGTCGGCTGCGTTTTGACTTAGGGAAAAACGAAGTATAGAAATCGTTTGTTAGCCACGCTGGTCACGTTACCGTCTGAACCTCCAGATGAGGTCGGCAATGTCAGGAGCTAAAAGTTGCAAGGAGAATTAGCATAATTGTGGGATGGAAGCTGCTGTGATAACGACAGAGCCAGCATCTTATACTTGTGATGAGATCACTCGATTATTGTGTCTGCCACATGCTTCAATGCCGTGGCTACAGTGGGCCGCAGCACTTGTGCCTCTCGTGTCAACTTTCACTGCCTCTCACCAGCGTGCATGCATCAAGCTTCACCACTTTGCGCGGGTGTGCTAGGAGTAGCGGCTGTCATGGAAGAGCACCTGGGTTATATTGTGCTCAGTAGTCTGACATGTCGACCTTCTCTGGTCTTGATTATTGTTTAAATTTTAATTAGATGTACCGAGAAAAGAAAGAAAAAGCTCTGTATCTATACTAGAATAATTAAAGTTGTCAAGGTAGTTGCTATGCAGCAGTCATTCGAAAGGGAAGCTAACTCTGACTTAACTCTGGCTCTCCAGTGCATCGAAAGTGCATTGCCACACTTAAAGCCCAGCTGTAAGTTTTCATAATATTTGTGAATGTTTTTTTTGTTTTTTTTTTTTTGTTTATGATATTAGAACCTTCAATTCAGTAGGTTCATATAACTTGGTGGAACGTATTTTCATTTATCGACGGTTGAGTAGATATGCTGTTTTTTGCCGGAATTTGACAGAAATTATAGTTAGGGTCTAAACAAACTGGGAGTGTACGAGGGAGAGGTAGGAGAGATGCTTTTTTTAAACTGGAATGCGGTGGTATGATTCATTTTTCACAAACCATTCTTCAAAATCTTCTTTCAAATTTAAAGGCTGATTTCTAAAAAGAAAGGTGTGTGTTCCCTTTGGGGCATCCCTTGTATCCTTATTACAAAGGGTAATTATGCTTCAGTATCATAGCAAAATCCTCCTTCATTATCGAAGGCAAATTCATTTAGCGATGCAGTCATTTTTTTTTTTATTATCGAGTGATGTGCTAACACACATTGGCATCTGCTCCAAAAGTGTCAGTGGCTGCTACGAAACCTGCTACAGAAGGTCAAATTCTGCTTTCATCATTGAAACATGATAATGGCGACGAAATGCCCGCAGTGTCTTTTGTGTAGGCATGTGAAAATCGTTAATAGTTTGAATATATAGAAATACTAGAATATTTTTCGTTTTTAATTTCTGTTGGACTCAACAATTGGCTAATTAGCATTTTTCGAATATTCTGTCAGGGTCGAGACTAAATAATAAATATGCGAATATTTTAGGCGGTCGAGTTGCTGGCAGAGATCACGAGAGTAAAGATTTCAAAATGTTTAATATGTTAACTTCACATGTCTCTTTTGTCAAGCGTGTTTTGTTGTGATCAATGAGGGTCTAGCATTGCCATGTTCTGGCACTAATGGTTTTGGTTTTTATGAACTGACTTCGTAATGTGTAGCGTATACTGAAATGGGGTAGCAGGTTCGTGGCGACCAACGCTGTGTCCTCCTTTCACCTGGTTCCCTCAAAGGCACCTTCAAGGGTTACCAGGCCACAGACACTGAGAAATTGTAGGAAGCTCCAGTCTGTTTCCTTTGTGGCTAAGCAGACATAGATTTCACCAAAAACACTTTATTTCAAATACATTTTCTTAAAGCTTACCTTACAATTACCTAGACACTTTGTTCATCTAGGAAAGGGCAATTGAACATGGAGGCCATGGTGCTCAGAGTCCTTTGGGGCTGGCCGACTGTAGTATGCCCTTGCATCAGCAGATTACCATAAAATCCTGTAAGGATGCCCACCCAAAATGAAGAGATAAATGGTGAAAAACATGTGGTGGGCTGTCTTTGGGGATGCCACTGCAAAGCTTTATTAAAAATTAATGATAAGCGCCGTGGCACCCGCTACCAACCACGTGACGGGGGAACTGATATCGCGGACACGGCAAGTTCGCGTTTCACGATCGGATAAACACGCGGGAATTTGCTACAAACTTCTGTGTCACGGGAAAGGATACCGCAAGTGGCCAACGCGCAGATTCGCGTTTCACGGTGTGAAGGACTCGGGGAAACTTGCTGAGAACTCGCAATTCACGGGAACGGATACCGAAGATCGCGGATGCAGCAGATTCAAATTTCATGGTGCAATGAAGACGCAGGAACCCGTTACAATCTTGCCTGTCACGGAAACCGATATCGCTCGCGCAGATCGCAGACAAAAACACGGAACACGCTACAAACTCACATGTCACGGAAACAAATACCGCAGATCGTGGATGCAACAGAAACACATTTCACGATGCAATATACACGCGGGAACAACTCGCGCATGTTACTTACAGCTAAAAATCAATATCGCGCGCGCACATCGCGGACAAAAACACGGGAATCCGCTGCGAACTTGGGAACGGATTCCACAAATCGCGAATGCAGCAGATTTGCATTTCACGATGCAACATACACGCTGGAACAACTCGCGTGTTGCGCGAGCCGATAATGTGCGCAGATTGCAGACAAAAACACGGGAACCCGCTATGAACTCGCTTCTCAGACAGGCCGATGCCGCCGATCGCGCTGCGCTGATGCGCGATTCCCGTCAGATATCGCTTGACATCCAACGGGAATCGGGGGGTGGGAAGTGTTTTGGAATTTTTATGCTACAGATATTTAGCCAGAAAAACGGGAGGGGCAATCTCTCGGGGGAGGGCGCCCTTACGGGATTTTACGGTAGATGGGGTCAAGTTTGCCTGTGCGAATATCCGAATTTTTGAATACTAGTTTAGAATAATATCAACCGGGGGACTCTTCCTATACCTCCCATTGGGACTCCAATTGCAGACGGCAGCGCCAAATCTCCCTTATCGGGCGATGGGTTTCTCCAAAAGCAATAAAAAATAGACAAAACAATACGCGCGCCGTCGTCATGGCAACCGCTTGGTTATGGGAGAGGGTGTGAGAAGTGTGGTCCCTCCTCTCCCTCTCTCTCACCCTCGGCGACAAAAGGATGCGAGTTCATTCGGAGTTCGGAGCAGCCTCCGAACTCCGAATTTGCATCCTATTGTCGCTGATGTTGAGAGAAGAGGGAACTGCTCCCATTGCCGCCGTCTCGTTCTTCTACAACACAATGTGTTTACCTTTTTTTTTTGCGAATGTCCGATGCTCCGAAACGATTGCACCTGACTTTGCGTCGCTCGATTGATTTCAGCTTCGCAACAGTGCATGTTCAGTGACAGCCAGTTCTCATAAAATGGTCACTCAATGAATGCAAAGTACGCCCAGCCGCTGCTGTTTAGCGGCTTAAGATGGGCGCACATCGCCAGTCTGAGCACAAGTCCGAACTTCTTTTGCAAGTTCTCTTTTTATTAGGCACGCTCTTTATACAGAGAAAAAAAAAAAATGTTCACTGCACGGCACAACAAAGTAACAAAATCTACACGTAACTACTATTCAAGTATTCACAGACCTGCAATAACACATTGCGGTAGTTAACTTTGCGGTAGTTAGCGACAGTGATTCGATCGCCACGGTCTCTCGCAGGTTCCTTCTGCAGCGAGCTGCTCCACACACGAGCTGCGGTGCTCTAACACCGATACCGCCCACACCGCTCATTTTAAGATACATGCGCTGTCCCTTGTGCCCTTCTACAATAACTCCACCATAAAGAAACATGCGCCAGCAAGTTTTCGGCAATCCGAAACTGTATAACCAAAAGTATAGCAGCCCGTCTTTACCTTTCGTCACTCGACCGGGAACCCAAAGAACTTGGCAGAGATGTTGCCACTGGAATTAGAGCACCACTGAGTCGAGCAATAGACAAGGTTTCGTTTCCTCCGTGTTTTGGTAGAAGAAATAGACCGATAACCAATAAGTCAACGCCACTGCCCGCTGCCGCAAACGAAAACCACCACCGCACCGTTGGCACAGGCGCCGTCGAGCAGCCGACGCATCCGCGAGCACGGCAGCCGACGTGCAACTGTTCTCAACGATCAAAATACAAAAAACAACCGGCCAATGAGAGCAAAGTATGAGGGCGAAACTTTAGCTAACCAAAATATTTGTTTCATCTTACCAGGATAATTTTTGAAATCTGTAAGCAGCAACAATAATATATATCTCATCCTATTAAATAAACTTTCCGGCGTAAACCGGAAAGACTTAATAGAATACCAACGGATAAGAGATGGCGCTCAAATAGCTAAACGGAAGTCGCTCGAAGTGTCCGCCGGTTGATAATATGCTATGCGCTACCAAATCAAGTGCAATATTCACATTTTTCGAAGTGTTCATTGCAGTTGGTTTTGCTCCATTGAACGCGCTTCCTGTCGAGCACCGGCGCACTGCAGAGAAGCAACACCTGCAGGGCTCGCTTTTGCGGGTGTTGCTTTTCTGCAGTGCACCAATGCTTGATAAGAAGCGTGCTTAACGGGGCTAACCCGCCGTGATGAACACTTCAAAAGGTACAGATATTGCAGTCGCATGCTTAGGAGGAAAGCACACTTTCAAAGCGGGGGTGGTGCTGGCGCACCTGGTGTATTTAAAAATAAACTAAAGCTTTGTAAATGTTTATATCTTCACTACAGCAAAATTCTCAACATTAAGTTGTGGCTATTATGTGAGAGTATATGTTAGGCAGGGATGTCCTGACAACCTGTGTTCATCATTCATGTTTTCTTTTATTCTTTTCTGAAATTTGAGATTTAAGAAAGGATATTTGCGTATAGCAAGATGGTTTATAAATTTTGCTATATGCAAGAAGATATAGGTACAGTTGGGCATCTCTGTAGGTTTATTGTTATATCAAATGTGCAGTTTACTTGACATCCTTATATAGATTTTGGTTTTTCTGAGGTTATGGTTCATAAATATAGTTAGATTAAAACTAACTGAGCTCAGAAACGAACAATTGGAAGCTCGGGAACAACCGTCACGAGTTCCACTGGGTTGTGTTTTTAAGCTTGTTGCAGTAGTGAAAGGCTTGGAAAAACTTTGATATTTGGGTAAAAAATATTTGACCGAAACCCCTATTTGCTTTGAATTCACTTTGAACTCAAATTTTGCTATTAGCGCAATACTACAATCAAGCTTCCTGGGGCTTTTTTTATCTGTGCAAAATATAAAGTATCTTTCCTGATTTGAAGTCTTGCTTTGCCTTGAGATGACTTGTTGGATTTGTCACATGCTGTTCAACAGACTTGTGGTCCCCCAAGTTCAAGCAAAGCAGATTTCCCCGGACTGGAATGTTTGTTTTCTATTATGTCTTTTTACTAGTCTTGTAGAAAAATACCTGTAGAAATGCATTGCCCCCCCCCCCCCCCCCCCCCCAGACTGCACCTTGTGTGGGGCTTGGGTGCACTTTGAGTTGTGCCACCTTGTCGCTAACCCTCTTCTCCCAACTTTTCCCAGGGTCTTTCTGGCGAGAAAGGGACCAAGGGACATGCTGGACCTCCAGGAATGGTGGTACGTAAAAACTCCCCTTGCAAATGCCTTTTTTTGTGTGTGTGTGTTTCATCCTTTGAACTTTTGTTTTTCACATCCATGAAGACTGCAGGATATCATCAGTGCTGTGTTTCACTGGTTTGCTTGTTCGCAATGGACTTCCATAAAGCTTTCGCAGCAGTGAGAAAACAAAGTGTTTACTTTAACATGTGAGTGGGTTGAAGTAATTTAAGGCTTGTGATGGGTCAGACTTTCCTTTGATCGAAAGCCTGGATTGATATCTCAGTTTGGCAGTGTTACAAAACGGTCACATTATGTTTTTTTTCAGAAATACCGTAACTGTCATTGCTGCCGGCCCAACATATCGCACCAGCCGTGTGGGTTGGCATTTTCTAGTTGTAGCAACTGAAAATTAAATGCGACAGACTAGAAACAAATACACATTTCCCTATGGGTGCTGAAAATTACAGACGTGCGTGAACATAACAACCGAAGAGACATGTGAACCAAGAAAGTATTGGCGGGGCTCCTGTACAATGTTCAGACCAATTAAGCTTTTGGGCAGAGGCGGATCGGTGAAATCCTCATACTTGGTATTGAATTGCCTCAATTACCACTTTTTGTCCGAGTTTGGTCAACAGGGGCTACTTTTAAAACATCTTAGATATCGAAGTGTGGATGTTCTGTCGCCTTGTGTAGGCCAGCGCGGGACACAGATTGAACTTGAGTGCTGCTTTGGATTGGTACTTGCGTTTAATCAGCGAGGACACGCATCCAGTCTGAGGCAGCACTCGTGCCCCAACTGTGGCCTGCACTAACCTCCGGTCGGTGACGTGGAAAGCACTACGGTCATCGATGAAGTGCCGCTTTCCAGTTGACAAGTGCAAAGAGAGAGACAGAAACGTTTTCAGCCCTTTTTAAAAATCATTTGGTGGGTTTGCTCAGGATTCTATCTTTCTCGTTTATTCCTCTATCGTTTATTCCTCTATTTCGGTTTTGTTCAAGGTTACACCGCGAAGACCTCGTGCCAGTGCTACGTCAGGGCCCTCTCGCGCATTTGGTGTCTTTTTCGTCGTCTTCTAATGTTGGCTGCCGCTTTCATTCCCGACCGTTTCGATCTTCTCGTAGGGGCTTCCCGGACGCAGGGGCGACGCGGGGCAGCCGGGCCCCAAGGGGTCCAGGGGAGACCACGGCCCCACCGGGCCGGAGGGGCCCCCGGGGAGGACTGGAGAGCAGGGACCGCAGGGCCCCGTGGGGCAGCCTGGACCGCACGGGGAGCCCGGAGAAAAGGCGAGAGAACCCCCCACATTCTCCGGCTTGGCTTCGCTGCAACTACATGTTCTGTCGGCTGCGTACTCGGCTAATGCCATACTTACCCGATTCTAACGCGTGCCTTCTACATGCGACATTTTCGAGCGAATCCTACACGCTTTGTTGTCATTTAATCGGTTTGTAAATGACAAAGCAGGTGGCACGCATCTGTTTTATACCTACTTTAGTATCACATCGAATCCTATATTATATTGTATCACAAATTGTATCAATTATTGAATGTATATCGTATTACTTCTCGAATGTGATATGACATGGTGGCTGCTGATTGGCAAATACGGTTACCAATTTGAATTGATGTAATGCTACAACCAAAGTCATTGGTTTATCGCAGGAAGCCTATCCGTGGGAAGTAGAAGTTTAGATCAGGAGATTATGTGAAGTGGTTTTAAATGTGATAAATAAGTTCAAGACAGTGAAAAATATTCTTCATTTTTCCGCAGCAGCTCCTACTCAGTTTACAAAAGAAATGTTTACGTAGTACAAGATGGTGCAAACTCCTATCGTGTTTCAGCGACAAACTGCTATTGCATTTCAGCGCAGTGATTGATTTCGGCAATAATTTTTTTTGCCAAAAATAAACCTAGAAATTGCCCACATGTTAGAATCGGACACAAACCTGAAATCGGAGGCATGTTAGGGGGGATCATTGCCAGAGTGCATTGGTGCACCACAGCTCGGCACACATGGAGCGAAAGCTCGTGCTGCACAGCCCACGAATCCTGGGTTCCATTCCCACCCCTGCCCGTTTTGATCTGGATGAGCATTGTACCGGCGTGCGGTCTTGCATCACTACTGCGTGATGCATTAAAATATACCAGGGTAGGGGTTGTACTGCACTAGCTAAGTTTATTATCTACAGCATAAACCAGTGTTGCTGCATCTCAAAGGCAGACTGACCTAACGTCGTACAAACACAAACGTCAAACTTTGTTTATTTTGGAGGCACTTAGAATCCTTATTTGAGAGCATAAAAACTGGGTGCACATTTGAATTGGGTAAAAACTCTTTTTTTTTTGCCTTTTGCTGTTAATGGAGGGCTTCACCTGCCGGGCAGACTTCACTGGCATTTGTCGACACTCACAACTTTCTCTGACCACGGGCGAACTTTGGAGTAACTCAACTTTTTATTGCAGTGAGAAATAATGAAGTGCCGCATCCAGATTTGGAGTTTTGAGGAATTGTGTTTGAATGCATTAAAAAGAGAGTTAAGAAATGAGCATCACTGAACACAAAATTACGGATCTTAGTTTCGGCGCTTGTTGTTGTACATCCTTTCAAACATTGTTTCTGAATAGAAAGCTGCAATGCTTTTAGATTAGATTGTTTCTGTGAAAGCCTCTCATTAGTAATTTAGTGAGAAATGGAATATGGAATGGGCTCACTTTTCAGGCACGGCAAATGTAAACCGTTGGCTGGCAAGGTAACAAAGGTTCATTCTAACCATGGTTGGGAAAGCTAGGGGTTATAAATTATTTCAACGCTCTTTTTTACGAGCATTGATGTTTAAAATGCAACTTGACGCTTTCGGCCTCGTTTGTCGATATCTTAGTTCTCACTTGGGACCGATTGTAGCTTGCTCAGTCTAGGACTTGGGATAGAGCGGAAGTGAAATCTTTTGGTTGTAGTTGCCACTTGATCCGGTCGTTGACACACAGGAGATGGCCTCAAGTTCTCTCCCACGTTTTGGCAAACGACACTCATAAATTTGTACTATTCTATTAGAACTTCTACCATGCATCCAAGGGTACGTCAGGAGCTCCTTTCAGGACCATAGGATCTGGTGAGCAGCATAACCTTTCCTGCTGTTCTACTGTCCTTGCAGTTTGCCTCTTTACAGGAACAGAGGGACAACGAGGCGGTGAAATGCGATCTCCAGCGAAATTTGCTGCAGTAATTGTTGCGGTCTGCTGAGTCTGTCAGATGTTGGAGCGGACGTGAGCCCGTCTCTTTCTGCGCACAGGGGGAACCTGGCACCCCTGGTTTACTGGGACCCCCTGGCGCGCCCGGGGCTCAAGGGGACAGGGGACTCACGGGGGCACAGGGACCGCCAGGATTCCCAGGACCCACTGTAAGAGGCGCAGCATTGCACGCTTCACATGTTTTCCGAGTTGCACCGACCCACGTTTGGGTGACGGTGCTACAGTCGCGCCTGGTTTTAAGAAGCCTCGTTTGTCACAAATGTACACTCGGAATGGTTTAAAAAATGTTAAAAGTTCATTGCCTTTTTTTTATTACTTTCAGTGATTTTGTTTTTTTCAGCCTTTTCATCTGTGTAATGTATATGGACACCTTGTTCATTGGCTGCATTGAAAGTTTTTTTTTTATAAACTTAGCGATGACTTACACTTAACTCACTCAGCGAGGTAACTAAGTTGGAAGCTCATTTTAGCTGAACTGCAATTAATGGCTCGACACTTGGTAGTAATTGATTGATATTGATTGAGGCCAGCTGTTGTTTGCTTATTGACAACTGAGAGTGCTCAGGCAACTAAAACATCAGATTGTGCAAAGAAGCCTACTTTGAAAACTTTTAAAACCTTTAGTTTTAGAAATGATTTGTCTGGAGGTTCAAATGGAATATGGACTGTTCTGAAATGCACCATCGTGTTGAAATTCTACTGTTTCTGCCATTTCTGCCAGTGTAGCTCTAAATAATTCTTGCAGTCCTCAGTGTTACAGAGTGCCGATGTGAGGTCAATGAAAACAAAAAAAACAAAAAACACCAATGTCATATTCTAGGTGTAAATTTTGTGCAATCCATTCAGATTTCCAGACTTTCCTGATAGAATCTAGTTGGAATGCTAAACAATGTGTCTCCTTACGATATCAAAGTGCAGTTTCATTACTTAAAAAATTAGTGGCTCTTGGCCATCCTAGGCCTGGGACCCCTTGCAGATTTTCCAAAGAAGAGCGAGGAGTGTATTAGCACACTGTACTTGGTGTCACTAGTTGCATGCAGTACAGGCGAGAAAAGAAAGGGCAAGCACTAGGAAGGCTGGGGAGGAGGAGAGTAACCTCCTCTCCTCTCTAACACCCATAGTGCTCTCCCTTTCTCTCATCACCTGGCGTTGCCTTCGTCTACACTGCGCACAACTAGTGACAGGGATTATAGGCAGAGAGGAGATGACAATCATGGCACAATGAAAGACTAATTAAAGGACAGTTATTTGTTTAATAAGGGATGAGCCGAACTCTCCAAACGAGAAGTTCAACGCTGGTTCCGCTGGTTCAACATTGCCAGAGTGTTGCTTAACTTTTTTTTCCCAAATTATGTGTGCAGCTGTGACTCAGCTGTTGATTGTTGTTTTTGTTTTATTCTGATTTTTTAAGGTATCGTAGATTATTAAATGAAATGCTCCATTTTGTTAATTACGTATAGTACTCCACGGGGTACTTCCCAAGAAATGACATGAGTCTTACATGTCTACTTGCTCAGCCATGCAAATGCACTTTCAGTTTCTTCAGCCATTTCAGTTCAGTTCATGGAAGGCATTAAAATCGGATATCATTGGACAGTAGGCAGCGGGTTTAATTTTAATTTAAACAGATTTCTTAAAAAGGGAGCGAGAGTCAGATAAATGCCATCTTGACAGGCATTAGATTAGGGAAGGATTGTCATGGTAGGTTGACAAATTAATGAAAATTTGTTCATTAGTCTTCTAATTATTGGCTTTAAGGGTCAGGTTGCAATTGCAGTATCGATGCAGGGGCAAATCCAAGGGGGGGGGGCGCCATGGAAGGCCCCCCCCCCCCCCAAAACAAAGTTGACCCCCCTCCCTTTTCCCTCGGAGGGCAATTTCACATGGTGGACCCCCCGTGCACAAGAAAGAATAGGAGAATAGTATCCTTTAAATTTTCTATCCCCCCCTCCCCAAAACGGAGTTTTGCATCCGCCCCTGTATCGATGGCAATTACTATTAGATCCCAGATCAATTACCAAATTTGCACAAATGTAATAACTTTTTACAAATTGATGACTTTCCACATTTTTTAGCCATATTTAAAAATGCGCTCAAAAAGATTGTTACAAGCCTTGCCCACAATGACGTTTGGAAGAGTCGTGAGCTCATCGCAATCACGTCGTCACTATCTCGGCAGCTTCCCCAGTGGGTGCGTCAACGACACAGGTGACGACGTGACCGAAACGAGGCGTCACTTTTCTAAGTGTCATTGTGGGCGGGGCGTACGGCGCTCTCTTCAAGCACAATTTTTAAATCGGGCTAAAAAACATGAAAATTGATAGAGTAATATCTAAAAAACCATTACATGTTTGCAAATTCTTTCGATTGGTCTGATCTCTAATAGTAGTTGCCATCAATACTGCAATTGCAACGTGACCCAGAAAACCAATAAATAAAAAATTAACAGATGTCCGCCGAGCCTGATAAATATACGTGGTGAAGACGGCACTGGGTCTTCACCCCCTTTTCGTTTTAAATTTGTACGAATAAAAAATCAAATGCTCTGTAATACTGCAGGCTTCCCTGTTTTTTTTTTTGTTTTTTTTTTAATGATTGCATTAAGTCGCCGACTGATTTTTTGGACTCTGAGGGGATCCCGAAATTGTCAGAATAATCAAGCAGTCCGAAAATCGATCTCTGCCAAAATATCAAATTTCTGCGCATATTTCCCTGCGTATTGGCCACTTTCCACTTGCTTGATGTCAATTTTAAGTTCTGATCAACTTCCTCTTTTTTATTGTTTACTTTTCACACCTTGTTGATCTGTTTGATCACGGTGCTGCGCTTTGTCGGCACCTCTGTTGGCACAACCAGCGAAGTGGAGGGTGGCGCCATTTGGCGCTATTTGGAGACGACGTTTAGTCTACCAAGCTCGCTTTAATACTAAGCCTATCGGCGAAAAACCTTCGTGCTCAAAAACCACAACAATGACAGACGGCCACTCTTCTCGCGTTCGCTCTTAAAAAACACAGGCCACGAGGAGAACTGGAAGAACCATAAGAATGGGCACACGGCGTCAACACAGCTTGTTCATACGTAGGACGTGGTATCGAGGCTACAGGGCAAAATCGAAACAACCAAAATGGCGGTGACCATAGCCCGTGGTGCTTTCGCAGCAGCTGTTTTGTGGCTGTAAACTGAGGAAATCACGCAAATTATGTCCGAAATATCGAGCAATAAGCTTTATGGCGTCGGAAATTTCTTTCAGTGTTATACATTAACTCTATGGGGTAAGTGAAAGTTCGACGAAAACGTCAGAATAATTGGGCGTGTCCGTGTAATCGGCGTTCGAAAAATCGGTCGGCAACCCTATTCACTGGGAAACAAACTCTTCTTATTGTTGCTGAATGTGTTTCTTTTATAAACGCTCATTAGGGCAAGGCATGTCCTGCTCGTCGAGTGTGAACGTAGTAATTATGTTCATACTCAACCCAAGTTGAGCATTTTCTAGGGGGGGCGACGGCGGCTTCGTGCCGTGAGAGGAGCCGTGGGGGCCGTGATTTGCCAGACAAGGTCTGAGCCGTCTTCTGCCCTTCCCAGGGGGCCCCCGGAGCAGCGGGCCCCAAGGGGGCCTACGGCATGCCCGGCCCCAAGGGAGAGCAAGGCAATGCGGGACACCAAGGCACTCCCGGCGAGTCCGGACCCCAGGTGAGGCGCCGAATTGGACCTGGCCTTTAATGGTTTCAGTAGACGATTGTTTTTGCACTCTCGTAACGATACTCAATAACGGTACGATGCATGTGCGAAGGCGCCTGTGGTGCATCGGGCAGCACTAGTGGAGTTGTCGGAACTAAATTTGCTAAAACTTCATGATAGTCCTTCATCCTCTGATTGGGGGTGTCAAACCTAAACATTTCTGTTTTGAGTTTTTGTTCAGAGTTTTTACCTCCGGCTCGGGAATGAGGGTTTGGGCCGGCTTTGGCATCAAAGTAAAAGGAATGGTGATTCATACCGGTTTGAGCAGTAAACTAAAACTGGTTTTAACTGTAAAAAAGAAAGTATGTTTATTTTTATTAAAATGTTGAATATTAAAAGAGTGAAGCTGTAAGCTGTTTTTATTTTGGGGAACAAGAACAATGAGGGTATTTTGGGCTATGCAGGTTTTGCACTTTTGTACGTAGAAATCACAATGGGTCAGCTGGTCTAAATGTGGCTACGCAAGCTTCCTTGTCGCTAATGAAGGAAGGTGTTCAAGCGCTATATCATGTGAAAAAACGAAACCCACTTAGCCAGACGGCCAAAACACCTTGGCTTTTCCGGTTGTCCGGACAAGTCCCCATTGCAAAAATATATAAAGATTACACTATTTTTCATGACGTACCTACCTTCCTCAATAGGTTTCAAAATCATTGCATGCTTCCTCCATAGGTGCACTTCCTTTGCATTGAAATAGTGAGAATACAATGGCATAATTATAGAGGGAATTTGCTTTGAAATTAGGGGGAAGACACTCAAAACACGAGGACAGACAAGACATTTCCCCGTCCTCGTATTTGTGTCTCTTCCCTTATTTCTAATTACCGTTGACACAAGCTCTCTATTTCAACTATGCTTTGAAATCTTGTTCTTTTTCTTTTTGTCTCTGGTTGTGCATAACCACATAAACTGGCCCCTCTCTTTTCTCTTCTTAAATTGGCTATTTAGTGTTCATGCCTGTACTGATTCTGTGTCTCACTATATAATACTGCAGAATTATTCAAAATCGCTCTATGAGTTTTCAAGAAGATGAGCACTAAATCTCAGGATATTGTTGCACAAACAAGTTTAGTTGAGAGCTGGGCCAGCTGCAACTTTTGGGGCCGTATGCTACCAGACCAGGGGACCCGGACAAAGCCGTCTGCTGTGATTGGTCAACGGCGCGGCACTGACCAATTGCAGCAGATGGCGTTGTCCCGGTTCCTTGTTCCACTTGGTCCCACCTTGTACTGTTGATATGGGCATGTGAGGATGCCTGCCCTTTGCTTTGTAACTAGTTTATATAAATTATTCAAAAGTAAATTACATGAGTACTAATTATCTAACCTGCATACATTAAAATCTGTCCTGAACCAAAATTTCTCTCTATAGTTTTCCCAAACTATTTCTTTCTTTTTTTTTGACCATACTCTACCATTGTTGAATGTTTACTAGAGGTGTTGTTCCCTCCCACAACAAGGGTATCCAAGGCCTCCCGGGACCCAAGGGACCTCGTGGTGAAGCTGGCTTGAAGGTAAGCAACACTGACTCAATCCTTCTTTCCTGAGGATCCCCTGTATATGTTCATCATACTGGGCTAATTCAGTGTAATGGCAGTGGTAGTAATCTATTACTTTTCATAGTTTTCAGTGCCACTCACGTGTGAACGGGGAAAAGAAATTGCTCCCACACACTGTTGTGCTTCTGACGTCAGCCGGGTCTAGGTGAAGGTAACCTGCTCCCTAGACTAAAATCTAGTGGGATAGGAGTTTGACAAACCTCACTTTAGCAAAGTTTTAAGTTTTTAGCATATTACATCTTTCTCTTATTGAAGATCATATGTTTCCTTAATTTAGCTATGTAGTTTCTAGGTTTAATTATTAATTTAATCAGTAGTGACAACCCAGTAGATAAACAAAAACTGGTAGGTGGTAAGTTTTAGGCGGCAAGATTTAGGTGGGACTTCTACGTGCAGAGTCTAGTGAAAGGAAATGCATGTATCGAATGTAACAGATTTATTCGTAAGTCGCGGAATTAATGGAATGAAATACAAGTATCAAATGCAACACACTTATTTGTTAGTCAGTTGAATGAAACAAATATTTAGGCGTGAGGTAAACTTTTACAACTAAACGATACACAAGACACCAAACCACTGTGAGGTCGCTTTCATTTTTGTGCTGGGTTGTCTCGCTTTTGTTGCAAACGCTCTTGTTTGATTAATGCCTCGTTCACTCTGGGTTGCCACATTGCCAAGGCCGCACTGGACCTGTGAGGTGTATCACAAGATGACGGCGCTGTTGACATCGCATCACGTCAGCGTCAAATGTACTATGATCGTCTTGTTGGGTGCATATCCCCTGAACGTTTGGAGAATCTCGACGGTTCTTTCACCATCATGTTTGGCTCGATGAGGTCTTCAGCGTTTGACATCTCAGCTATATGTATACAATAGGAACAGCAGAACAAAGATTTCGACGGCCCATTTCAGGCTCAAGTTTCAACTTTCACGCTGAATTAGTCACACAGTATTGTCCCAAGTTATATGTTAGTGTCTATTGTTGGCTGTTACAGTGAGGTCTGTTTTCGTTGCACATTGTTTTCGTACACACCGTACAACACTTCGGGTGAGATGTTCTCACTTAAAAATGCTGAGATGGGATTCATTACTTTTCCTTACAGTAAACCTTCCATTAGTAATTTGTAATCTGATGTTGCAGAATATTTTTGATCTCAAAGTGGTTGGCTTTGTGTATTTGTTGAATGCTTACTCCTGGCGTTTTTTTTTTTTTTTTAATTCTATAATGTATAAGCTCGAAACAAAAATCACTTGAAAAATCCTCGCTTCTTTAAAAACTTGACATGACCTAAATGCACATTCTCAAACTGGCCGAGAGCACCAGGAATGTTTTCTTTACAGCGTACCTGTTAAAGGGCTAGTTTCCCGAGGATCGTGTCCACCACAAAGAAATGTCGACACAACTCTGGACAGCACCGCCATCTATCAGCGACCGCGGCAACCAGACAACCGGCTTGCCGGCCTCACTCATAGATAACGGCAACCTTTCCAGCCTTTCCACTCTGGTTTTCACCAGAGTGGAGAGGCTGAATTTCTCTAGGCGTCGTCCTAGATGTCGTCCTCGAGGTCGTCCTTGAGGTCATCTTAGACGTCGTCCTTGAGGTTGTTTGAGAGGTTGTCTTTGAGGTTGTCCTTGAGGTTGTCCTAGAAGTCATCTTTGAGGTTGTCCTAGAGATCGGCTTATAAGTTGTCCTATAAGTTGTCCTTGAGGTCGTCGTAGACGTTGTCCTCGAGGTCATCTTAGAAGTCGTCCTTGAGGTCATTAAGACTTTGTTTCTGGGGTCGTCCAAGGCGTCGTCTTTGAGGTCGTCCTAGACGTTGTCCCTGGGGTCGTCCTAGGGGTCGTCCTTGAGGTCGTCCAAGAAGTTGTGCTTGAGGTCGTTCAAGAAGTCATGCTTGAGGTCGTCCCATCATAGTACAGCTTTGCTGGTCTTCTTTCTTCACCAGAAAGAAAAGGCTGAAAGTTTTCCTACATACATTTTTTGTTTTTCGAACACGGGAAACTCCACCCTTTTACCCCTCGTGTTCTGTCCTTTCGGTTCAGCTGCATTTGCCCTGTCGGCGGTGCGTTCTGTCCCTGCCGTTTCCTGAGCAGAGCTAGAATGGATAGATGAACGTTGCACTCGTGTCGTTGAATCTTATCGAAAGACGTGGTTTAAATGAACTTGTCATTGGCCCATGCAAGAAGTTTGTTAGCTGCTTAGAACACGATTTTGTAACATGCCTGGATAGTTTTGTGGAACTGCCAGACCTTAAAAATGTGTCTGTGAGAGCACAAAACAATAGTCTGCGAGCGGAAGACGTCGGGAATTGAGCAAGTTGGTTGTCAGCGAACACGGGGCTGACAAATTTGCATGCATAGTATCTGCCTTTTGCTTTTAACATGGAACGCCTTCTATCACCGCCACCTAAACACGTCTCGTTAAGTGCCAGCAACAGAAGTCTGCAGGCCGACTGCCGGCCGAATGCTGACAGAGCGCTCGTATCCCCGCTGACCGGACACCAATGCCAGCCAAACCTCTTCCTGCAGTGACTTTGTTCATCTCCCGGGGGGTAAAAAACTCACTCGTTTGGACGTGCGGCGGCGCCGTGCTTTTTGAAACAAGTGCGCTCCAGGCTTCCCGAGAGAAAGAGCGGCAGAAAAGAAAAGAAAGCAGACACTCACTTTGCACCAATGGGTCGAGGTGTAGTTCGAGCGTTAGGTTTTCGTTTTCTGCAAGCTGGTATCGGGTCTCTGCTCGGCGCTGCCACGTTCCAGTTGTTACGTTTTCCGCACGCTCCATCTACTGCGTCTAATGCTCCAACAGGCCCCGAGAAAGTTGTATTTATGTCGCAACCGCAGAAGATGGCTTCCACAAGTAATGCACCCACGGAACTCTCATGCGCTTACTTTACACGACAGAGCCGGTTTGTGCCTTCCAGTTTCTATGCGTGTTCACAGTTTCTCTACACTAACAAAACCACATTCTGTGTTCCCACTGATTTTGCCACGCTGGTACGGCAAAGGGGCGACTTTTTTCTGTCTTCGTAAGATTGGATCTGATTGTAAGGTACATTTCAGTTTGAATGTAATTTGTACCTAAAATAGGTGTCTGTTAGAAATGTGTAAACATTACAGTTTTGTAATGATGCCATAAAACAGACCTAACTTGTCACCCACATAACTCATATTAAGTTATAATTTGACCAAGAGATCACTTCCATTTATATATCCAAGCCATAGTGCACATACTAATCAGTGTAACGTAATAAGCCGGGCGATTCAGTACACGTTACATGGAAATTAAACGGCACAAAAAGTGAGAAGTATAGCACAGTATCTGTGTAGTGTTCCTCCCACTTGTCCTCCTATTTCCTCGTAGCGTAATTATTATTTTTGAAGACTGCTTCAAAAAACTGGTGCTACAAGCTTAATTCTAATCCTCAAAGATCTAAAAAGAACCCTTGGGAGGAGCCTTCTTACTATGACCTCCATGGTGTGTGCTCTTTCTCTGTTGGATCTTTAGAAACCTTGTACAAGCGGGAGTTTTGTACAAGCGAGAGGATTGTCCAGAGCTCGCACGAGTGTCAACCCTGGGTGCGTGCTTTTCTTTTTTAGGGAGATGCCGGGTTCATGGGCGCCCCGGGGAGGCCGGGTGAACCGGGTCGTCCAGGGGAACCGGGGAACCCTGGGGCACAGGGACCACCGGGAATCACGGGCATCAAGGTAAAGGCTGTCTCAATGCCTGGCTCGGAAGCATTGCAGCGTCCCACATTTACGTTCAATGGATTGTCCGTTTATATGCTGGATGCTTTTATGGTTTGGTTTATGAGTCTCGAGTGTCACAAAGGGTTGTAACAAGAACATGATATATGATCATGCAACACCGTGGTGTCACAGTGTTATGTGACACACCATGACTTACTGTATTTGCACAAATATAACTCGAATATTTAATTTTTTTTTTTTTTTCAAAATTGCGCGTTTTAGAACATTTTGCGTTTCATTCAAAATTGAGCTCCTCCACGAAGCGTGCAAGTTAGAGAAAGACATTCCTCCGGCTGAATGCAGAAGATGGGATGCGAAAAGAAACGGGGGTACGGGGAGGGAAGTTTCTAGTCATTGTGCCACGTGAAGGGAGGAAAAGGGAATGTACAAAGCATTCTTTGTCGCTTGCGTGTTTCTACAATGCACGCGTAACAGCAAGCCGCAACAACACAGCGGCGCGTCACGCGGGCGTGCGGGACGTCAGCCAGCTCAAGCCGAGCCGAGGCAGGCCAAGTCGAAACATTTTAAGTAAAACAGTACAGCGAGAAGCAGACGAAGTACGGACGAGACAGTACGCAGTGCTGACAAGCAACTGAAAGTTTATTTGGCTCACACTATGTATATAAATACACATGGGAAAAAGCCAAATAAGTAGAATGCAAAGAAAGGAAGAGAAAGCACACATACAATCTCAGCAGTATTTTGGATAGATAATACTACGCTGTGCTGTGCGAGCCAGTGAGGAGGTTGATTTCTTTATCGCAAGGACCGACGGAGGGCATATGTTGACAGATTTTGTTTATTTGGTAGGTTTCCATTATTTCTCAAGTCAGTTTGTCACTGTCTTTTTTTTTTTAATTATTAGTCTTTTTAGAAAGTTGGTGGTACATCCAAAATCATGGCAATGAATGCCAAGATGACCCAAATTTGTTCGGTGACGATGTATCGATGTTGCCATAGTCGCAGTCATGTATGCATCGTCCAGTCCGTCCAATGTAGAATTTCTGGCACGAAAAGGGAGTGGAATACACAGTGCCTTCTGGGCGATCAACAAAAGCCTATCTGTGCTACTTCTTTCTCAATCTTTTTCACGTTTGTTTTGGCACAGGCCAGACGGACGATCTGGAGCAGAAAAAATGACTTCAACGTTTGCTCTTTGTCTATTTCCTATAAATTGTGAGGTATCTTGCGTAAATGGGGAATGACTGAAATATTTTTGCTACGGGTCTTTAGACCACGAATGTTCGAACAAGTGTCTGAGGGTAACTGCTTGGCACATGTTAAAAACCGGTACTAGCACAGCACAGTATCATTTACCGAAAATGATGCTGAGATGGTATGTGTGTATCTTTTTCCTTTCTTTGCACCCTGCTTATTTGGCTTGAGCCCATGTGTTTCTATATACAGGGTGTGAGCAAAATAAACTTTCAGTGCTATCCATGATAATTGAAACCTGACACTCAGGAACACAGAAGGGGACAATGAACCACCACCAACTCGCTTGTTTTTTTAAGTATTGTTGCAGTTTTCAGTGCTAGTCAGCTCTGTATACCGTCTCATCTTTACTTCGTCTGTGTCCCAATACACTGTTTTGCCCCGAAATCTTCATCAACCAACTAGCCCAAACAAACCTTTTAGTGAGTCAAGGACATAAGCCAAGCCAAGACCACCGGCTGTGTTTACATAACCGTGCAACACAAGGTGTTTGTTTGTGCAGAGGAACCAGAACGAAGGACAGAACGATTGTGTATCGCATCCAGCAGTCTTTGTTCTGTGCGTGCATATTAAGTTTTTGCTTGAGAGGGTTCTGGCGTTTGTGCGTCAGTGCTTTTGCTTCGTGCATCTGCTCCCAACCGACTTGACACAGTATGCAGTGGTTCAGGAGGAGTGACTTGCAAACAGGGAGCTCACGCGGAAGAAAAGGAAATTACGAGACAAGCAGGCGCATAGCTGTGAAGTTGCCAAGTGGATTGCAAATGCGACAGTGAGAAAAGACCGCGCAACGACGATAAGCGCAGCCAAAATGTACACTGATAATTTTCTGACTTGATTTTTTTTTTCACTTTTGCTATGCAGTAACTATAGGCAGCCTCAGTTTGCGTTACAATACAGTCATTTCCTTTTAGGGGCATTAAGACCTGCCTTCCATTTATGTATTTTATTTATTTAATAACACTACCCGGTTCAATCGGGGCCATGGTAGGAGGCTCGCAGCATCACGTCGATGAAATATGTCAAAAAGGGAATGGCAGAATTATTCAAGAGGCAAATCATGATCCGATTGCGTTTATTCACGGTCGCGTTATATTCGTGCAAATACGGTAAGTAACGTCGCATGACGCGATTATGGGGTTGGTGTCATCGGACCACTCTCCGCTATATTCGGTGGAAAATTGTGACGCGTCGTGCCATAACAGCCCGTCAAGTCCGCATTCTGTGTAACTCAAACTTTATACATACAATCGCTGTAGTGTTGCCAACTTCCGCAATCGTTTCTTCCCTGAATTTTTTTGAAGATTCCCTAGATTTCCCTAGATATTCAAAAAATGTTTTAATTTGTGTTAATATGGAGATTGTCGTTAAGCAGTGGACTCCTGTAGTTGGGTTAAAGGTAAATTTGCGTCGTTAAAACTTTTTTACATAATTAAATTTTGTTACTTTGGCTTTGTGTGTCCCCTCGAAATTGCTGTCGTTACTACTGGAGATTATCTCTAGCCCCGACAATATACGAAGAAGCCTTTTTCCCGCTGCACTCGGCCGGCACGAGGAGGAAAAAGGGAAGGAACGTATGCCTTAAGCTCTGAAATCTATTAAAAATAATCCCTAGATTTTAACTAATTTTCCTTTGCCCCTAAATTGTGACGTAAATCCCTAGATCTAGGGGAAAATCCCTAAGGTTGGCAGAATGGAATCGCCGTGATTATTTGGCTAGGGGAGGATGATTCTGAAAAGGGACACGGCATTGACGGAGCATACAACCAAGATATATGTATGCTCTATCCTCGACGTTTCAGCAAAATCAGAAGGTTCGGCGTCAGAAATAGCTGAATTATCGCGGGGCCAGGGCTATCTCGTAATCGCCGGCATTTTCATCGTTCTTGTCCAGCTCGCTTGCACCTTTGCATTAATTACATTATTATCATAACCTTAAAATGCAAGCTGATCACCCCTGTTGGTGTTAGACTGGTGGCAGCTGATAAAACCCGATAGCTCCACTGACGTCTCAGTTACTTCAGTTGGTAGACCTCTCCACCTGTAATGGAGAGGTCCCAGGTTTGATACCCGGACCAGGCAGATTGTTTCGGTCGCGCACCAGTCACCTAGCTGTGTTTGGAGGTTTGTGTTTGTCCTTTGTCCCTCTTGTTCCCCTTCTCCAGGGATTATTTTCATCATCCTTCTCTGCAGGGAGCCACGGGCGATGCGGGCAAGATGGGTCCTGCCGGCCCTGTGGGCAACCCGGGCATACCCGGTTTTGCGGGTCCCAAGGGGGAGTCCGGCTCAGAGGGACCCTCGGGCCTTCCCGGACCTCCTGGGCCCCACGGCCCGCAGGGGGAGAGGGGCCTCCCAGGGTTGCCCGGACTGCAGGGACCGCCTGGACCGCTGGGAGCAAGGGGACCGCAGGTGGGTCGCCTCGCTGAGACTGTGCAGCAATGTCCCGGGAGCGTCACGCCGTCACTCCGGGCATGACGTTAGTATAGATAAATGCTCCGTTGTCGACAATTTTAAGACTTTTACACCAAAGCTCTTAAGGGCTAGGTTCCCCACTATCATGTCTACGGACAATCAAACGTCGACAGAAAACTCTTCATTGGTCGTGGCAAGTATGAATAAACAACAACAAAAAGAGGCTTCAAGTATGAATAAATAAAAAGAGGGGGCAACCAGCATGGGTCAGCCTTCCTTGACATTATTAAATAGTGAGGCCCTGATCCTTCTAGACGGTGGTTTTATATGCGCAAAGGACTAAGAAGAGAAGGAGGGGACAGGGCAGAGTGCTTAAACCTCCTGATCCTTTGTTGTCATCTCTAGGCATCGTCCTTGAGGTCGTCCTAGAAGTCTTCCTGGAGGTCGTCGAGGTCGTCCGAATGGTAGTCCTAGGCGGTGTCCTCGAAGTTGTCTTAGATGTCGTCCTTGAGGTCGCCCTAGACGTCGTCCATGAGGTTGTTCTAGAAGTCGTTCTAGAAGTCTTCCTACAGGTCGTCCTTGAGGTTGTCCCAGAAGTCGTCCTTGAGGTCGGGCTAGATGTCATCCTCGAGTTCGTCCTAGACGTCGTAACGATAACACCTTCACTCCTCCTTCATCTTCACTTGAAGTGGAAGGGCTCTACATTTTCTAACAGGTGTTCATGCAGCCTTGAGGAGTAGAGCCCTGCACGAATAACAGTTTGAATATCCGTATCCGATCTGCATCCGCAGACTTTGTATCCGTATCCAATCCTCATCTGCAAACTCTGTATCCGTATCCGAACTGCATCCGCAGAATGTGGAACCATGTCGATGTTCTTGCTAATCACCAGGGGTTACGATTACATTTAGACTAGCAAAGTCAGCGGAAATCACGCCAACCGCATTTTTCCCCACCGCATACAGAATCGAAAACTTTCACCTGTGGCCCCTTAACTTTCCCCTTAAGTCTGCAGGCCTAAAAAAAAAAAAAAAAAAGATCATAAAAAAATGAAAAGAAAGAGTGGAGGAGAAGCATACCGAGCGTATGCGGCTGCCTCGAGTCTCACGGTGTTTCATGTCAGCCAGCGGGCAGATGCGCCGCTAAGTCAGAGTCCAAGGCCAGATCGGATCGACTAACATGTTGTTCGAGAAAGATCGCGGCCTGCAGGCATCCAAATTTCTATAACAAAAGGAAAAAGATGTTTTCCTTTTTTCTTTTTTTATTTGCTTGGAGTGGCTACAGAAGTTGCGCGCGGCAGGCGCTGGCATTGCTGGCGCCCTGGCGTCGTAACCAGATGAATATGAACTACAAGACTTTCTTGGCTAGAACTCTAAGCATACAAAAAAAAAAAAAAAAAAAAGCAATTTACGGGCTGCCTATGTGCATGCGCCGCTGATTCCGAAACTTTGCAAACCGTGGCGCCACAGGGTCAAGCTCGCTGTCGAAGCACTTCTTTTCTTTTTAGTATCATGACCACACCACTCTCTGCAGAGAGGAGGAGGTTTCTTCTACTTTCTTGTGACTTGTTCGTTTGAGGTTTTCTTCGCCCGGAGAAAGTTTTCCGCTCTTTCCCTGCCAAAGAACTAGCTTTCTCGGGACGATTGATGCCCTGCATTCTTAACATTTTCTTTTTCTATAGATAGCATTTTTGACGAGATGAAACGCACTAACTGAAGCGATCATCAGTAAGAATCAGATCTTTCTTAGGATCCCTGTCGTTTCTTCGAAACGTGTTTTTTGGAAATACGTCTTATGGACAACTTTTCACAGGCATACACTTCATGGACACATGGTTCGTCGACACTGTATGTTTTGTGGGCACATGCCCCTGCGACGTTTTGTCGACAGCATATTTCTTCTCTAAGCCGCTAAAAGCTAGCGCGTGATTGACTAAGGTGTGCTTAACCAAACCATGTCCCCCTCCCCCTTGTAATCCAGGCAAGACGCATAAAGTTTGTTACGAAAATAGCAGGGTTGTGTGCGACGAAACGTCTCAGGTTTTTTCATGAAACGAACACAGGAAGCCTTTCGATCAAGCGTCGCATGTCGACGAAACAATATCTAGATGAAACGTCAACCAACGCACTGAATGCCACTGGACAAAAATTTAGATCCGGATCCGTGGATATCTGCATCTGCAGCCCCTGACATCCGCATCCGATCCGCAATCCGTCAAAATTTGTCTAATTTTTATCCGCATCCGCCAGTTTACTGCGGATAATCTGCGGATATGCAGGGCTCTATTGAAGAGATTGATCCCAGTGCGGACGAATAGGAGCCCCCTTGGAGGCAAAGCAGACAGGGCACTGTGCAACTGAGATCTCGGCTGGACATCAAACAGTTCTGAGGTGGTTGAAATTAATCCTTAGCCCTACGCCAGGGCGTGTCGGATGCCCTTTGTTGGTTTGCCACCGAAAAACCCCAGATTTAAATTTGAGGACAAGTGTGCATTCTGAGGACCAGGTCTTATGATTGTCTTCAAGGGGTCAGTTTGTCATCTTTCAGAATATGTTAGTGTGGGTGTCCTTGAAAAACATATGCAAAGGAAAATACTTTTTTTTTAATAGTCTGAATGGAAAGAGATTATCGTAAAATAAATTTAAAACGAAAAGAAAAAATATTTTCAGAGCTATATTTACAGCACAAAATGAATTTGTACAGTCTAAGCTCGTTATAACAGACCTTGGTTTTGATCAAGATTTCGGTCTGTCGTAAGAGGAGTATATTATATGCAGCTATGAAGTTGAGTCAATGGTATGTAGAGGAGAACCAACCAAACTTCACAAACTGGTACCGTAATATCCCGAGTCAACGCCCGCCCACCCCCCCCACCGCCTGAAATTCTCAAAAATTGTGGGGTGGGCCATGACTGGGGTACCGAGCTCAAAAAGTTTCAAAAAAGTTTAGAAATGCGATTTTTTTTTTTTTTTTTTTTTTTTTTGTCTGTGTATACACCAACTCAACTCTCCTACGTCACGCCGCGGTGGTGGCGCGCCGGACGCACTTCCGGTCTGGGTCGGTGGGCAGAAGTCGCCGCGCCAGACATGCATTCCTGTGTTCCTTTGGAAGAAACGAGGAAAAAAACCTGCCTTCTCGTCAAAATGCTGCGATGGGGGCTTTACAAAGAGAGTCTGGGAAGGTTTGAAGATCAGTTTTCATGTGTTTTTGCACCCTCCGTTCGTCCGAGAACGTCGATAGCAGCCGTGAAAAGGGCAAACCTGACGCTGTCGAACTACGATTGCGTGTGCGGGCCACAATTTGTAGTCGCCAGATGTATTTGCTTTGTTCCAACATGACCGAGAGAAAACCCCCAAGTTGTCCGGACCACCCACGGATTCAGTGCGTCTTCAAATTCACACGGCCGCCTGATCGTTCGAACTTTCGTCTGCTCTTTTAAAGTTGTCTGTTTTTTGTCGTCTGCTCGTTCAAACAAAAGCGGCCCGTAGACCAAACTTTGACCCGGTGATTGCAATAAGAAGTAATTGCAGGCCTCAAAAGACTTAAGTAGGCTCGGTGTAAGCAGTAGATACAAGATGTTGATCATTGGTACCGGTGGCCATCACCTACTTGTTACGCTTTGTCTGTTCCCGCTTCCGATTTTCAGTATCGACGTCGATCATTGCCGCTACCTTCTACACTTTTGCAGCACGAGGGTCGTCGCGACCGAAAATAGCTAGAAGAGTCTCATCATGGTTTTGTACGTCCATTCTGCGGCGGTCATGCAAATACATCGCCGCACGTCAAATTATTTATGCAAAGTTTAGCAGCGTAACGAGCCTTGATGATTTCGCTCAGGCGATTAAAGTGGTAAGACATTGCGATGAGGACGTAGAGTCGACAACTCCAACGCGAAAAAGAGTATGCAGACTCACACAGACGCCGACAACGTGACATTCGAATGGTTTGTTGACGCGGGACGCGGTGCGTCTTGCCCGTACTCCATTGCGCGTGCGTTCCAACTGTCGTCTGCTCTTTCAAACTTGGCTGCTTTTTGTCGTCAGTTCGTTCAAACGACAGCGGCTCGTAAACCAAACATTGACCCCGTAATTGCGATAAGAACTAAGTGCAGGCCTCAAAACACTTTTGAAGGTTGGTTGGGGTAAGTCGGCTAAGTGTAAACAGAAACAAGAAGTTGTTGATCATTGTTACCAGTGCCCATCACCGACTTGTAATGCCCGATTCTACTTGAGGTTTTCAGTATCGATGTCCACCATCTCAGCTACGGTCCACGCTTTTGCAGTCCGAGCGACGTCGCGACTGAAAATAGCGAGCAGAATCTCGACGTGGGAGTCAGGCTTTAGCGCCCATTCTGCGGCGTCCACGTGAAATGAATCGCCGCAAGTCACATTATTCACGCAAAGTTTTGCCTCGATAGTTTTGCAGAAGCCGCTCAAGTAGTCAGACATTGTTAGGAGGACGTAGAATCAACAATTCCAACGTGAAAAAGAGCACGGGGACTCCCACCGACGCCGACAACAACGCAATTCAATGGTTTGTTTATGGGCGACGGCGGGCTTCTTGCCCACCATCCACGGCGCATGCGCGGCGCCGGTGACGTCCGCTAGGGGCGCTCCGGTTTGTTTGTAAACATGAGTTGGAAGCTAGACAGGAGATTAACTGAACTCAAATCTCGGGTTGGTATCGTACTTGCGACTCATTTTACTGTCGAGCAAAATCCACTGCTTCGCGGGTAGCTCGTTTCCGCCTCCTCCAAGCAAGCGCAATTCGAAGCCACGACCGCTGCAGCCTTCGGTCCAATGTGAACGGAAAAAAAAAAAGAAGAGAATCATCGAAAAAAAAAAAAGAAAAGAAAAATCGCAAGAAGCCACAGTGACCGAGCAAAGGTGACGAAAGCCGAAAGGAAAGCGGGTCTCTGCTTCCCTTTCGACTTCGGAACCGAGCAACCCGGCAGCCTTTAACCGACGCCTAAAATGAACCCAGTACAAAAGCAAAAATAAGATGACAAAAGCGAAAACCATAAAAAGGCTCTCTCCGCGGGCGCGACCGTTACGGCGGAAAGCGCGCGCACGCACAAACTCAATGACCTTCGAGTTTGTGCGTGCGCACGCGCGGCTCCGGGACAACTTTCTGTGGCAGTACAACCGGAGCTGCGGGCGGCCAAGGCCAATCGGGCACCGACGCGGAGCGCAGCCATTGGTTGTTCTCAGAACGCAGCCACCGGTTATGCTCTGCGCCGGCGCCCGATTGGCTTGTGGGGCGTGTGATGCTTTGGGAAAGGTCAGCGCCATGTTGGGGGAAGGGGAGTGGGAGAAAAGAGCTCGAAAGAGGCTTCGATCGCCTACAGCGCCTACAGCTCTGACGGCGTTTCAACGCTCAACAATGACAACGGTGTTTTCTTTTACAGATAGCGCGGCTTGCGTAAGGTGACGCGTAGAGCGGCTGGCTGCGTTGTGGACGGTGCGTCTGGCATGCCGCCCGAGATAAACGAAGCGTGAAAAAATAGGAAGAAAACGTTTGCGCCGGGTGTACGAGCAAATCTTTATTTACTCGTCGAAACCGCGGCGTCTGTCGGTCGCGACATTCTCAAAGAATGCCAAGTCGGCCGGAGTAGGTTTTGGACAAAGAAAATCGAATTCAAACGAGGCTTTTTGTTCTGAACCACTTGTATTCGCAGTATTGAGTTAGTCATCTGATCCGCGTCCCATTTAAGTTGCGGTTTCGCGGCCTGACTTATCTTTTCGGTGAAAACGGACTTTTAGTTATGAACAGAAAAAAGAACAAAAAGCGGCATTCTGTTATCTCTTTCTCTCCCTCCTACGATCTTTTTTGACCCTATGATCCGCGCGTCCAGGCGCTATATTGCAAACGGACCTTCTGGCCTTTTATATTTATTTCTTTTTCGGGAAGGGGGGGTGGGGAGGGGGGTGCGTCGAGGAGAGAAAGGATCAGAAACGTTTTGATTATAATGCAATTAAATGCAAAGGTGCAAGCGAGCTGGACAAGAATGACGAAAATGAACCCTGGAGAAGGGGAATAAGAGGGACAATGGACAAACAGAAATCTCCAAACACAGCTAGGTGACTGGTACGCGACCACCTGTAATGGAGAGGTCCCGGGTTCGATACCCGGACCAGGCGGATTTTTTCGGTCGCGTACCAGTCACCTAGCTGTGTTTGGAGATTTCTGTTTGTCCATTGTCCCTCTTATTCCCCTTCTCCAGGGATTATTTTCATCAGAAACGTGTCTGCTTTTGTTTGCCAGATAAATATACGTTCGCTTTCTTATCTTTATTGTGTTTCTTATGCACACGCATCCTCCGATTTTGTAGTCGTGAAAATGCAGAAGGGCGTCCTTTCTTTTCTTTTTTTTTTTTTTTTTTTTTTTTCTGTTTGCCATTTGTGGGGCTCGGAATTGACGTTTTTCAGCTCTGGGCGATGAGTCGGTGCTTTTTTTACGAGATCGATTTGAAACGGGTGGGCGTTCACTCGGTGCTTTTTACGAAATCAATATTTCGCCCAAAACGCCCATAACGGGGGGGGGGGGGGGGGGGGGGGGGGGGGGCGATGACTCGGGATATTACGGTATGTTATATCCAAATGTCTGTTGTAACCAAAGTTTGTTGTAATGAGTTTAGACTGTAGTTGGTGCCTGATGGAGCCCGTGGAAAAGTGGCAGTCACGTGACCGGCCAGGTCAAGTGACTGCCACTTCTGATGACTGCCATAGGTCCAGGTCACAGCGTACACGCAAGTTGCTATGGAAATTGCTGCGTGGCACCCGTTTTCATTGCTCGTGTGTTCCTCGCTTAATAGTCTCCATTAGACGACTTCTTGGCCTGAGGAACAAACTTAATTCTGTTTTGAGTAGTCATATGCTCTCTAAACAGTCCACAATTAACGTTTTTAAGAGATAAATTAACTTATGTCATATATTTCACAGATGTTTCATGTGTGGCATATCTGCTTGTGACCGGTAGGCCTATGTAGAGGAAATCATCAAGTATCTGCTTTGTATGTGTAGCATTCATATGGAAAATCTTAATTATATCTTGCATCATATTTACCGTAGTTGAATTTCTAATAATTCAGATTTCTGATAATTCAAACAAAATTTGTGGCTTCTTGGAGTTTGAATTAATGAGTTTGCCCTAATGTGGGTAGATTTAGTAGTTTTTGATGGTTCGCATAAATTTTCCAAAACCATACTTTCAAAAATTTATAATTAAAAATTTAATCACTCAGAAGGAAGTAATGACCTATTTATACTAATGCTAATCATTTCTGTTAATCGGCTCTCTGGCAGAGACCACTATGGCATCAACCTTTTTTTGTGCGATGCATAGTTTTCGCAAAATCGAATTTGGTGGAGTTTTGTGAAAGAGCCTGGGTGTGTCTTGCTTGTGTTCCACCCGAGAACACCTATGCAAAACCTGCATGAATGTGACTCAGTTTCGGAATTCAATTCTTTGCAACTGCCAGTTTCTTTCACAATTATGTGTGCTTGAGGCATTTGATTTTGAACTCCAGAAGAAGAAGAAAATAGATGGTGTAATGGAGAATTCAGCAGTTAATTTAAACTCCGATTTGGCATCTTGCCAAATTTACAGCATTTTGGTGAACATGCTGAACAATGAGTTCTGCTTGTACAGTGCAGCCCGCTTATGATCATAGCGTTGAGAAAACTAAAACATTCAATTTGTATAGTCGTAGGTCCTTGTATGTACCTGAGTTAACCTGGTTGCTTAAAACGATACCTCCATGCTGCTTCATGCAGCAAGTTACTTTGCAGCACTAATGGGTGCCTTGCACTCTATAATTTTAGTGTTAAATCATTTTTTCTTTATGTATGGATTTTCATACACATCCATCAACTAACTTCAAGTCAGTCATGTAAAAAGCAGGAAATCCGAATAACGGTTAAGAGTTGAGCTTGTTGGTACATACTTGTAAATATATCAGCTTGAACTTCAGAATTAAAGTAGAACACAAAGAAATAAAGGACAGGATAGGACACACCGCTGTGTGTCCTATCCTGTCCTTTCTTTCTTTGTGTTCTAGTTTGATTCTAAAGTTCAAGCTGATATATTTAAAATGCAGGAAACCTGTGTTTTTTTGACGTAGAAGTGGGGTGTACGTGGCATTCTGCTCTTGAATGTACTGCCGTTCCTTTGTGTGCTCTGAGTGTATTAGTTACAGGATGATGGAAAAAGTTTCTTGAATAGAAACTGGAGGTGAACGACTGTCTGTAATGGGATCACGCAACTCATCTGTGCTACCTTTATAGTGTCACAACTCACATCAACCGGTGATAACAGTGGTGTTCAACTTCCTGGCTGCATATATAGATTGATCATAGTATTTTTGATAGAAAAAGGAGATGCACGATTGAAAAGGACTTTCACACATACATTGAGTTTGCATCATAAAAAGATTATCTCGAGAACTTCTTTAGTGCCTCTTTAATTCATTCATGTACTTCCTAGCATTTCTTGCTGTTTTGGACTACTTCTAACAAATTTATTTTTGGTGGTCACTATATTTCATGGTTGGGAGTGGAAGGCTTTGTACGCATCAATCACCATATTTTTCAAATTGTTAATTCTTTTGTTTTTTGGGCTGTGACTTTCGGCAAAGATTATGTCGTGTACATGCGGCATAGGAAAGAGTGCGTAGCAGTCGGGTCAGACAGGGAGTGCAACTCGAGCCTAGAACTAAAAAGTTTCACCACTTTGTTTCAAGTTTTTTCTTTATTTTTCGCAGACAGCATGCGTGTCGTTGCTGGAGTGCTGAGTATGGGTATGACTCTGTCGACGTGGCCGCCCTTTCTTCTCACTGCAGGGGGAGAAAGGCCAGGAGGGAAAAAGGGGCAGCGACGGTCAGACGGGCCCCCAGGGAGCACCGGGACTCCAGGGCCCTCCCGGAGTGCCCGGAGAGGCTGGACCCACTGTGAGTGCTCCTGCCCAGACCTTTACACATCCAAACACTTTCTTCTACGTCAGAACTATAGTAAATTACGGCTCAAGAAGGTAGGACGAGGGAAAGGAAAGCTGGGGAGGGAGAAGCAGACGGAATGCTGGAAAGGAGAGGGGGAAACCTCCTCTCTTCAGCGTTTTGTATGCTTCCTGCTCCCCGGCCTTCCTTTCCCTCCCACTACCTTCTTGAGTTGCAGCGGACTATAGCCAAACATTTTTTTTATTAAACCAATAAAATAAGCATGGCCATTTTTATTTCTTTATTTGTAAATTTATATCGATCAATGGAATCGTGCCAGCTTAGCATAAGAAATCTGAGCGAGAGTGACGGCGCGTGACCGGTACGCGACTTGAGACTATTCAATTTTGCTCGCCAGGGGCGCAGCTCGAAACTTGAGAGCCATAGCCCTACAATGGCCCGAGGCCTTGTGAACAGTAATGTTTATATTAGGGATTGTCTGGCTCAAGCCATGCACCAAGCTGGAAAAATGCTTACTTAGGGGCCTTCAAGGAAACTTGGGGAAGCTATGAGAGTACTTTGGGGAACAGGTTTCTAGGAACCCGTTCCCCAGAATTGGTGCTCTACGTCTCGCATCACCCCTTTCTTTCTGGTCGTGATGCATCTTCCAGCATTGTGGAAGGCTTAGGACCTACCAGGGAATTGTGCCCACACAGGCGCACATACCTTTAAACCTCTAAAACAATGTGGAAAGAATAAGCTCTATGCTCAGTGGTGCCAAAAGCTGCGCATTCATCCGGCTAGGAAGCACTCGGAGCTTTGTGTCCCAGGCGCATCAGCAAACGGGCTCGTCTGATGCTAACGAACCCTGGAGTTGCGTCTTGGCGGCACACCGCAGGTACCGGTGCTTGTATCGCATCCTTTACGTAACATGTAAGGGCTTCTCAGTTCTTGTCTCTCGATAAAAGATAGAGTTTGACGATCTCCGCGTGCTAGGCATCCTGTTGCCACGTGTATGCTGGTGGCGGTCCTGCATGCGCAAGATCCATCAGTATCAGGATCGTGAGAAAACCGCCCGAGTGGGAATTGAAACGAATACGGGGCTGAGGTTGCGGCATTTCGAGTTGCAGATTTCTGTTTGAATGCAGCTCTGGTGGATGGTAGAGTCGAATGGGCCCCAGTGCCGCGCAGGTGCGGCGGTATGTGATTCAAATTGGCGCGTTAGGTTTGTCTCGCTCGATCCTTAGAGAGAAAAAAAGTAACTTAAGTTTGCCGGTCTTGCGGAATTTGTTGTAAGGGCATTTGACTGTATAACATCTGATCTTTCCGGGAATATCCGTGTCAAATACTGTATTTACTCGAACCTGACACGCACCCTTTTTCTGGGGAAATTTGTCCAAAAAAGCATGCACGCTAGAATCGAGTGTGACCCAAAACTGCGCTACCATATCGCCATCGATATTTCAAGATGGCTGCTCCATTACGCTCTGAGAAGCTGAGAGGCTTAGAGCGTAGCCAGCGCTTAGCGTAGTCGTGTTTTTCTTGCATTCGTATCAGCATGGAAGTTCCCACTGCAAAGACACGTCGCATTCACCATGATGTTGGATTCAAAAGAGAAGTGATAATGTGCACAGAGGGCGATGGAAATCTGGCGGCATCACGTGCGTTTAGCATTCCAGAAACTTGCGTGTGGGACTAGTGCAAGCAGGAAGATAGGATTTTGGCCAGCAAGTCAACGCGGAAGGGATTCAGTGGACCAAAGAAGGGTCGATTTCCCTAAATAGAAGACCCGCTTGCAGAATACAGTATAGACCACTTACAACGTAACCGCTTATAGTGCAGGACCGGGTATAACGCGGTTTTTTTAAACCACCGGTTCGCCTCCCATAGAACTCCATGTAATTACATACCGCTTAAAACGCAGGCGCGCGAATGGAAATACCGGTTATAGTGCGGTTTCTGGCACAGCCCGCCGACCGCGCCGACGACCGGAGCAGCGAGCACGCTTCCCTGTGCGACACTAGATAACGGCGCTGACGGCGCGAGTGGCGCGAGCCGCAAGCGTTGCGCAAGCGGCACTCGCGGGGCAAGGAGGTTGCTCGAAGAAGCGGGAGAAGCGAAGAGAGAGGCTTCAGTTGCCCTAGCGACGGAGGGACGCACGCACGTGTCGTTGACGTGCGTGCGTCCCTCCGCTTCCTTGAAAACATCCGAAACAACCGCAATGACAGACCAATCGCAGGTCGAGAAGTGTTCGCGCGCGTCGCATGCCGGTCGCGGGCCGGCTGCTTGTCCGCAAATATGGCATCGGTTGTGATCAACGTTGTGATCGTCGTCTTAGACGGCGTTCATCTCATCGTTCCGCGTAAAAGCGCTATCCTTTACTGTGAATTTTCGCTGTGTGTCGCTATGATAACCCAGCACGTACTAGAAGGGAAGATCCACCTACTCGAGCGGCGATGTCGTGGCGGCGCACTCAAGACGGCAGAAACGCCCGTGTCGTCGTGTTTGTTTACTTCGACTACAGTGATGATTATTTCTAAGCATTTGTGTGCTCAAACATCGCCCGGATTTCTTATTTGGCGCACTTCATGCGTGTGCTCAAGTTCAAGGTATTACTGGCGCGTACCGTATGAAGGATGCGAATTTTCACGCGTTTTCATCTCCGGAGAAAAGGGATTAGGGTTAGCAATCCTGAACGCTCGCAACGTCCGTCCGCAACCCGCGACGCCGTTAAAAGGCTGCGCCAGGCAAAAGCCGCTCATTTCTTTCAAAATGTGTGACACACTTGAGAGAGAAGTGTACTAGTCTGGTGAAATAAAGACTTTCCTCAAACTAAGCTTTATTTTTCATCTCACATAAAATAAATTGTTTTACAAAGGTAAGTTGTCTCATGGCATGTATTTTGGCCTGAAAAATTGATGTTTTGGTTATAACGCGGTACCGCTTATAGTGCGGATTTTCGCGACTCCCGCGACATACGTTATATGCGGTCTACACTGTACATACAACAGCAGCAAGTGGTACAGAGACCCATGACGACAAGCTGCTAAAAATTCGGGCAATGCAGTTAGCGTTATGATGCCATGATGACGACCTTGCCGGCGAGAGACAGCCCCGTTCATTTCGTCCGTTCATTTTGTTCCAAGTGTGAGAAAGTTTAATTTCTGTATCCAACCTACAAAATCTGGTGCACGTAACAATCAAAATCATCGCATTCTTTTTTTTTTTTTTTCTTACCTTGGAAAATGGGAGCGCGTTACAATCGAGGACGCGTTAGATTCGAGTAAATACGGTATGTGACTAGTGGTGCTAACCATATGTTAGGATATTTGAAGAGAAATTTCTTTCCTGGTCTGTCTTCACTAAAACTACCATAACTTTGTACAAAACGCTTCTCCGTCCAAAAGTAGGGCATGCTGCCACTGTGGGGTGCATATTCTTTCATCCCTAATCAGTTTAATGGAATCTGTCCTAAATTGGCCTGAAAGCTTCATCCTAACTAATTACGATCGCACTGGCAGCATTTCTATTAAAAAAACCTCTAGGTCTGTTTTCTCTAATACCGTATTTACTCGTATCTAGGCTGATAGTTTTTCCCAAAAAATTAAATCCTAAACTCGGGGGTTGGCCTAGATACGAGGATCCGGCTCCGCCATGACCGCGGGACGCCATCTTGTCTACATCGTTTCGGGAAGATACGCTGTGTACCACGGAACGCACGGAACGTTCGTCTCTACTCGACGCTATGGCATCGACCAGTCGATGCCACTACTTTGCGGCTTTTAAGAGGAAAGTTGTCTTGGCTGCTGAACACTCGTCCAACCTGTAAGCCCAGCGTAACTTCGGCGTGGATGAAAAAAATGTGCGTCGCTGGAGAAAGCAGCGTGATCAGCTCTTTGCATGTGCGGCAACAAGAATGGTGTTCTCAGGACCGCGGAAGGGAAGGCACCACGAGCTGGATCGCGGCCACATCAGACGACATCCCGGCGGAACTGGTAGTAAAGTCGTTCCTAAAGTGTTGCATCTCGAATGCCCTGGACGGTACGAATGACCACGCGTTGTGGGAAGTGGACAGTGACAAAGATACCAGTGAGGACGACGAATGATCAGGAAAAGTGCGGACATTAACCGTGAGCATACCGTCAGATTCGTGACAGAAATAGTGCTGTACATTGCAGATAGAATCTGTTCTGTGTTTAATTTATGGTGTTTTTGCTATACTTTTTGGTCGGCCTAGAATTGAGAATTTTTTTTTTTATTTTTCGGCCCTGCCGTTTTTGCGGGGTCGGCCTAGAATCGATGCCGGCTTAGAATCGAGTAAATACGGTACACTCCGTGACATCTTTTGTTTTTGTCTTTGCCATAATATATTTTATCAAGCTTCTCTACTTCGTGATAAGCTTATAAGTTTCAAATCCTACACCTCCTCTTTATAAGCACCATCTCTGCAATGTTCCCTTTATGCTCCAAACATTGATTGATTAGAACCGCCTTCCCGCCTTGATTGCTAACATTACTGATATTGGTTTTTTTTTGGTTTTTTTTCAGATGCTCATGTGTATTTGTTCATTTTGTAATTGTTTATAGTGAAGAAATAATTTGGTTATGATTTGACACCCTACTGTAATGCTTTGCACAAAAAAATGTATTATTTTTGGTGCTGCTGTAGTCATGTTTTCTTACTTGCAGCAGGTTGCGATACGGGATTTTGAAGTGAAGATGATTTGTGCTCTGTCAGACATTTTCTTTTCTCACTCTCATACCTTTTTGAGACAATTCTTTCCCGATAAACCCCCACCTCTGTCACATCCCTTTCTAACGATTCATAGTCATCATCTGCACCGCCAAGAATGATGTATAGCATTCTTGGGCCACTGAATGGTTTCAGAGCACAAATTTTATATCATCCGTCAGGAAATATTGTCACATTGGTTTCTGGCCACCTTCGGGTTATGAAATTATACTAAAGTGAGGTGTCTTCATTCATTTTTCAGCACCAAGTCTGAAACTTTTTTTCTTTTTCTAATGAATTGTGAACATCCTATTGTCATGATCAGGTTAATATTATTTCATAGGGGACTTTGTTAGGAGGCTGTCCACATAGTGAGCGCCCTTGTTGCATATGCTCACAAGCATTCATGTGTTTGTGTCTACCGACGCCAACTTTGCTTCAACTTTTTAGTGACGTCGTAGAAAGATTCGGAGGAAGTCTCGTTTGAGACGGGATCATTTCCATCTCATCTCGAAGCTGCTTCTGCTGACTCAGCGGCGCCAGCATTTTTGAGATGCCAGTGTTTGTTTTACGAGTGCAGGGCCACCCGGGAAAAGAAGGCCCCCCCGGAATCTCGGGACGTCCGGGAGACAAGGGACCCGTCGGCGCACCGGGACAACCGGGACCGCCCGGCGCCCAGGGGCTGCAGGTGAGCTGGCGCCCTCCGGCTTGCGCGTTCTCCAACCACCGCTCCAAAAACTCCGACAGCGATTTGTGTCAGACCGATAGGAATTTTGATTTTTCTCATTGTTTCCTCATCTTTACTTTGTTTTGACGTATGTCACTTGGCAAAGAGTGGATAGTACGACCCCCTCGGGCAGAGTGAATCCCGGAGCAACTTCCTGCAGGACGACTCTACTCCGGCGATCTGTTGTCACGTGCCTCGCACCGACGCTCCGGTTGATTTGTAGGGGTCATAGCTGTCACCGTTTGCTATGTTCTGTCACGATTTGCTATGTTCTGTATATTGCTGCATATGGGTCGATTCTGAATATAGGCCTAAACCCTTAAAAATCTTACCAAAAAAAAAAATTAGGAAATTTTATTGATACATTTTTTTTATATTCACTTTTGAGATACTCAACCTTGAGATACCTACCGTAAAAGATTCCCCACCACCGAAAGGTAACCCACCCTGATTCTTGGCTTGATTTGCTATTTTCTTTTAAACACTGAAAGATGGCCCACTTCTAGTAATCATAGTGTTGGAATTAATGGTGACCTTGGTGTAAATATGTCTAGTTAGCTATGGCGAAATATAAGCGAACATTGCTGACTGGGAACTTCTGAAATCTTTCCTTCATTGCCCCTTGCTGAGATAACAAGCTTGACAAAGGCATGATCTAAGAATTTTTTTTTTTTTCAACTTTCTTTGATTGTACATTGAAAGTTGGCTCACTCCTTATTTTCACCCAATTTTCTCTCGAGTTTAGGTGGGCTATCTCTCTGGATTTTACGGTATCTCCAGAAAGGTAGACTTATATGCAGCATTATACGCTATAGCCCTGCCATACAGCGAGAGATTCATGTTAGACCCATGGAAACCCTGACAGTACAGAGCGCGACACTGTTAGCGCGAACAAGCGATCGCCGGTTTTCCAGTTTTTCTTTTTGAAACCAAGGGATGTCATCCAAGTCATTATTGCTACGGAATGAGCTCAATTAGTTCTATAATGTAAGCGATAAAATTTCGTGTTCGCTAATACTACTTAGAAGTAAAATGCAAAAATGCGCCGATGTCGTGTTCGCGCTAACAGTGTCGCAATGTGTACATATGGTTCTGCAGTGGTCCTCGGGGTGTCCTAACATTCCCTGGATATCCTGTGGACCTACATAGGACACCTGTGCCACCTGGGAGCTTACAGCCATAGAACAGTTATCACGAAACACAAAAGACAAGTGGAAGACTGGACGGGACAGGATCTTGTCTCGTCCAGTCTTCTCCTTGCTCTTTGTATTTCACGCGATCTTCGTGATGTTTAACCAACTAGGCCATGGACTTATATTGTTAGAAATTATAACCATCGTTCCCTTTCTTCTCTCCTGTTACGCAGGGCCAGCCGGGTCCCCCCGGCCCCATGGGCTCGACGGGCGAGCGGGGAGAGAGGGGGGAGGCTGGTCCCATGGGGGTCCAGGGCCCCCAGGGCCAGAGGGGGGCCCCCGGTGCCCCCGGCGCCCAGGGCTCCAAGGGGGACAGGGGCACAGCCGGGGAGCGGGGCGCCAAGGGACACAGGGGCCTCGCCGGACTCCAGGGGCTGCCAGGAGGAACGGTGAGCCCCTCCCCCCCCCACGATCACCATCAAATCGGTGGCCCACATTCGTTTGTCTGCCAAGTGCTGACAAGAACTTTAGATGTGACTGTCGACGAGTCATGTTGGGCAGACAAGTCTGAACCCTGCTGTCTTTAAATGCCCCACCAGAGGCAATTTTAGTGAGCTAGAAGGCAACTGCTCGACTGCCGTGGCCCCTTTAAAGGATACTGAGTTCCCCAATTACGTTTTGAAAACATAGCGTCTTTATGCGGCTTGCACCGATATCACGTCAGCGGCCGTTCTGGTGGCCCTGCTGCTGAGCGCGTACATTCTGCGGCGCACGTTTTGCGCCTTAGAGTTTGTTTTGCTCGGCAAGAATGACCGCCAGCATGGTGCAATGATGTCACGTGCGATCCATGTACAGGGCCAGTTCTTAGTGTTTTTGTGTCCGTTGGGGTGTAGCTTCAATGGAGGAGAGGTATACACGAACTCATCTCTGTTACGTCACGGCGCGGTGGTGGCGCGTCGGTCTCACTTCCGGTCCGGGGCTGTGGGCGGAAGTGCCCATTTGAGATGTGTATTCCTGCGTTGTTTTGAAAGGAACCAGACAAAAATTTGCCTTCTCGTCAAAATGCTGCGACTGGGGCTGTACTAAAAGAGTCGAGAAAGGTTTGAAGGTCAGTTTTCATGCGCTCGGTTCGTCCGAGAACGCGGATATGTCCAGTGAAAAGGGAAAACCAGACGCCGTCGGACCACGATTGCTTGGGCGGGAAGCATTTTGGGGTAAATTCTCGGATACTACTGGCCATCAAATTTATTTGTTTTGTTTAAAATGAACGCTGGAAAACCGTCAAGTTGTGCGGACCACCTGCGAACTACGTTCAGTGCGTCTTCGAGTTCAAACGGTCGCCTGATCGTTCGAACTGTCGTCTGCTCTTTCAAACGTTTCTGCTTGTCGTCTGCTCTTTTAGAGGACACCGGCCCGTAGACCAAACGTGGGCCCGGTACTTGCGATAAGAATTAAATGCAGGCCTCAAAAGACTTAAGTTTGAAGGTTGGTCAGCAGGCTCGACGTAAACAGTAGATACAAGAAGATGTTGATCCTTGTTACCACTGGCCATCACCGACTTGTTATGCCTGACTCACTTGGTTAGATTATGCTTGCGATTTTCAGTATCGACATCGACCATCTCAGCTACGGTTCACGCTTTTGCAGTCAGAGCGACGTCGCTACTGAAAATTGCGAGCGAAATCTCATCATGTGAATCAGGCTTTAGCGTACGTTCTGCGGCGTCCACGCGGAATGAATCGCCGCATATCAGATTATTCACGCGAAGTTTTGCGGTTTAACGAGCCTCGTTAATTTAGCTGACGCTGCTCAAGTAGTCAGACATCGTTAGGAGGACGTAGAATCAACAATTCCAACGCGAAAAAGAGCGCGGGGACTCACACTGGCGCCGACAACACCGCATTTCAATGGTTTGTTTATGGGCGACGGCGAGCTTTTGCCCACACCCCCATCGCGCATGCGCGGCGCCGGTGGCGTCTGCTAGGGGCGCTCCGGGCGCTCCGGTTTGTTTGTAAACATGAGTTGGTGTATAGTGCAAAGTGTGCAGTAAGCGATTGCTCTTGAAGTGGGAACGTCTTACAGCGCACTTGTGCACTCAGCAGCAAAGTGAACTGCATGTACTGCGAAGGCTCTTGCTTGTGCTTTTTGTGTGCCATCGTGCCACCGAGGAAACGATTTTCCTTTGATGAAGAGACACTACAACAAAATCGCTGATGCTCAGCTCTAGTGCAATTGCCCCCTTAATGCCATATCTTCGTTAGGATTTTTTAAAGTTTTCTCTCTCGAGGTGCATCTGCCATATCTGGCAAGAAGCTCCCCCCCCCCCCCCCTTCCCTGTGGCATTGAGGCAATAATGTGATGCAAGAGCATACTGATTTTGTTAACAATAGCATACAGAGAGCAACACGGCACAAACAAATGATACTGGTTTTTCCAATTTTCTTTCTTGCAATGAAAGCTATTACTCTGGTAGTATTTTAGGTAAAATATATCATTGATCGTTATCTCGTATAAGTAAGTTGTTAAAACTGTTGTAGTCGTGTTCACATTGGGTGCGTTGAGTCCGCGCTCCTTTACTCCTAACCCAACGCTCCGGGTTTCATACTCCGACCACAGCAACTAAATGCAACATAGCATACAGGAGCGGGAAACAACCAAAACTATCAACGAACCGCACGAGCAACTTTTCGACCGCACGATTATTATGAACCTGACATCTCGTTAATACATGTGGCTGAAGCCAAGACTATTACGAGAATGAATTAATCAATGCCTGTGGGGAACACCAAAGTGTAAAAAAAAAGAGGCAGAACGCTATGAAGTTTTTTAAAAGAGTTTTAACACTCCTGAAAGGTTTAGAGACTTCGAGCAGATATGCAGAAAGTTACCTTGACCCGTTGTATTTATTGACCATGCCCAGATTTAAGAGAAAGACAACATTCTTAAACTCGCTTGTCGACACAGGAAACTGTCAAACTTGTCGGAGATGTTCCGTAAATTCCGTCTTGTGGCGCGAGACAGAAAACATTGATGTGCTACCGGCATGCTGCCATTTGATAGATAGTGCAATAAATCATTTTTAGGCAAGATATGCACTTACAAACCTTTTTCCAAATGCTAATTGCTGTCTTGAGTTTCTAATCAAATAAATTTTACCTGCTGGATTAACGATTATTCGACTGAAAAGGGGCAGCGGTTTGACTGCACCCTTGGTTCCGGCAATGCTTCTGTCAGTGCAGCCATCGTGTTTGGGGAAATGACGTCGCGGAGCGCGACGAAGTCACTCGCACTTTGATGAAACCTTGGTGCACGAAGAGAGCGCTCGAGTGTCGGCCTCAGGCGGCCATCCTCTCTGTTTAGGGAACAACGCGCCAAACTGTCACGCTCCGGAGCACGGACCTTACGTGCCCCTTGAAAAATAGAGTGTGCGAACCAGGAAGTCTTTGGCTGGTTCCGCACCAGTTCCCAGCTGTAATGTGCTTTAGTAGTTAACTGCAGCAACGACAGTGAGTATTTTAGCGCTTAATTAATCCGAGGGGGTACTTCGGAAATGCCTGGATTGCTGGGGACCCAGTTTGAGAACCCGTCACCAGATATAAGCAGTTTGGTTCCGCTATCTTCATGAGGTTGATTCCTCTCTAGCTGTTACAAGGCTTTGTGTCTAGCTGTTGGCAGGCCCAGGCAATCCAGGCACACAAATGCAGTGGGTAGCTCTTAATCCAGTGCCACCGGTGGCTCCACGAGGGTGCGTGACTACACACGCAACGCAGTGTATTGCCAATTTGTGCCGAGCAACTCCAGTGGCCACGGGTGGCGAGGAGGGGCCGTCTGAATTTGTGGCGAGAACACACTTTATTTTTGATGCTTGCTGCAGTTTCTGAAGTTGACCCCTTTGTCTCCAGGGGCCGCCGGGAGACAAGGGACCCGTCGGCCATCCCGGCCCACCAGGAAGCCCCGTGAGTTCTCCACTCCCAAACTTCATTGTCACGGAATTTTAGCAAGTTTGCAACAGTTCACTAATTCTCGGGGTCTAAGCTAAATCAACTAAGAGAGTAAAAAAAGAAATTGTGCCTTTTATAGTGCTGGTTTTGGCTTACATTTTTTATACACAGCTGTACATTTCTAGCGCATTCTCACTCCGCATGCAACACAACACCACAAGTGAAAATTTGTTTGCAAATTTTTTTTATGAAGCGCCATTTGTTTTAGGTTTTGCTTTAGATCAGTTACCGCTGTAGAAGCCAGCATGTTCAGTGCGCGTAACCACACCCTCGGCACGCTCCTCGGTCGTTGGGTAATTTAGCAAAAGGTCCGTCGCGAGGAACGCAAAAGTGGGCTCCCGAAGATCTGCAGCGCCGACATCGACCGACCGCCCCGCTCGTTGCAGGGTCCCGCGGGCCCCCGCGGTCCCCCCGGGAGGGACGGCTCGCAGGGGCCTCAGGGCCTGGTGGGTGCACCCGGCCTGAGGGGCCCCCAGGGGGAGGCCGGCAAGCCGGGCACGCCCGGCAACCCCGGGCCCGCCGGACCCCCTGGCCGTCCGGGCGAACCCTTCGGCTACGACGCTGCTGCCCTGCACGCCATCATGGGGTGAGCAAAAACACTAGTCTTGTGCGAATAGTGGATTTTGAGTTCGAAGCGAATACTGGTTTTGGCCGAATATTGTCGATTCGAATATCGAATAGTTTTTTATGCCTTTCACTACCATTGCGTAATGCTTAGACGAAAACCCAGCTAACTTGCGAAGGTTGTTCCACTTGTTAATTTATAAGCTAAGTTTATCTATATTTTTTAACTGTGTCTTCATAAGGTCTGATGTCTTGGGATGGCAAGTAAACAACGAATTTGACATAAAATGAATCCCATAGAGAGGGCCAACTATACCCAATTGAGTGAATTTACAAAGTTTGCTATATAAAATATGTCTTTTTTAATCTCGAATTAAAAAATAAATAATTGCACTTATTGAACGCAGGTTGTAAGGGCATCTCTGCCTAATATAGTACTCTTGCATAACAATCAGTTTAATTTTGAAACTTTTGCTACAATGTAGATATACACATTCACAAAGTTTCTATTTATTCCCAAATACAGCCGGCACGCGTGCACCATCCCGCTTTGAATGTATGCTTTTCTTCCAAGAACGCAATTGCAATATTCATACTTTTCCAAGTGTTTATCACGGCGGGTTACTCCGTTAAGTGCGCATCTTACCGAGCACCGATGTAATGCGGAGAAGCAACACCCGCGGAGCTCGCTTTCGCGGGTATTGCTTCTCCGCTATGCACCGGTGCTCGGAAAGAAGAGCACTCAACGGGGCAGTTAGCCCCGTTGAGTGCTCGCAATCAACACTTCGAAAAACGCGAATAGTGCAGTTCCTCTCGAAGCGAATATTGAATAGTCTATCATTCGAAACTACTATTCGAAATTTCAAATATTCGCACAAGCCTAAAAAACACTTCACCCTGCCCCAGCTCCTGGAACACGTCTTCAAGCCGAAACATAAACCTGAACTTCAATGTTTTTTTGTTTTTTTTTCAGTTTGAGGGGTTTGGTTTTAGAATCTAATTATGCACCCTGACACTAAATTTCATAACCATATGCCAAGTAGTTATGTTGTTATAAAATAATTTCAACACATTGTGAGGCAGTATCAAAGTAAGAGTTCAATCTTTGAATGCATTTTTCTCAGTTTTACTGCAAATTTTACATGAGGGAATCTTTTGTTCAAAGGTAAAAGTGTTCTGATACCACACTCAACATGTTTCGGAACTGAAATTTACTGGGGAATCGGGGTATCTACTTTTATAAGTTTTAAGTTAAAGTCCTCTCTCAGAAAAACTGTTTTCAAAAATTGACTTGCGACTGATGAGCATCTCATATTTTGAGGTTATGACGCTTCTTGAAATATTTAAATCTGAATTATAAAGACTAGATAGCCCAAAGTTCCACATCCCCCACTTTATACTCAAGCAGTCAAGATGGTGTTTAATAGCTTTATTTGCAAATCATAAATTTCTTAACTAAGAGTGACACATCTTCTTAGGCAAATATGTAAACTTGTCCTAGAGAGCTGGAAGTTTGCACAATACGCCTACATTTGACATTAAATCTTTCCTGCAAATTTGATTCCGATCACTTGAGTAGTTTAGAAGTTATATCTCTAGCCAGTGTCCCCCCTTAACACACTGGCACCTGGCGCCATCTGTTGGGTAGCCCTGGAACTCTTCCGATCTGCGTCTAATTGGACTGATAATTTATGGTATTGGTGATATCAAATTTATGCACTATTTATGAAAAATGGTAGTTTATAGCATTGTCAGAATTATTTCCAGCTTCGATGAAAGAATGGCAATTATAAAATTTGAAAATGCGTGCAGACCGCAAGTGGGCCAGGGCTAGCCGATGGGTGGCCCCACTGGGTTCTCTCATTGTAAGCGGTCACAAGCGCTTGCAATGCAGTCAGCCACACTCCAGTGCAAACATGTAAATCAGCCTCAATGGGTTGTGCCAGAGCCGTTGATACTGAGAGAGTTTGGCCTTCTTAAGGAGATTTTGACAGTCTGACAACCACAGCAGCGTAGTCTGACAACCGGGGGATGACTACTTCCGTCCGCCATATTGTGGATCTGACTCATAGGAACTCTACGCGATTTCACAGGAATGAACAAGACAAAGAAGTAACGCCATATTGTGTTATCGCGAAATCCGCTTGTTCTAGCGGCCAACAAGCTCCGCCCATCGGCCAAACTCTCTCAGTATAAACGGCTCTGGGTTGTGCCATTTGCACCAAACATCGCCATGAACTAAAGCTTGCTACACCTTTTGCCAAAATGCTATTTTTGCTAAAAATTTCGCCACACCTGCATTGAGATGGGCTTAAACGAAGAAAAAGATTAAAATACAGTCGAATCTCGTTAATTCATACTCGAGGGGGACCGAAAATTTGTTTGAATAAAGCAAAGTTTGAATTACTGAGAGTTTCCTCCCATAGAGATGCATAGGATGGGACCCGCATGTTAGTTTTAATTATTCACAAATTTGAATTAAGAGAGTTTGAATTAACGAGATTTGACGGTATTTCAATATTGGTTGACCCTAATGTTCAGGTAAGTAGGAGAAAAGAAATACAGTACAAATACGTATTTCGCGGCATCTCTATACTCACCGTATAGTTTGTTCATCTTAGGTCAAAGCACAGTCAAAAGCTCGATCAGATGCAACCACGAATGCACGCACCAAAAATGCCAGTCACGGGACATTCGCTGCACGTGATTGGTTAACCCAATGAAAGAACACGGGCAGTAAAATGACAAAAGTCACTATGTTGCGCTTTGACGCTGTTTGGTTGGTGCCCCTGGCATTGACTGCCCTTTTACTTAAGGTAAAACAAAGTATATAAATGGTTGGTCAACCGCGCTGGCTGGTTTATCGCCGTCAACGTCGAACACTCTAGGGTCCAGACGACGTCGGTGGCAACCGGAGCCAAAAGTTGCGAGAAAAGTTTGCAAAATAGTAGGATGGCGGCTGCTATGATAAGACAAAATCGGGATCTTGTACTCTTGATTAGAACGCACGATTATTATGTCCGCCACGAGCCTTTGTTCCGTGGCTACAACGTACCGTAACACTTGAGCCGCTCGCATTCGTCTGCGCCTCTCATCAGCAGGCATGCGCCGAGCCTCACCATTTGGCATTGGAATGCTAGGTGCAGCGGCTGACTTGGGGGAGCGCCTGGACCCACAAACGTTTCACGTAGCGTGGTGCGAGGCACAGCTGAGATAGTTTAGAAATTGCGAGCGATGGGTTTCGGTGTTTTCTTGGATCGAGATAACAAAGATTACCCGAGGCTGGTAGTGTTTGCGTTGTGTCAATCATTCTAGACATTCAAAGTCCTCCCGCGTCACTCATTTTCCTTTCATACATTAGACTGTTTTCTTTGCCAATAGAATTGCTAGTAACTTTATGTTTTAACTATGGTTTAACTATCCGGAGCCCATAGCTGCGACCCTTACGACATCACGCAATTGTTGCAATTTTGAAACGCTCCTTTGCTAGTTCATTGACTCCGTGAAGGAATGTTGAGGTCGTTTGAAGGACAGAAACGCCGGCTTTGGGGGATACTGCTTAGCACATTGACTCGTTTGCTCGAGCTTGCGATCCGAACCCTCTTCTTCTGCCTCTAAGCTAGAACTTTATGCGGTCGATTTAAATACTTAACGGCGATAAAGGTGCACTCGAAGCACCGGCACATCCCCTTGAAAAGACGTGGGGGGGGCAACGTTTATCGCAGCCAGGGTCAGGTGAAGGGCCCAGACCCGCTGTCCGGTGACGAGCCGGCCAAACTGTTTGACGCCAGCGTCCCGGTGGAAGAGAAGAAGCGCATTGTGTTTGAGTACTACCGCAAGCTGGTGGAGGAGTACGAGCGCCTGCGGAGCCCCACAGGGGACAAGGACGCCCCCGCCAAGACCTGTCGGGACCTGGCCATGGCGCACCCAGAGTTGCCCGACGGTGGGTGCCTTCCTCAGACTTTCTCGCGGTGCAGCATGCATCTTACTAACCTAACCTAGACTTATCTAAACTAAGCTACTTGTTTAAAACTAAATTAATTTTAACTAAACTAAACTACTTGTATGGGGCTGAAGTTTTTTTTATCTCTCGCGGTGCCATAAACATTCTTTTTTAGAATGCTGTTTCCTTTTTAACTTCCAATTATTGTAAACGACTTATTTTTTGCGGGCTCAGTATTTGCGATTTAGGCCAAAGCTGAAGTTTTGGAATAATTTGCAATAATTTGCGGGTATTAATTTTCGCGACGCATTGGGATCTCAACATAGATATCAATGTGTTTACATTTTTGCCAGAATTGTTTGCAGGGCCTATTCTTCATGAATTGTAGGCGATTCGCGAAATTCGCAAAAACAGTCAAACCTCGATGTAACGAAGTCAGTAAAGTTTGGAATTTACTTAGTTACATTGAAATTTCGCTACATAGAAATTCGGAGCAAACGTTAAAGAAAGTTTCCACAAATGTTTCTCGGGTGCACAAAACTCACCGAGGACGCCTTTATTTCGGTTGAAACTAGTCCGTCACCTTTTTCTGGGACACTCTTGGCATTATTATTGGCATCACACGACGTTCGTATAGCCAGATGGCCTGCATTGCGTCTTCGTCTTGCTGTGTGCTCGCGAACCGCCTTAAGACATTGATCGCGTCCACCACTTCACGGTTACTGGGCACATTGCAAGTGTCTTTCTCGTCAGGTTTGATGTCGTCCCCGTCTCATGAGCTCCCACGAACATCGCTAGCCATCGCCTCGTCGGTCACCTTTTCCGTCGCATGACAGCAGAGTCGGCAAATAGAGAGTTGTCGAGGTCGACATTGTTAGAGGTGGCTTCATCGCCTTCAAGGCTCCATCGCCCAGGACAACGAGAAATGCACGCTTTTAGTTAGGCCTCGAAACGAACTACGCAGCGCGAACGAAGCCAACGGACAAAAGGTCGACGGCTCTAGTGTCCTTTAGTGGCTGTTCTGTACACCCCATTTGCCAGATTCGGCCCGTTTCAACCTTTGCGCTTTATTGGGGGCCCGTTTCAGCGCATGTTTTTCCCAAAATCTCCTTTGGGACCCAAATGTTTGTGCCGAATTGTCCGTGAAACTTCGTTACATAGAAATGTCGGCAGACGGGTCTTCGTTACATAGAGGTCAAAAATACACGGTGTGCATACACTTGCGGTTAGAAAAAAGTTATGTACTTCGTTACATCGAGGGTTTTGCTACATATAAATTTTTTACATCGAGGTTTGACTGTATTACGTCATTTACAGTAGTGTAGACCGCATATAACGTATGTCGCGGGAGTCGCAAAAATCCGCACTATAAGCGGTACCGCGTTATAACCAAAACATCAATTTTTCAGGCCAAAATACATGCCATGAGACTACTTACCTTTGTAAAAGAATTTACTTTATGTTAGGTGAAAAATAAAGCTTAGTTTGAGGAAAGTCTTTATTTCACCAGACTAGAACAGTTCTGTCTCAAGTGTGTCACACATTTTGAAAGAAATGAGCGACTTTTGCTTGGCGCAGCCTTTTAACAGCGTCGCGGGTTGCGGACGGACGTTGCGAGCGTTCAGGATGGCTAACCCTAATCACTTTTCTCCGGCGATGAAAACGCGTGAAAATTCGCATCCTTTATACGGTACGCGCCAGTAATACCTTAAACTTGAGCACAGGCATGAAATGCTCCAAATAAGAAATCCGGGCGATGTTCGAAAACACAGAAAGCACCACTGTAGTCGAAGTAAACAAACACGACGACACGGGCGTTTCTGCCGTCTTGAGAGTGCCGCCACGACATCGCCGCACGAGTAGGTGGATCTTCCCTTCTAGTACGTGCTGGGTTATCATAACGACACACAACGAAAATTCACAGTCAAGGGTAGCGCTTTTACGCGGAACGATGAGCCTCCATCACGCGATCTACGTCGACGATCAAAACCAACGCCATGTTTGCGGATAGACGCAGCCGGCCCGCGACCGGAGAGGAGGAGAAGCGTTGTAATAGAGGTTGGGGGGGAAAGGAGAGAGCCAATAGTGTGTACGGACTGCCGGCATGCAACGCGCGCGAACACTTCTCCTCGACCTGCGATTGGTCTGTCGTTGCGGTTGTTTCCAACCATCGCAGCGGAGGGACGCACGCACGAGAACGACACGTGCGTGCGTCCCTCCGTCGCTATGGCAACTGCAGCCTCTCTCTTCGCATCTCCCGGCTTCTTCGAGCAACCTCCTTGCCCCGCTAGTGCCGCTCGCGGCTCGCGCCGTTATCTAGCGCCGCAAAGGGAAGCGTGCTCGCTGCGCCGGTCAGTCGGCACGGCCGCCGGGCTCTTCCAGAAACCGCACTATAACCGGTATTTCCCTTCGCGCGCCTGCATTTTAAGCGGTATGTAAATACATGGAGTTCTATGGGAGGCGAACCGGTGGTTTAAAAAAGCCGCGTTATACCCGGTCCTGCACTATAAGCGGTTACGTTGTAAGTGGTCTATACTGTATTGGGTTCAAAAACTAGAGTGCTAGAAGACTCATACTATTATGTACAAAATTTAGACACATTCTGTAGCTATATGTAGTACTTTCCGTAATTACCACGCAGATTTAGGTATAATTATTGTGATGTCTCACGAAAACTTGGGTGCCCTCCTCAAGGAAGGTGGCCTTCTGGGCTCTCAGTGATTCCATTATGCACCCACAAGACCATCGGTCGGTATGGAGGGCACCGCACAATGTCATGGGGGAGGATGCACAGGCGTCCTTGATTATGGGGTCCAGGGAAGAGCGTCTTTGGTGACCAATATTCTTGTTGGCATACAATGACATGACCGAGATCTCGGTTCATAATCTTCTTTGGAAAGGGCATCCAAACGTTCGTGGCACGTCATGACAAATGCCTAAATCTGTGCAGTGATTATGTAAAGAAGTAGCTACACAATGCTTCTAAATTCTGTGTACGTTAAAATAATTTTAAGGCTTTTTTCTTACCGTGTTCGTTGAAAGCTGAAAAAAAAAAACAAATTGCCAGCGTGTTTCAGTTTACAAGCTGGCTAGACCTGCAAATGCGGATGGATAGTTAAGCAAGATGACGGTTGTTCATGTTTGTCTGGTGGAAAGATGCTGGTGGGTTTTTATGCTCTTGGTATTTGGGGATAGGCAAGTGGAATATCTAGGGATGGGCGAATACTGTTCGGTTATTACAAATAGCTCAACGAATTCTGTTCTATTCGGCATTTGCTTCCAATCGAATTTAAGCATTTGACATAATCGAATTATTCGACAATATCGAATTGTTCTACGTTTCCGAATACTCTGGCTTGGATTTCCGGCCAGGTGGCACAAGCTTCTGACAATTTCGGCCATTTCGTGCTCCCCAACTCAGTACACTCGAAATTAACAATTACAGTACTTCTAATACCAAATAAAAGTGCATATAAAACTTTAGTTTAAGTGCTATTTGTTGCTCGTACTATTCAAACTATTCAATTCAAAATTATTTGGCCAAAATCCCTATTCGCTTCGTATTCAATTTGGACCCAAAATCCTCTATTCGCCTATGCCTAGTTGCAGGCACGTAGTCAGAATTTAAGTTCGGGAGGGGTCGCCCATGACAAAATGCTGTATGAGGGGAAGGGGAAAGGGGAGGTTTCAGCAGAACGAAAGATATCGGGGGGGGGGCCGGGTCCCATGGGCCTCCCCCCTGGCTACGTGCCTGCCTAGTTGTATCGACATTTTGGAACCAAGCCATTACCACCTTATGTTATTGTTATTGTTAATCATCATGACCATCAGCCCAAAATGATGATGCATCATCAAATACAATGCTCATCATTGTGTGGAAAAATAGCACCGCTAATGTTCATATATGAGAGAAGCATGTTTCTCAAGGGAGGAACCATGCCGTCTACAGGGTGTCCCCCAAAAAATATATATAGGGTTTTTTTTGCCGCAAATATAAACTATGCATCACCGAACGCTCATCCTCCACCCAAACGTAGCGCTAGAGGTGCCAAAGTTTCAGCACCAGTCATTGTCTCATTCAAAAGTTATAAGCGATTTTCTGAAATTTTTCATTGGAAAATGGCAGTCAGGGAACCTCTTATAATACACGGAGCTCTGTAGCACCAGTTACCGAAAACGGGCAAAGATGGGCCCTATTTTCCCATTGAAAATTTCATAAAATAATTTATAATTTTTTAAGAAGATAACGGTTAATGCCAAAACTTTGACATCTGGTGTGGACCTCTAGAGCTACATTTCAGCGGAGAATGGGCATTGGGTGAGGCATACCATATTTTCTGGACTACGAGTCGCACTTCCGTATGTTAAGCCGTTTTTGCAGAACAATTGGTATGTAAGTCACGCCTCTTTCTTTGTACGGTTCTTGCGGTGAGTCTTTTTTCGTCTTGAGCGCTCTGGTATTGCGAAATTTAAGTTTTTCACAATCGGGGTAGATCGCACGTACTGTTTGAAGTGCAACTTTGACACTTCGACTCGCAAGAAACACCCATAGTACATCGCTGTCCAGTGGGGGCATTCGATTGTTTCGCAACAAAGAGAAGGTAAAGTGCACAAAATAAGAAAATAGTAAGCTTTATTCGAGCTTACGCATGCCGAGCGAACAAAACTTTAATGCGTCAGACACTTTAGACACTACTCGTGAACCAAGCTTCGGACCACAAGGTCTAGCCTAGGCCAAGTCACAGAGATGACGCAAGCATGGATGCGCAGGCAGATAGATAAATCTTGACACACGTCTTTCGGTACCGCTGAAAGATTCGCTAGTTGCTTCCTTTTACGTGTAGCAACATGGCTGGAGCATGGCAGATGAAAACTGCTCATCAAGTGGAAGCTAAGAAGGAGGCAAGAAAATTTTCTGCAGGGCATGTTTATAGCAGTCTTGGGTAGTAACGTGTTACTAGTAATGCGTTACTGTAATTTCGTTACTTTTTTGGTAACTT